AGTGGAGGTTGTGACCATCAAAACCCTCCCATCCAAGGACAACAAATCCCATAATTTAAAGAGAGTTCAGGGACTACAAATCCCATAATTTAAAGAGAGTTCAGGGACTACAAATCCCATGATTCCCATATTAAGGGGGGTTGTGACCATCAAAACCTTCCCATCCAAGGACAACAAATCCCATAATTCCCAGGGGAAAAGTTAAGTTAGTTTTTGAAGTTTATGGCTCCTAAAATGTTCCCTCCAAAGTGGAGGTTGTGACCATCAAAACCTTCCCATCCAAGGACAACAAATCCCATAATTTAAAGAGAGTTCAGGGACTACAAATCCCATAATTTAAAGAGAGTTCAGGGACTACAAATCCCATAATTCCCATTTAAAGGGGAGGGGTTGTGACCATCAAAACCTTCAAATCCAAGGACAACAAATCCCATAATTTAAAGAGAGTTCAGGGACTACAAATCCCATAATTCCCATTTAAAGGGGGGGTTGTGACCATCAAAACCTTCCCATCCAAGGACAACAAATCCCATAATTCCCAGGGGAAAAGTTAAGTTAGTCTTTGAAGTTTATGGCTCCTAAAATGTTCCCTCCAAAGTCTACAAATCCTATCATCCTCATAAAAAAGCAAACTTTTCCTGGAGTTTATGTCCCCTCTGCCCTTAAAAAAGTTTACAGATCCCAGAATTCCTCAAACTAACTTGGAGAAAGAAAATAACATAAAAATAGCAATAATCTCCTCCACTTCCGGCCTTGTCTCTCCCCACTTCCGCTTTCCCAGGGGAAACCCAGCCAAGCAGAGAAGAAGAAGCCAAGCAAGGAAGGGAGGAAAAAAATACAAAAAGTTCCAACGTTCCAAAGTGCCTGCGTTTTGCGGGCGCTGATTGGACGAAGGGGGCTGGGCCTCCAGGCCGGCGGCCAATCAGAGCCCGCGCCGTCCCTGGGCTTTTCACCCATTTGGAGTTTTGTAATTGTTTGTCTGCTTTTGGGAGGAAGAAGAAGAAAGAAGAGAAGGAAGAAGACGGAAGAGAGGAAGGAAGAAGAGGAGGCGCCCCCTCATTGCAGATCAGGTGAACTTTTCCCCTTGCAAAACTTTGCAAAGTCTTCCCCTCATTTGGAAAACTTAAACTAGAATTAATTTAACCCTTCATTTGCATTTTGTTTCCCTAAGTTTGGAGCAAATAGCATTTTTAAATCAATTTTTAAATCAATCACTGGGTTGCTGGAAGTTTTCCGGGCTGTATGGTGATGTTCCAGAAGCACTCTCTCCTGACGTTTCGCCTGCATCTATGGCAGGCATGCTCAGAGGTTGTGAGGTCTGCTGGAAGCTAGGAAAATTGGGTTTATGTATCTGTGGAATAATGCCCAGCGTTGGAGAAATAACAAGAAATAACTCTTGTGCTTGTTGCAATTGGCTACCTTGATTAGCATGGAATGGCTTTGCAGTTTCAATGTCTGGCTTCTTACTGCCTGGGGGGGGGACATTTGTCTGTTTGAGGCAAGTGTGACTGCTGCCATTGGCCAGTTTGAATAGCCTGGCAGCTTCAAAGCCTGGCTGCTTCCTACCTGAGGGGAATCCTTTTTAGGGAGGTGTTAGCTGGCCCTGATTGTTTCCTGTCTAAAATCAGGACAGTAAATAAAGAGCAAAGCTTAGAAAACTGGAATTCCAGACAGGAAACAATCACAGCCAGCTAAAACCTCCCAACAAAGAATTCCCCCAGGCAAGAAGCAGCCAGGCTTTGAAGCTGCAAGGCCATTCGCTAGCCCCAGCAGACAAAAGTCCTTTGTCTCACCCTGGTCATTCCACAGATATATAAACCCATTTTTCCTACTTCCAACAGACCTCACTACCTCTGAGGATGCTTGCCATAGATGCAGGCGAAATGTCAGGAGAAAAATTGCCTCCAGAACATGGCCATATAGCCCGGAAAAACCTACAACAACCCACTAATCAAGTTAGCCAATTGCAATATTCACACTTGCCTCCAACAGACAAGAGTTCTTTCTCCCACCCTGGACATTATTCCACAGATATATGAACCGTATATGCTCAGAGGTTGTGAGGTCTGTCCACCAGCATTTAAAAAACCTCTAAAATCAGGATAGTAAATAAAGAGCAACGCTTAGAAAATGGGAATTCCAGACATGAAACAATCAGGGCCAGCTAACACCTCCCAACAAAGAATTCCCCCAGGCAGGAAGCAGCCAGGCTTTGAAGCTACAAGGCCATTCGATGCTAATCAAGGTAGCCAATTGCAATATTTACACTTGCCTCCAACAGACAAGAGTTCTTTCTCCCACCCTGGACATTATTCCGCAGATATATGAACTATATATGCTCAGAAGTTGTGAGTTCTGTCCACCAGCATTTTAAAAACCTCTAAAATCAGGACAGTAAATAAAGAGGAATGCTTAAAAAACTGGAATTCCAAACAGGAAACAATCAGGGCCAGCTAAAACCTCCCAACAAATACCTCCCACCAGGAGGCAGCCAGGCTTTGAAGCAGCAAGGCCATTCAGTGCTAATCAAGGTAGCCAATTGCAATATTCACACTTGCCTCCAACAGGCAAGAGTTCTTTCTCCCACCCTGGATATCATTCCACAGATATATAGATATATAACCTTACTTGCTTAGTTTCCAACAGACCTCACAACCTCTGAGGAGGCCTGCCATAGATGTGGGCGAAATGTCAGGAGAGAATGCTTCTGGGACATGGCCATACAGCCTGGAAAACTCACCGCAACCCAGCATTTTTAAACTTTTGCATTTTAGTTATCCTGATTATGGAGCAGAGCAGAAAAAGTCGTGTTTCCTTCCTTGCAATTAGGAGATAAAGCAGGATAACAAGCTAGTCCTTGGGGTTTATGGCTCCCAAAATTCCCCTTTGAATGACTACTGATTTCACAGTCCCCATAAAGGTTAGTTCCTGAGGTTTATTGATCCCAAATGTTCCCCCCCTGGTAGTAAGAAGCCAGACCTTGAAACTGCAAAGCCATTCAATGCTAATCAAGGTGGCCAATTGCAACATTCACACCTATCTCCAACAGAGGAGGGTTCTTTTTCCCACCTTGGACATCATTCCACAGATATATAAACCCAATTTTCCTAGTTTCCAACCTCACAGTCTCTGAGGATGCCTGCCATAGATGTGGGTGAAAAGTCAGGAGAGAATGCTTCTGGAACATTTATTTATTTATTATATTTGTATACTGCCCTTCTCAGCCTGCAAGCGACTCAAGGTGGTTTACAGAGGCAACAATTCATTGCCCAACAACACCATAAAAACATTTAAAAACATTAACGTATCAATAAGAAGATCAATAAGACATAAATCATTTGCATCTCCTATGTTAAAATGTTTTCCAACATGGTCATACAGCCCGGAAAACTCACAGCAACCCAGTGATTCTGGCCATGAAAGCTTTCGACAACACAATAATAACACAATTGCAGCACTCACACCTACTTCAAACAGACAAGAGTTCTTTCTCCCACTCTGAACATCATTCCACAGATACCTAAACCTCACTTGCCTAGTTTCCAACATATTTCACAACCTCTGAGGATGTCTGCCATAGGTGTGAGTGAAACATCAGGAGAGAATGCTTCTGGAACATGGCCAGACAGTTTGGAAAATTCACAACAAACCAAGTTGAATGCAGAGCAGAATCAAATTGTATTTTGTTTCCTTTTTATTTTATTTATTGCCTTTTATTTACATTTTCTTCCCAAAGTTTGGAGGAATCCTGCCATTTTTTGCTCAGGTTCAGAGGATAACAGAAAACCATGGCCTTTCATTCCTGAACTTTGCATTAGAGCAGAATAAAGTATTTAATATTTATAGTCATTTTTATTTATTGTGTCAGGGGCAGACCAGACAGTTGCATTGCATTTTTTAACAAACAAACAAACAAAAAAACACAGAGTTTGCAAGCTTGGTAGTTGATTAAATGTCCTTTGACCAGTATCTGGCCACTTGGAGTGCCTCTGGTGTTGCCGCAAGAAGGTCCTCCATTGTGCACGTGGCAGGGCTCAGGTTGCATTGCAGCAGGTGGTCAGTGGTTTGCTCTTCTCCACACTCGCATGTCGTGGATTCCACTTTGTAGCCCCATTTCTTAAGATTGGCTCTGCATCTCGTGGTGCCAGAGCGCAGTCTGTTCAGCGCCTTCCAAGTCGCCCAGTCTTCTGTGTGCCCAGGGGGGAGTCTCTCATTTGGTATCAGCCATTGGTTGAGGTTCTGGGTTTGAGCCTGCCACTTTTGGACTCTCGCTTGCTGAGGTGTTCCAGCGAGTGTCTCTGTAGATCTTATAAAACTATTTCTTGATTTAAGTCATTGACGTGCTGGCTGATACCCAAACAGGGGATGAGCTGGAGATGTCACTGCCTTGTTTATAGTAATTGTGTTTACATCAATTACGCATTTAATTTCTATGCTGCCTTTCTCCCAATAAAGCAGGCACGGCCAAACTTGGGTCCTCCAGGTGTTTGTAAGCGGCTGAGGGGGGAAAGAAAGGGGCCTGAGGCTATTAGGAATGGTGGGAGTTGAAGTCCAAAACACCTGGAGGACCCAAGTTTGGCCATGCCTGCAATAGAGTGACTCATTATTCCAATTCTCACTATTTATATTATATGCCGCCTTTCTCCCCAACAGAAAGACTCAGTTAGAATCATAGAATCAAAGAGTTGGAAGAGACCTCATGGGCCATCCAGTCCAACCCCATTCTGCCAAGAAGCAGGAATATTGCATTCAAATCACCCCTGACAGATGGCCATCCAGCCTCTGTTTAAAACTTCCAAAGAAGGAGCCTCCACCACACTCAGGGGCAGAGAGTTCCACTGCTGAACGGCTCTCACAGTCAGGAAGTTCTTCCTCATGTTCAGATGGAATCTCCTTTCTTGAAGTTTGAAGCCATTGTTTCCTTGCGTCCTAGTCTCCAGGGAAGCAGAAAACAAGCTTGCTCCCTCCTCCTCCCTGTGGCTTCCTCTCACATATTTGTACATGGCTATCAAATCTCCTCTCAGCCTTCTCTTCTTCAGGCTAAACATGCCCAGCTCCTTAAGCCGCTCCTCATAGGGCTTGTTCTCCAGACCCTTAATTTGATTATATTAGTGAAGTCTCAGTGTTTTTAATTTATCTTTACCTTTATTATGTATTTAATTTATATGCCACTTTTCCCTCAACATAGGGACTCATTATACTTACTATTAGCACTGTCTCAGTGTTTTTATTTGTATTTATTATGTATTTAATTTCCCCGTCGCCTTTCTCCCATCGTAAGGACTCGTTAGTGTGAACATTAGCAAAGTCTTGGTGTTTATATTTATGTTTAATTTCTATGCCACTTTTCTCCAGACTCATTAGTTTGAAATCACAGTGTTTATATTGGTATTTATTATGTATTTATTTTCTGTACCACTTTTCTCCAGACATAGGAACTCATTAGTCTCATTATTAATGAAATCTCACTCTTCTTATTTATATTTATTTAATATTATATTTATTTATATTTATCGTGTATTTAATTTGTATGCCATTTTCCTCCCAACATAGGGAATCATTAGGCAAAGCCTGTCTTTTTATTTATACAAGTTTGGGTACCCGGTGTTGCCTAGGTTATTTGAAAAAGTCCATTTCTTTAATTGTACAAAATGCATAAGGTTGTAGGTGAACTACAACTCACATCATGTCAGGTTAACCTCGAGAAACTCCATCAGTACTTAAAGTTTGTTATGTTGGGCAAGTTTGCTCTAGATGCATCATTGGTGGGGTTCAATGTGCTCTTTGGCTGTAGAGTAAACTACAACTCCCACTATGGTGAGTCAGTCTCCTCAAACCCCTCCAGTAGGTTGAGTTAGTCATGGGGGTTCTGTGTGCCAAGTTTGGTCCAGATCCATTGGTGTTTGAGTTCACAGTGCTGTCTGTATGTAGGTGAACTACAACTCCCCAAATCAAGGTGAATTTTTCCCAAAGACCTCTAGTATTTTTTGCTGGTCATGGGACTCAGTGTGCCAAGTTTGGTCCAATTCCATCTTTGATGGAGTTCAGAGGGCTAATTGACTGCATATCAGGTCCGTGTGCCAAGTTTGCTCCAGATCCATCGGTTCTGAGTTCACAGTATTGTTTGGATGTAGGTGAACTACAACTCCCCAAATCAAGGTGAATTTTCCCCCAGAGACCTTCAGTATTTTTTGCTGGTCATGGGGGCTCTGTGTGCCAAGTCTGGTCCAATTCCTTATTTAGAGGAGCTCGGACTACAAATTGATTGCAGGCGAACTATACATCCCAGTACTTACAACCCCAAAATGTCCAGGCCAATTCTCCTGAAAACCTACCAGTATTCAAATTTGGGCATATCAGGTATGCATGCCAAGTTTGTTCCAGATCCATCATTGTTTGGGTTCACAGTGCTCTCTGGATGTAGGTGAACTATAACTCCCCCAAATCAAGGTGAATTTTCCGCAAGGACCTCCAGTATTTTTTTCTGGTCATGGGGTTTCTGTGTGCCAAGTTAGTTCCAGGTCCATCATTGGTGGAGTTCAGAGTGCTCTTAGATTGCAGGTGAACTATAAATCCCAGTACCTACAACCCCAAAATGTCCAGACCAATTCCCCTCAAAACCTACCAGTATTCAAATTTGGGTGTATCGGGTATGCATAATAATAATAACTTTATTTATACCCCATCACCATCTCCCCAAGTTTGGTCCAGATCCATCATTGTTTGGGTTCACAGTGCTCTCTGGATGTACGTGAACTATAACTCCCCCGAATCAAGGTGAATTTTCCCCCAAAGACCTTCAGTATTTTTTGCTGGTCATGGGGGCTCTATGTGCCAAGTTTGATCAAATTCCATCTTTGATGGAGTTCGGAGTACTCATTGATTGGAAGTGAACTATAAATCCCAGTAGCTACAACCCTGAAATGTCCAGGGCAATTCCCCTGAAAACCTAGCAGTATTCAAATTTGGGCGTATCGAGTATGCATGCCAAATTTGGTCCAGATCCATCATTGTTTGGGTTCACACTGCTCTCTGGATGTAGGTGAACTATAACTCCCAAGCTCAAGGTCAATGCTCACCAAACCCTTTCAATGTTTTCTGTTTGTCGTGGGACTTCTGTGTGCCAAGTTTGGTTCAATTCCATCATTGGTCAAGTTCAGAATGCTCTCTGATGGTAGGTTAACTATAAATCCCAGCAACTACAACTCCCAAATGACAAAATTATATTTTGTGTGATGGTCGCTCCTTGTGTTGTGAGACTATTTGTGTCTTTAGTTCTATGCACAACAACAACAATAATAATGACAATAGATCTTGGTGTCTTTGTCTCAAACAGCGCTTTGCAAGAATTTATCCATTTCCTATTTTGCCTTTTTTTCGTTCTAAAGGAAACGATGCACGAAGGAGCCTCGAAATGAATGACGCAGAAAGGAAGCCATTCGGATCAATGGAAGAGGAGCGCAGTTACTGGAAAGAGTTGGCCGCCAAATATAAAGAATGGTAAAACTTCATTTTTCTCTTTCTCTGTGGTTTTATGGTCTATAGTGCAATACGTAGTGTTGGGGATGCTGGGATATGTAGTCCCCCATTGGGCAATTATCCCTAGTGTGCATTAGACCATGCATGGGCAAACTTGGGCCCTCTAGGTGTTTTGGACTCCAACTCCCACCATTCCTAACAGCCTCAGGCCCTTTCCTTTTCCCCCTCAGCCGCTTAAGCGGCTGAGGGAGCAAAGAAAGGGGCCTGAGGCTGTTAGGAATGGTGGGAGTTGGAGTCCAAAACACCTGGACGGCCCAAGTTTGACTATACCTGATTTAGACAATTCCCTCATAGTTGTGTTGTTTCCCTCCTCCAGTGCGGACAACGCGCAGGAAGAGCTGCGGGAGTTTCAGGAAGGCAGCCGGGAGTACGAAGCGGAGCTGGAAATGCAGTTGCAGCAAATGGAGACCCGGAACCGGGACCTGCTTTCGGAGAACCACCGGCTCCGGGGGGAGATCGAGGCCGTGAAGGTGAGCGAGGAGCGGCCCCCATGGCCTCGGTCCCAGTTTGGTCCTAAAAGCAGATAAAGACATGTTTGGATGCTGAATGTCAGCCCAGAGGGTAATGCTGCAGCAGAAAAGGCCAATACAATTCCAGGTGGCATCCAAAGGGGTCAACGAAAGTCATCGTCCCACTCTCTTGCGCAATGGCAGAGTTATTATTATTATTATTTGGTCACCTGGAACAACCCTGCGTCCATCTATCGGGAGGGCTTTGTTGATACCTTCAATCATGAAGGCAGAAAGGGGATGGATTGGATGGCCTTTGGGGTCTCCTCCAACTCTAGGGATTTATGGTTCCTCCATCATCATCATTACAGCTATAATAATTTTTTTTTTATGAAGCAGAAACTGCATGGCCCTCTGTCAGAAGGGTTTTAATTGTGCATTCGATGCATTGGTAGAATGGGTTTCTATTGTTGTTGTTGTTATTATTATTATTATTATTATTATTATTATTATTATTATGTAGAGCCTGCATAGCCATTTCTCAGGATTATGTGTTCTATGTATTGGCAGAATGGGCTTCTATTACTATTATTATTATTAATAATAATAATATTAAGCAGAGGTTGGATGGCCATTTTTCAGAAGAGCTTTCTACCACTGGCAGAATCGACTTCTATTATTATTATTATTATTATTATTACTATTATTATTAATAATAATAATAATAATAAGCAGAGGTTGAATGGCCATTTTTCAGAAGAGCTTTCTATCACTGGCAGAATCGACTTCTATTATTATTATTACTATTATTATGCTGAGCCTGCATGGCCATCTGTCAGGAATAATAATAATAATATTAAGCAGAAGTTGGATGACCATTTTTCAGAAGAGCTTCTACCACTGGCAGAATGGACTTCTGTTGTTATTGTTGTTGGACTTCTGTTGTTGTTGTTGTTATTATTATTATTATTATTATTATTATTATTATTATTATGCTGAGCCTGCATGGCCATCTGTTGAGAGGGCTTTGATGTATGTACCATGCAATGGCAGAATGGGCTTCTATTATTATTATTATTATTATTATTATTATTATTATTATTATTATTATCAACAAAGCCTGCAGAGCCACTTGTCAGGAGGGCATTGATTGTGTGTTCCATGCATTGGCAGAATAGACTTCTATTATTATTATTATTATTATTATTATTATTAAGCAGAGCCTGCATGACCATCTGTTGGGGGGCTCTGATTGTTTCCATGCATGGGCAGAATGGGATATTATTATTATTATTATTATTATTATTATTAAGTAGAGCTTTCACGACCAGTGGGTTGTTGCAGGTTTTTCATGCTGTATGGCCATGTTCTAGAAGCATTCTCTCCTGATGTTTCGCCTGCATCTATGGCAGGCGTCCTCAGAGGTTGTGAAGATGCCTACCATAGATGCAGGCGAAACGTCAGGAGAGAATGCTTCGAGAACATGGCCATACAGCCTGAAAAACCTGCAACAACCCACTGGCTATGAAAGCTCTACTTAATAATAATAATAATAATAATAATAATAATAATAATAATAATAATATCCTATTCTGCCAATGCATGGAACACAATCAAAGTCCTCCCAACAGATGGACATGCAGGCTCTGCTTAATAATCATAATCATAATAGAAGACTATTCCGTGAATGCATCGAATGCACAACTAAAGCCCTCCTGACAGATGGCCATGCAGGCTTCAGCTTAATAGCAACAACAACAACAGGATGCATGGAACACACAATCAATGCCCTCTGCAGGCTCTGCTGCTAACAACAACAACAACAGAAGTCTATTCTGCCATGATTCAAGCCATGAAAGCCTTCGACAATACCTTCATGGCCATTTTTCAGAAGGGGTTGGATTGTGTATTATTCCACCACTGGCAGAATGGGATTCTGTTGTTGTTGTTGTTGTTGTTCAAAGCCTGCATGGCCATCTGTTGGGATGGTTTTGATTGTGCGTTCCAGCAATGGCTGAATGGGGTTGGATTGGATGGCCCTTGGGGTTTCTTCCAACTCCAGGATGCATTCTGTTCCATTTTGGAAATAATTTTCACCCTGCCATAACATATCCTCAAAATTGCATGATTTGGTGTCAGAAAGAAGAGAGCCTTGGAGGCTCATTTCGAAAATGCAGGCAGTCATGGTAAAGCATCATTTTGACAGGCGGCAGAGCAACAATCGGCCCATTCATGTCTCCAAAGAGAATGGCAGCAACAGACACAGAGGCCATTGATGCGGCTGCAGCACGGCCCCGGGTTCTAGATCATGGCGCGGGTTTCCTTTGGAAGTCCGTCCTATGGCTGGGACCCAAGCCTGAATCTAATCCAAAGAGAGCGCCATTGCAAAAGCTAATGTTTGCAACCCCTTTGAGTGTAGCCCACAGTTTGGACTAAAACCCAGAGCGGATCCATTGCCATAATCCAGCATTACCTGCCTGGAAACCAGTTCCTTTGAGTGTTGGTAGCCTTAGCCAAATGCAAAGGTTTCCCTGTTTGATTTTCTATTTGGATGTAATTTGAAGTTTGGACTAAAACCCCAAGCGGATTCATTACCATGATCCATCACTATCTGTCCAGAAACTGATTGTTTGGGGTTGGAACTAGACATTGCACCTTTTCCAGTACATTTTCTGGTTCCCAGCAAAGAGATAGATGGAAATATTTACAATAATCATCATTATTATCAGGAGAAGATCACGTCCCAACACTCGGAAGGCTACCATCAGATCTCGGTGCTGGAGGAGGAGCTGGCCCAGACGAAAGCCATCAAGGACCAGCTGCAGAAATACATCCGCGAATTGGAGCAATCCAATGATGACCTGGAGCGGGCCAAGAGGTAAGCTCACTCCTTTGCCCCTTGCAAAACTACTACTCCCAACTCGTAGCATTGAGCCAAGAGGCACAAAACTGCATTCTTCCTTGATGCAGCCTTGGACAACTTTAGTTCAGAACCCTAGGATGTCCTTGGCACTGAAACTACTACAACTCCCAAGATCTCGGTAGCATTGAAACTACAAGTCCTAGTATCCCCATAGCATTTTGGATGAGGAAGGGTCCTGCATCCGTGGGGTGTTGCCATGAATCTCACCCAGGATGATGGGCGTTGTAGTCAGGCATGCCTTTTCTTCTCTTCTTCTCGTCTAGGGCCACCATCATGTCCTTGGAGGACTTTGAGCAGCGGCTGAACCAGGCCATTGAGCGCAACGCCTTCCTGGAGAGCGAACTGGACGAGAAGGAGACCCTCCTGGAGTCTGTCCAGCGGCTCAAGGACGAGGCCAGAGGTCAGTCAAGAGGGCCACTTTTTGGGGCATGATGGGATGTGGCGAAGGCCCATGGTGCCACATGATGAGGGTGTCCGAGGCCCACGTTTGATGGTCACCAAACTCAAGAATGGGGACTTGGAAAGACACAGCACCAAGGAAACATATTTACTATATTATAAGTACCTCCAAAATGTCTTTAAAGCAGAGCCTCCAGTTTGCATCACAACTGGCATTAATTTAATTTTATTTTTTTTGTCGTTGTCAGGAGCGACTTGAGAAACTGCAAGTTGCTTCTGGTGTGAGAGAATTGGCCGTCTGCAAGGACGTTGCCCAGGGGACGGCCAGATGAATGGATATTTTTATCATCCTTTTGGGAGGCTTCTCTCATGTCCTCGCACGAGGAGCTGGAGCTGATAGAGGGAGCTCATCTGCCTCTCCCCGGATTCAAACTTGTGACCTGTCGGTCTTCAGTCCTGCCGTCACAGGGGTTTAACTCACTGCGCCACCGGGGGCATTAATAATAATATACTTTACTAGCTGTCCCCCGCCACGCGTGTTTTCTGATGGTCTTTGGTGACCCCTTTGGCACCCCCTTGTGACCCCAACCCCCAGGTTGAGAAACGCTGGCTTAGGTGGACAGTAAGCTGGGTTGACAGTCAGGTGCTCACCCCAACCCGACTTCAAACTGGCAACCTTTCGATTGGTAAGATGTTATTGCTGCTGTTGATTTACCAGCTGTGCTAAAGCCCGGCCCATTATCATTATTATTATTATCATTATCAACATCATCATCATCATCACTATTATTATTATTATTATTATTATTATTATTTTACGTAAGCAGCTCACAACATTAAAAAAGCAATGCAGTTCCAAACCCACAACCAAGTGGAATTAAACAAACTAAATTATGATAAATTTGAGGCCTGAGTTGGAGGATTTCCAAAAAGTGAGGCTTGGATTGAACGTTTTGACATACATATATTTTATAATAATGGCTTTCCTTGCTTCGTTTCCCTTAGACCTGCGCCAGGAATTGGCCGTCCAGCAAAAGCAGGAGAAACCCAAGGCTTTAGCGGAGAGTCCTTTGGAGGCCGCCTCTGTTCCATCCACCCCTTTGACCTGCAGGACGCCCAGCCTCGGAGTGACGCCTTTGGGAGGATCATTCAGGAGAGGTCAGGGGGTCATTTGGACTCCGGATTCACCTTCTAGGGAGGCGTCTACACTGCAGAATTGCCCTATATTGACGCAAATCAATACAGCAATTCTGTAGCCGTAATCAACAGCGCCCCTTGTGGCTGCTTTACAGGAACTGCAAGGCAATGCCCTTCAGGAACACTTCACTATGGTGCAATTTAACTATATAGTTACCCTCTCATTGCAATGTAATTATAGTTAATTCACTAGAATAAACCAGGAACGAGAACCGTGGAGAAAATGGCAGCTGCAGGGAAAGGAACAGAGATTCAGAATTTCAGCCCTGAGTCAAAAAGAGAAACTTTCCAATTCTCTTTTAAGTTTGGAATATTTAAAGATGATTTAAATATCAGAATTTAAAGAGCGGGCAATAAGGCTTGCAAACCTCAGCCTTGAGGACTTGGAAATTTGTGATTTGACCAGAAAACAAATACACAAATAGAGTGTTGAATATTGCAAACTATAATGGCTTGTACTATATAATGAGATATCTGTGGGATATATAATATAAAATATAATCTCTCTCTATATATAATATAAAATACATATTATATATATTATATATAATATATAATATATATGTTTTATATAATATGTATGTATATTATATATTTTATATTTAATATAAAATATATCTATAATATAAAATATATTTATAAAATATATAAAATAATATATATGTACTCTCTATATATGCATACACACATATATTTATGTGTGTATAATATATCTTGTTTCATACAGTACATATTACGGTACGTATATAATATATAGTTTAATTTATACATTTCCATTATATTTATATATACTGTATATAGAATTATTCTTCTTTTGTAAAGGTTTGGAGGAGAGTTCTAATAGTGCGACTCCGCTGACCCCTGCGGCCCGAATATCAGCACTCAACATTGTGGGGGACCTTCTCCGGAAAGTTGGGGTGAGTTGCCATTGTTTTTAATAGATGTCGCATGGAAAGGAACTGCAGAGAAAGTTGGGAGAATGTACTCAAAGGGGAAGTCCAGGTTGATATGCAATTGAACTGGACCGGCCCTTTAAAAGCCTTCTGCATCTGTAGTCACTGTCCCCCTTTGGGTCCTTTTTGGTCCTCAGTGCACTACAGAGTCTGCTGTTGTTGTTGTTTTAAAGGGCAGGCACTGCCTTCCAATGCATTGCAAATTATTATTATTATTATTATTATTATTATTATTATTATTATTATTTTGAAGGGCAGGCACTGCCTTCCAATGCACTGCAAATTATTATTGTTGTTGTTGTTGTTATGAAGGGGAGACACTGCTTTCCAATGCACTACGAATTATTATTATTATTATTATTATTATTATTATTATTATTAAGGGCAGGTACTACCTTCCAATGCACTGCAAATTGTTATTATTATTATGAAGAGCAGTCACTGCCTTCCAATGCACTGCAAATTATAATAATAATTATTATTATTATTATTATTATTATTATTATTATTTTGAAGAGCAGGCACTGCCTTCCAATGCACTGCAAATTATTATTATTATTATTATTATTATTATTATTATTATTATGAAGGGCAGGCACTGCCTTCCAATGCACTGCAAATTATTATTATTATTATTATTATTATTATTATTATTTTGAAGGGCAGGCACTACCTTCCAATGCACTGCAAATTATTATTATTATTATTATTATTATTATTATTATTATTATTATTATTATTTTGAAGAGCAGGCACTGCCTTCCAATGCACTGCAAATTATTATTATTATTATTATTATTATTATTATTATTATTATGAAGGGCAGGCACTGCCTTCCAATGCACTGCAAATTATTATTATTATTATTATTATTATTATTATTATTATTATGAAGGGCAGGCACTGCCTTCCAATGCACTGCAAATTATTATTATTATTATTATTATTATGAAGGGCAGGCACTGCCTTCCAATGCACTGCAAATTATTATTATTATTATTATTATTATTATTATTATTATTATTAAGGGCAGGCACTACCTTCCAATGCACTGCAAATTATTATTATTATTTTGAAGGGCAGGCACCGCCTTCCAATGCACTGCAAATTATTATTATTATTATTATTATTATTATTATTATTATTATTATTTTGAAGAGCAGGCATTACCTTCCAATGCACTGCAAATTATTATTATTATTATTATTATTATTATTATTATTATTATTATGAAGGGCAGGCACTACCTTCCAATGCACTGCAAATTATTATTATTATTATTATTATTATTTTGAAGGGCAGGCACTGCCTTCCAATGCACTGCAAATTATTATTATTATTATTATTATTATTATTATTATTATTATTTGAAGGGCAGGCACTGCCTTCCAATGCACTACGTATTATTATTATTATTATTATTATTATTATTATTATTATTATGAAGGGCAGGCACTGCCTTCCAATGCACTACGTATTATTATTATTATTATTATTATTATTATTATTATTATTATGAAGGGCAGGCACTGCCTTCCAATGCACTGCAAATTATTATTATTATTATTATTATTATTATTATTATTATTATGAAGGGCAGGCACTGCCTTCCAATGCACTACAATTATTATTATTATTATTATTATTATTATTATTATTATTATGAAGGGCAGGCACTGCCTTCCAATGCACTACGTATTATTATTATTATTATTATTATTATTATTATTATTATTATTATTATGAAGGGCAGGCACTACCTTCCAATGCACTGCAAATTATTATTATTATTATTATTATTCGCAGGCACTGCCTTCCAATGCACTACAAAAAGTGACATGATAGGGTTATTTACCTGTAATCGTGTTTCTTTGAGTGGTCATCTGTGAAATCCGCCCATATAGGCAATAACCTATAGAAACTACGAAGAAGAAGATATGGCTGCTTTCCTGTAACCGTATTTCTTTGGGTGGTTATCTGTGAAATTTGCACATATGGTTTATTTCCTGTAGGTGCCATTTCACAGAGACCACGAAGAAGAAGCATTACTATTATTAATATTACTATCATTATTGTTGTTGTTGTTATTATAACAACCCTTCCTTGCCTTTGCACCCAATGGGAACCAAATGGTGTGCTGGCCCTTTAAATGCCTTTTCCAGAACGGATGCTAATGGGTTCTCCTTCTGTTCCTTCCAGGCCTTGGAGTCCAAGCTGGCCTCTTGCCGGAACTTTGTCTATGACCAGGCGCCCTACTACAACAGGAGCCCCTTGGCCACTTCCGGGCCCCATGGGTGAGTCGTTGAGGGTCCCATCATCCACAGGGAAACTACAACTCCTTTCTTGCTGTCCTTCCTTTCTTTCTACCTTTAGCGCCAGGCTAAAGCCTTCTTGTTTCAGACAAGGAGGAGAAGCAAGTTATCACTATCATTATTAATATCATTTGTCATTATTATTATCAGCATTATCATTGGGTTACTGTGAGTTTTCCGGGCTGCATGGCCATGTTCCAGAAGCATTCTCTCCTGACGTTTCACCCACATCTATGGCAAGCATCCTCAGAGGTTGTGCGGTCTGTTGGAAACTAGGCTAGTGAAGTTTATCTATCTGTGGAATGCCCCGCCATGTCCCTTCCAGAAGCATTCTCTCCTGACGTTACACCTACATCTATCACAGGCATCCTCAGAGGTTGTGAGGTCTGTTGGAAACTAGGCAAGTGAGGTTTATGTATCTATGGAATAATATCCAGGGTGGGAGAAAGAACTCTTGTCTGCTTGAGGCAAGTGTGAATGTTCAATTGGCCAGCTTGATTAGCATTGAATGGCTTTGCAGCTTCAAAGCCTGGCTGCTTCCTGCCTGGGGGATTCCTTTGTTGGGAGCTGTTCACTGGCCCTGGTGCTTTCCTGTCTGGAATTCCTCTGTTTTCTGAGTGTTTCTCATTATTTAGTGTCCTGATTCCAGACAGGAGACAATCAGAGCCAGCTAACACATCCCAGGACAGTAAATAAAAAGAACAACACTTAGAAAATAGGGGAATTCCAGACATGAAACAATCAGGGCCAGCTAACACATCCCAGGACAGTAAATAAAAAGAACAACACTTAGAAAATAGGGGAATTCCAGACATGAAACAATCAGGGCCAGCTAACACATCCCAGGACAGTAAATAAAAAGAACAACGCTTAGAAAATAGGGGAATTCCAGACATGAAACAATCAGGGCCAGCTAACACATCCCAGGACAGTAAATAAAAAGAACAACGCTTAGAAAATAGGGGAATTCCAGACATGAAACAATCAGGGCCAGCTAACACATCCCAGGACAGTAAATAAAAAGAACAACGCTTAGAAAATAGGGGAATTCCAGACGTGAAACAATCAGGGCCAGCTAACACATCCCAGGACAGTAAATAAAAAGAACAACGCTTAGAAAATAGGGGAATTCCAGACATGAAACAATCAGGGCCAGCTAACACATCCCAGGACAGTAAATAAAAAGAACAACGCTTAGAAAATAGGGGAATTCCAGACATGAAACAATCAGGGCCAGCTAACACATCCCAGGACAGTAAATAAAAAGAACAACACTTAGAAAATAGGGGAATTCCAGACATGAAACAATCAGGGCCAGCTAACACATCCCAGGACAGTAAATAAAAAGAACAACGCTTAGAAAATAGGGGAATTCCAGACATGAAACAATCAGGGCCAGCTAACACATCCCAGGACAGTAAATAAAAAGAACAACGCTTAGAAAATAGGGGAATTCCAGACATGAAACAATCAGGGCCAGCTAACACATCCCAGGACAGTAAATAAAAAGAACAACGCTTAGAAAATAGGGGAATTCCAGACATGAAACAATCAGGGCCAGCTAACACATCCCAGGACAGTAAATAAAAAGAACAACGCTTAGAAAATAGGGGAATTCCAGACATGAAACAATCAGGGCCAGCTAACACATCCCAGGACAGTAAATAAAAGAACAACACTTAGAAAATAGGGGAATTCCAGACATGAAACAATCAGGGCCAGCTAACACATCCCAGGACAGTAAATAAAAAGAACAACGCTTAGAAAATAGGGGAATTCCAGACATGAAACAATCAGGGCCAGCTAACACATCCCAGGACAGTAAATAAAAAGAACAACGCTTAGAAAATAGGGGAATTCCAGACATGAAACAATCAGGGCCAGCTAACACATCCCAGGACAGTAAATAAAAGAACAACACTTAGAAAATAGGGGAATTCCAGACATGAAACAATCAGGGCCAGCTAACACATCCCAGGACAGTAAATAAAAAGAACAACGCTTAGAAAATAGGGGAATTCCAGACATGAAACAATCAGGGCCAGCTAACACATCCCAGGACAGTAAATAAAAGAACAACACTTAGAAAATAGGGGAATTCCAGACATGAAACAATCAGGGCCAGCTAACACATCCCAGGACAGTAAATAAAAGAACAACGCTTAGAAAATAGGGGAATTCCAGACATGAAACAATCAGGGCCAGCTAACACATCCCAGGACAGTAAATAAAAGAACAGCGCTTAGAAAATAGGGGAATTCCAGACATGAAACAATCAGGGCCAGCTAACACATCCCAGGACAGTAAATAAAAGAACAACGCTTAGAAAATAGGGGAATTCCAGACGTGAAACAATCAGGGCCAGCTAACACATCCCAGGACAGTAAATAAAAAGAACAACGCTTAGAAAATAGGGGAATTCCAGACATGAAACAATCAGGGCCAGCTAACACATCCCAGGACAGTAAATAAAAGAACAACACTTAGAAAATAGGGGAATTCCAGACATGAAACAATCAGGGCCAGCTAACACATCCCAGGACAGTAAATAAAAAGAACAACGCTTAGAAAATAGGGGAATTCCAGACATGAAACAATCAGGGCCAGCTAACACATCCCAGGACAGTAAATAAAAGAACAACACTTAGAAAATAGGGGAATTCCAGACATGAAACAATCAGGGCCAGCTAACACATCCCAGGACAGTAAATACAAAAAACAACGCTTAGAAAATAGGGGAATTCCAGATATGAAACAATCAGGGCCAGCTAACACCTCCCAACAAAGGATCCCCCCCCCCCCTTTCCGGCAGGAAGCAGCCAGGCTTTGAAGCTGCCAAACAAACTGGCCAATGGCAACATTGACACTTGCCTCAAAAAGACACGAGTTCTTTCTCCCACCCCTGGATATTCCATAGATACATAAAGCCCACTTGCCTAATTTCCAACAGACCTCACAACCTCTGAGGTTGCCTGCCATAGATGTGGGCGAAACGTCAGGAGAGAATGCTTCTGGAACATGGCCATACAGCAACCCAGTGATTCCGGCCATGAAAGCCTTCGACAAGGGATTGTAACGATTATAATTACTGCTATTATTGTTGTTGTTGTTGTTGTTTTTGTTTTTGTTATTATTATTGCAAGGCTGAGTGGGGATTTGAACCCAGGATTCCCATCATTAGCATGGGCAAACTTGGGCCCTCCAGGTGTTTTGGACTTCAACTCCCACAATTCCAATTGGGAGTTGAAGTCCAAAACACCTGGAGGGCCCAAGTTTGCCCATGCCTGTTATCTCCCTTGCTGAGCTCTGGCCCATCCTTAGAATCACAGAAAGAAGGTCCTCCAAAGGCCATCTAGTCCAGCCCGACCGTGCACTTCACGCCTCTCTCCTTTCCTTTTGTTGCAGATGGAGTCCGCGGCCGGTCCGCCTCACAGGGCCAGCGGGGATGCCTCCGCAAGGCGTTGTCCAGATGCTGCTTTGAAGAACCGCAAGGACCTGACCGTTCATTTCGTTGCATCCATTTCCAGCAGAAAGCAATTAAAATGCAGGAAACGAGAGAGGCATCAATTGCTCTATCTGGCTCCAGCAGAAAAGGGATGATGGGATTGCAGTCCGGATTTGCAAAACCTGGATTCCGGGGTCCATCCGCCAAACGCAATAAACTGGATTCTTCCATCGGATCTCATTGCGAAAAGAAGCCATGAAGGGGGTGATGGGATTTGCAGTCCTGTTTTGCAACAACCGGGTTCTCGGGCACATTTCCCAAACGCAGCAAACTGGATTATTCCCCGTTGCAGAAAAAGACGCAAACGGACGGAGGGATGGGAAGCTATTTCTTGCCAATATAGTGACATAATTTGGGGTTATTTTGCAAATCGAGATTGCTTTTATTTTGCTTTTAAAGGAAAGCAAAACCCAATGTTGCAAACCCCTTTGGATTTAGATATTTTTAATACAGAATTCCTAGTTCACTGCACAGAGTTCTTTATTTTGCTGTTGGGCTGAACCCTTTCTTTGCATTTTGCAATTCAGTGAATCACCTTTTTTTGCAATTAAATTCAGTCTAGATTGCTGGGAGTTTTCCGGGTTGTATGAGCTATGTCCCAAGTAGCATTCTCTCCTGATGTTTCACCCACATCAATAGCAGGCATCCTCAGAATGTGGGGTCTGTTGGAAACTAGGCAAGTGAGGTTTGTGTGTGTGTGTGTGTGTGTGTATTATATATATACACACACACACATATATACACACATATATAGACACATATACACACATACATACATACACCATATATGTATGTATGTATGTATGTATGTATATACACATACATACATATGCATATCTGTGGAATAATGTCCTGGGTGAGAGAAAGACCGCTTGTCTTATTGAGGCAAGTGTGAATGTTGCAATTGGCCACCTTGATTAGCTTTGAATAGCTTTGCAGCTTCAGAGCCCGGCTGCTTCCTGCCCGGGGGGGTGATCTTTTGTTGGGAGGTGTTAGCTGGCCTTGATTGATTCTTGTCTGGAATTCCCCTGCTTTTAGAGTGTTGCTCTTTATTTACTGTCCTGATTTTAGAGTGTTTTTTTTTTAATGCTGGTAGAAATGTTAAAAAGTTTTTTAAATATTAATAATATTAAATTTTTAATATTAGTAGGTTTTTTAAGTATTAAAAAAACCTAGAGAAGCCATTGAAATCCATAAGTATGTGAACAATTTCAACAAAAAGAAGGAAACCATGAAAACGAACAAAATCAGACTCCCAGTATTTTAAAAAACTCTAAAATCAGGACAGTAAATAAAGAGCAACACTCAAAAAACAGGGATTCCAGACAAGAATCAATAATAAAAGAATCAATAATAAAATAATTCCACACAGGAAATAGTGATTAGTATTCAATAGCCTGGCAGCTTCAAAGCCTGGCTGCTTCCTATCTGGGGGGAATCCTTTGTTGGGAGGTGTTAGCATTCCCTGATTTGTTTCCTGCCTGGAATCGGGACAGTAAATAAAGAGAAACACTCAGAAAACAGGGGTTCCAGACAGGAAACAATCAGGGCCAGTGAACACCTCCCAACAATGTATTCCCCCTTGCAGGAAGCAACCAGGCTTTGAAGCTGCAAGACTATTCAATGCTAACTAAGGTGGCCAATTGCAACATTGACACCTGCCTCCAACAGAAAAGTGTTCTTTCTTCCACTCTGGACATTCCACAGATATATAAACTTAACTTGCCTAGTTTCCAACAAGCCTTACAACCTCTGAGGATGCCTGCCATAGATGTGGGCAAAACGTCAGGAGAGAATGCTTCTGGAACATGGCCATACCGCCCAGAAAGCTCGCAGCAGCCTAGTGATTCCAGCCATAAATTGAGTCTGTTTTGGAAAAAGCAAAGCCTCATTCCATGCAAGACTTTTCCGATGCGGATTAATTCAATGTTTTTAACACTTTTGGTGGTTATATTACTTTAAAAATGTCAGGCGAGGTGATGTTCCCCTGTGGTTTTATACACCTTTATTGAAGTGTGTGTCAAAGCACAAAAAAATCCATCATCATTTCAAACAGGACACAATTCAAATCTGGGGACATTTGGGTGGAAAATGAAGGAAACATTAAAAGCAACAAAGAAAGGAAGGAAGTCACTTTGGGAATTTAAATGGAAGAAAGTGCAAAGAGTCGGAGTGGATTCCCTTTAGAGACATTGAATTTTTCCGTTTACGGGTTAGAATAATATTCAAAAGGGCATTAATATTATGAATACTAATAATAAATCATTTCCACATAAAACATTTATTATTATTATTGTCTCCAAAATGTTATTGTATAACTGATGGATTATTATTATTATTATTAATGCCCTTGCAAAATAATGTATTCTGTAAATGCAAAAATTCAATATTATAGAGGAGGGCAATAATAATAATTCATCAATTGCACATAAAGCATTGCATTTCTGCCTTTATGGGTTAGAATAATATTTTAGAAGGGATAATAATCTTATTAATTGCACAATAATATGTTAGAAAGGATAATAATCTTCTCAATTGCACATAAAACATTGTATTTCTGCCTTTATGGAGCACAGTGTTTTATGGTGTAATGGATTATTATTATTATTATTATTATTATTTTCCAAAATAATATTGTAATCCATAAAGGGAAAAAATCAATAATATTTCAGAGAGGTGAATTAATAATAATCCATCAATACGCATATAATTTCTGTCTCTAGGGGCACAATGATGTTTCTGAAAGGGGAATAATAATAATTATATTAATAATAATGAGAATCCTGCCGCAGGGTAGAAGTATCGGTGCTTACACTCGAGGAAAAGCCGTTGGTGCCATGAGCTGGAGGTGACCTTTGGGAAAAGATAAAAGCATTAAATGGTGATATGAAAACGACCCCTGGCATCGGGTAATCCTTTTCCAACATTTTTTTTTTGTATATAATTTTGGTGTGGGGTCCGTTTGGATGGCCTTCAGAGGGCCCTCACTCGGCCTTGGTGCCGTTGAAGTCCCCGTCTTTTGCATCGGTGTCGTCCTCTGAGCCTTCTCCAGCTGCGTTTTCGATGGTGCGCCTCCCTCCTCCTCCTCCGCCGGACCGTCTGGATGGGGCAAAAGAGGAGGCGGAGGGCTCGTTGCCCCGTCTGCAACGAAAAAGCAGATTTAAAGTAAGAGATTGAAGTTTACAAGGTGGGAAACAAAGCATCCTTGGGCTCCTGGAAGAAGGTTTGGCCAAAGGGGGAGAAAGAAGTAGGTAGAAGTCTTCAGCATGCAAGGCAAGGGGCAGTCCTCAATGCACCCACCATTCAGCCGATAGAAAAGCATGGGAAAGGGGTCCCTCAAAGGTCATCTAGTCTAGCTACCTGGGCAACGTCTCCATTTGCAAGGAGTTCCTCTTTAAAAAAAAAAAACTAATGTTAAAGCCTCATTTAGAACAATAATAGAAAAAATAACTGGAAAAGGATCCTCCAAAGGTCATGTAGCCCAGCCACCTGGGCAAACTCTTCATTTGCAAGAGTTCTTGTATGTATTCTAGCCAATAGAAAAATGATAAGGGGTCCCCCCAAAGGTCATCTAGTCTCGCCATGTAGGCAACCTCTTCATTTGCAAGGAGCTTCTCTGATACTAGAGCTTCTTTGAGAACACTAATAGAAAAGTACTGGAAAGGGGTCCCCCAAAGGTCATCTAGCCCGGCCACCTGGGAAACCACTCCATTAGCAAGGAGTTCCTCTTTTAAAAAAACAACTAATGTTAGAACCTCCTTTAGAATAACAATAGAAAAGTACTGGAAAGGGGTCCCCAAAGGTAATCTAGTCTCGCCACCTGGGCAACCTCTTCATTTACAAGGAGCTTCTCTTAATACTAGAGCCTTTTTTAGAACAATAATAGAAAAGTACTGGAAAGGGGTCCCCAAAGGTCATCTAGTCTAGCCACCTGGATAACCTCTCCATTTGCAAGGAGTTCCTCTTTAAAAACAAACTAATGCTAGAGCCTCATTTAGAATAATAGAAAAGCACTGGAAAGAGGTCCCCAAAGGTAATCTAGTCCAGCCACCGAGCCACCTCTCCATTCACAAGAGTCCTCGTATACTGGAAAGGGCCCCCCAAATATCTAGTCTAGCCACCTGGGCAAGCTCTCCATTTGCAAGGTGCTTCTCTAATACTAGAGCCTTTTTTAGAACAATAATAGAAAAGTACTGGAACGGGTACCCCCAAAGATCATCTAGACCAGCCACCTGGGCAACCTGTCTATTCGCAAGAGTCCTTGTATGTATTCTAGAAAATAGAAAAAAACTGGAAAGGAGTCCCCCAAAGGTCATCTAGTCCAGCCACTTGGGCAACCCCTCCATTCTCAAGAGTCCTTGCATGTACTCTAGCCAATAGAAATGAACTGGAAATGGGTCTCCCAAAGGTCATCTAGTCCAGCCACCTGGGCAATCTCTCCAGTCGCAAGAGTCCTTGCATGTCCTCTAGCCAATAGAAAAGAATTAGAAAGGGATCTCCCAAAGGTCATCTAGTCCAGCCACCTGGGCAACCTCTCCACTGGCAAGGCATTCCTCTCAAAAATATTTCCTTATACTATAGCTTCATTTGGGCCTGTGTTCTTCCCACAGGACAAAGGATTCTGGGAGAAATGATACAGTTGGAAAGGGGTTCCCAAAGGTCATCTAGTCCAAGCTCCTGGGCAACTGCTCCATCTGCAAGAGTACTTGCATGTGCTCTAGACCTGTTTACTTGTGATTTATCTGAAAGCTAGCGTCCCAAAAAACTTGCGTATCTGTGTCTGCTGTTACTAAAATATCATCTACATAGGCGAAGGTGGGGCTCCCTCTCTCGTCTTAAAAAACGCAATCAATTTTTACAATAAAATAATATTTTGGAATAATAATATAATTATGCAGATCTGGCTGCCTCCTTCTCTATCAAAAAGAGGAAAGGCTTTCCGAGGAAGTGGAAGAATGACGTAGTTGCTAGACCAAACTCTTGTTTCAAAGGTACCATTCCGTGCAACAGCAAAGCCAAGCAGGTCAAGGTGTCTATATGATTATTTATTCCTGCAAAAGAGAGTCCACAAATATTACAGAACAGGAGTGCATCAGCACCTGGGAGTCCCTTCCGCACCCGTTACAGCATGACATCCCCACTTTAATGATCCTGGGGGATTTGCAGTTCCAAGAATAGGGACTATAAATTCCAGGATTCCCTAGGATGCATGGCAGTTAAAGTGGAGCCATTCTGGTACAACAGTGTCATGTGGCAGGGACACTGGAGAGTGGGTTTGGTTATGGATGGGGAAAGAAGCAGGGTGCCTCTGAGCATGTTAAGCATGAAACTTGAGCATCACTCAATAAGTCAGGCCCAGTGCTTCATGCATTAGCAGTTGTGAAAAGAAAGGAACAGAAGTGAGCAGCCAGAGTATTCCTTTACATACGTTCATTCACACACACACACACACTTGTATGTGTATATATATGTATATATGCATGTATGTGTGTGTGTATACACACATACACTGAAGCAGGTTTATATATGAATATATATGTGTGTGTATATCCATGTAAAAAGAGAGGAATACTGCTATGTCTATATCTATACATGTATATTCATCTACCTATATTTATGCAGATGTATAAAGATAGATATAGACACACATATATGTGTGTGTGTATACATATATATATATATATATACACACATATTACATATACATACATGTACATGTATAATGTCTATATCTATACATATACTGTATATTCACCTATCTATATTCATACAGCTATATGAAGATAGATATAGATACACATATTTGTGTGTGTATATATGTGTGTATATACATATTACATATACGGTACATACATATATAATGTCTATATCTATACATACTGTATATTCATCTATCTACATTCATATAGATATAGGAAGGTAAATTAAAATAGATACACATGTGTGTGTGTATATATACATATTACATGTACATACATGTACATATATAATGTTATATTTATGCATATACTGTATATTCATCTATCAACATTCATCTACATATGAAGATAGATAGGTATAGATACACATATATGTGTGTGTATGTGTATATATATACATATTACACATGCATACATATATAATGTCTATATACATATACTGTATATTCATCTATCTATATTTATATAGATATCTGAAGATAGTGAGATAGATATACATACATATATGTATGTATATACATAATATACATATTACACACATATATATGTATATATAGAGAGAGAGTTTGAAGGCCAGAATCATGCAAGTATTTGGAAGTAGACTTATCTTATGTCTACAGAAAGTAGAATTGACCACTTTTGCAAACTTTAGATTATTAGGAAGGGCATCCAAATAAATGACCATTGTGCCAATGACCATTTGCAAAAGGGATCATGTTGCATCATTGTACAAACGAGCCAAAGAAATGATGCAGGATTCGTGAGAGGTATTCATGCACTTGTGTTAGTATTTGTGTTTTTGCACAAATTAGCTTCAGGGCATTTGCCTTGGGAAGAAATTAAAAAACATTGGCATTTTGCAAGAGAAAGTGGAAAAAGTGCAGGAAGGGTTTTATAAATGGCTAGAAATCCAACATATCTGTAATATTTGTCTCTTTTGGAACAAAGACAGTTGATGTTTTAGTATCCAAGCCTTCACAGTTTGCAGGGATTTATTTGAGGGCGACATCAACAACAACAATAAAAGTGGCGGGGGGAGAACCAGGGATAAATATATATTAAGTATATATATTTTTTTAAAAAGCAAACAGAAGGGGTCTGCAAAGTTGAAGGCATGGTACCTGCGCTGTCACTGCGAAGGTTCTGGGTTCCCTCTGAAAGAGAGAGAAGCGCCCCAAATGCGTTAGCCTTAAAAGGTCTCCAAAGGTTTGCAAGGCAGACCGAGGGCAAGGAATGCAAAATTCCTGCTAGGCGAGGGGCTCGGGACTACAGCTCCCATTGTTCCCAGTGCTGGGTAACGATGGGAGTTGTATTCCAGAAGGCCATGCGTGCTCCTGGGTTGCATGCAAGCCAAATCACTTGCTGCTGTTCACAAGTTTACAGGGGAGGAAGTGGTGGTTCCTATATCAGGAGGCTAGAAAATCCGCTCCTGATTTTAGTCCAAATTTTTAACAGAGCAGCCTACAATCCTCAATTTGCTATGAAGAGCTATCTGGTGAAAGGGGGTTAGGAACACTTGCAGGTTAAGGAGAGAGAAACGGGAAGGGCCTTCTATAGTCTCAGATTCATATTCCATGTTCTCCATCCTTGGAGATCAGTCAAGACAACGAGTGATTCTGGGAGATGTAGTGTCAAAAACTTGTCTTTGGAAGCACTCTTAATGTTTACAAATGTGGAAGTTTTCAGGTTAGTCTGGAGCAGGCTTTTGGATTTGACTTTCATAAGAATCTGACTCTGGAAGCAAAGTCTGCTTGTTCGCCTACCACATCATTAATTCTGTGCAAGCATGGAGTCATGGCAGCATGTCTCCACATCTGGATCAATCCCACCCAGAGAAGAGCTTTGGCGGGGTTGCCATCAGCTCTTTTGGATAAGAGATATAAAAATGTGACATGTTTTAAAAGGGTTTGTTCTTGTGACTTGGTTCCTGTCTAAACACTTCACCATTCTTGGCCTCGTGTTAGACGCCCCGAGTCCTCATAGGGGAAATGATGGCGGGGTATAAATAAATTAGTTATTATTATTATTATTATTATTATTTGTTTGATAAGGTAAAAATAAAGGTTTCCTCTTGACATTAAGTCTAGTTGTGTCCAACTCTGGGTTGTGGTGCTCATTTTTGTTTCTAAGCCGGTGTTGTCCATAGACACCTCCAAGGTCATGTGGCCAACATGACTGCATGGAGCGCTGTTACCTTCCTACTGGTATAGGTACCTATTGATCTACTCACATTTGAATATTTTTGAACTTCTAGGTTGGCAGAAGCTGGGGCTAACCACAGGAGCTCGCCCTGCTCCCTGTATTCGAAATGCCGACCTTTTGGTCAGCAAGTTCAGCAGCTCAGCAGTTTAACCTGGGGCTCCTTAAATATGATATGTAGTGACAAAAAGGGGACTTCCTCCTACACTTCGAAGCTCGCTGCCTCTGAATCTCCAAGAGGGCCACCCACCTGAGCTTGTTCTTGAGGGCGGCCACCTCCCGGCCCAAAGCCTCGCTGCCCTCGGTGGCTTCATCCAGCTCCCGCTGTAGCTTCCGGCGGCTGGCGTTGATGCGCTGGGCTTCCTCCTCTGCCTCCTCCAGCTGCCGCTTCAGCTGCTTCACCCGGGCGGTGCCTTTGTCAGCCTGAAATGGAAGGACGGTGTTAGGGTTTGATAAAATATAAAGGCAGATCCAGGAGAAAAACCACTGAGTCAAGCTGATAAAGCAAGTGTGTGATGCAACAAGAAATGTGTGCTTGCATCATGTAATCAATGCTGAAATCATGAATGTATGAGATTGCATCATGTGGATATGGATAAGAGCAGGAGAGACATGATGTATTGTTTGACCGTCCTTGACGAACGTCAACATAAAGATTTGAGAATCACTGATTTAGAGACTTCCTTGCGCTCTGCATGGGCCAAATATAGAGTCCGACAGATGGCAAAGGGGACAGGCCTGGGACACCTGGGCCCACACCTGTCCTCAAAACTCACCTGAGCAAGACCTGAGAACATGGACATTTTATTTATTTGTTTGTTTACAGTATCTATATTCCGCCCTTCTCACCCCACAGGGGACGCAGGGTAGATCACAATGCACATATACATGGCAAACATTCATTGGCATAGACACACAACATATATAGACAGTCACACAGAGGCTATTTAACTTTCCAGCTTCATGAGGGTATGCTTTGAATTCTGACCACCCGGGGAGCTGTCGCTTCACAGTCCACTTGTGACACAGATGGAGTACTTTCTCATTCTTTTGCACACTGCTTGGGACTTTTATGGCATCATAAATTAAATTAGCCTTTTATGGCATCATAAATTAGTTAAATTAGCCTCCCCGCATAAGTAGTACCTAAATTTCCTACTTGGCAGATGCAACTGTCTTTCAGGTTGCAAAGGTCGACAGCAAGCTAGACAAATGATCAGGAGCTTACTCCGACCCGGGCTGGCCTTTCGGTCAGCAGTGATTTTAATGCAGCTGACTCCCAACCAACGAGGAAGCTGTTGCTTCACCATCCACTTGTGACACAGATGGAGTACTTTCTCGTTGTTTTGCACGCTGCTGGACATTTTTATGGCATAGTAAATTAGTTAAATTAGCCTCCCCGCATAAGCGGTAACTACATTTCCTACTTGACAGATGCAACTGTCTTTCGGGCTGCAAAGGTCGACAGCAAGCTAGACAAATGGTCGGGAGCTTACTCCGACCCAGGCTGGCCTTTCATTCAGTAGTGCTTTTAATGCAGCTGACTCGCAACCAGCTACGCCACAACCCGGTCCTTGGTCTGAAATACTTGGGACCCGAAGCATCCCATAATACAGATTTTTAAAAGTCACATATTGAACTGATGCTTTGCCTATCTCCATTTTGGAATATGACACTGTTTTGGAATAGCCACACCTGTCCCTAAAGTTCACCTTTGCAAGGCTTCATAGGTTGACCATTACTAGTCTGAAACCAGGGACCAGAAGCATCCCATAATATAAATTTTCTAATTTAATTTATTGATTGTATGTCCTGCCTTCCTACGTTTTGGGATAGCCACACCTGCCTTTGAAGCTCACCTTGGCAAGGCTTCACAGGCTGACTGTCACTGGTCTGAAATGCTCAGAACTAGAAATGTGCCTTAATACATATTTCCTAAAAAAAATGTATTATTCACATGCCAATAAAGACATCACTGTCTTGGGGTTCTATTACATTTCCTGGTTCTAAAGAAACACTACAAATCCCAGGTTTTCTGAGACAGTTCGAGTAGGATGGAAGGACCAGAGAGAGAAATCCACCACGGACGCTGCAAAGTGCTCCAGGTGAGGTCCTACCTGGTCTTTGTATTGCTCCGCCTGCTTCCTCTCATCCTCCACCTGAAGCAAAACCTCCTTGAGCTTCTTGTCTTTCTGCCGCAGGGTCTTGGTGGCTGTCTGCTTTTCCCTGCAAAAGGGACGGGAGCGGGTTTTTATTCTGAATGATTAGGGAGGCTTGTCCATGTGATGCAATTGAGAGCAAAAAGCAAACTGGGGAAAGCAAAACATAAATAGGATCAAGTCACCCTGGAAAAGAAGTACAGGAAATTCAGTAGGACTAAGTGACACGAGTTTTGTTCCTGCGTTATGAATGTCATTTCCTAATTGGTTCTATCATAAAAACACGGGGAAAGGATATTAAACTGCAAAAACTTTGTATTTGCAGAAGGGACATCCTGCAATGACACATTTTGCTCTAGTTTTTCAATGAGTCTGAACCATGGAATCATAGAATCCTTGAGTTGGAAGAGACCTCATGGGCCATCCAGTCCAACCCCTGCCAAGAAGCAGGAAAATTGCATTCAAAGCACCCCTGACAGATGGCCATCCAGCCTCTGTTTAAAAGCTTCCAAAGAAGGAGCCTCCACCACACTCCAGGGCAGAGAGTTCCACCTCTGAACGGCTCTCATAGTCAGGAAGTTCTTCCTCATGTTCAGATGGAATCTCCTTTCTTGTAGTTTGAAGCCATTGTTCCGTGTCCTAGTCTCCAGGGCAGCAGAAAACAAGCTTGCTCCTTCTTCCCTTTGACTTCCTCTGACATCTTGATCCATGGCCATTATCATATCTCCTCTCAGCCTTCTCTTCTGCAAGCTAAACATGCCCAATTCTTTAAGCCGCTCCTCATAGGGCTTGTTCTCCAGACCCTTGATCATTTTAGTCGCCCTTCTTTGGACATATTCCAGCTTGTCAACATCTCCCTTCAATTACAGTGTCCAGAATTGGACACAGTGTGATTCCAGGAGTGGTCTGATCAAGGCAGAAGAGAGGGGTAGCATGACTTTTCTGGATCTAGACACTAGACCCCTATTGATGAAGGCCAAAATCCCACTGGCTTTTTTAGCCATCACATGACATTGTTGACTCAGGTTCACCTTCCTGTCCATGAGGACTCCCAAGATGTTTTTCACACATAGTGCTGTCAAGCCAGTCATCATCCCTCATTCTGTATCTTTGCATTTCATTTTTTCTGCCTAAGTGGAGTATCTTGCATTTGTCCCTGTTGAACTTCATTTTGTTAGTTTTGGCCCATCTCTCTCATTCGTTTAGATCGTTTTGAATTCTGTTCCTGTCTTCTGGAGTATTAGCTATCCCTCCCAATTTGGTTCTGTCTGCAAACATGATGATCCTTCCTTCTAACCCTTCATCTAAGTCATTAATATTATTATTATTTATTATTATTTCGAATATTTGTACCCCGCCGTTCTCAACCCCTGGGTGGGACTCAAGGCGGCTTCCAATCAGCAGCAATTCGATGCCTCAATATATACATAATAAAACAAACAGTCAATAATTATAAATAGTTAAAAACATTAAAACAATACAATTAAAATCTACTAAGAATTACCACTCTGGTGGCCATAATAAAGATGTTGAACAGGGCTGGGCTCAGGACGTAACCCTGCTAAAGGCACTCCACTCGCCACTTCTTTCCAGGATGAAGAGGAAGCATTAGGGAGAATCACCCTTTGGGTTTGTTCCCTTAACCAGTTACAGATCCACCTAACCATAGTTTTGCCTAGCCCACATTCATATTTATTTTATTTATTTATTTCAAAGTTTTATATACCGAGCTTCTCACCTCATAAGAGGGACTCAGCCCGGTTTCCAACCATAAAAACACATGCAATCGGTAAAATATCAAAATACACATTACAATAAAACATTTAAAAAGCACATATATTTAAAACTACAGTGGTCAGTCGTCATACTAAAATCGAATATACACCGTCTTCCACCCAGATCATTGTCTCATTCTTCGAAAGCCTGTCTCCATAACCACATGACTTCACCTGTTTCCTGAATGTCAGGATTGTTGGGGTGGTTCTAACCTCTGGCGGGAGAGAGTTCCAGAGTCGCGGGGCCACCACCGAGAAGGCCCTGTCCCTCGTCCCCACCAGCCGCGCTTGTGAGGCCGGTGGGACCGAGAGCAGGGCCCCTCCAGACGATCTTAGTAATCTTGATGGTTCATAGGGGAGAATACGTTCGGAGTGGGCGAGGCAACTATATTCAATAATATATACGTAGAATTGAACCAATTTAATATATTTTGCGGCAGCCACAAAAACAAAATTTTTGGAGTAGAACAACAACTTTCCAAGTAAGTACCTCACGATTAAACAGGAAACAACACTTTCAAACCAGGAACATAAATATTTTCAAATTTTGTTACATAGTGTTAAACTGTTACTTACTGGCTTGCTTGACCTTGGAACATAGATCCTAACTTACTGGGATTGTGGACTGATGCTTTGGTTCAAGCCCTCTCTGTGTATGGACTGGGATACGGACCCTCTTTGTTTGAAGGAGAACAAGGTGAACTGTGACACTGTGCCCTACCTGGCCTCCTGCTCCAGCTGTTCCTCCAGCTGTGCGATCTTGGCCTCGAGGGCCGTGACGGTGGCCTTGAACTTGGACTTGACAGCCCCCTCCATCTCCTGCAACTTGGACCGCAGCTCCTTGTTCTGCCGCTCCAGCTGCTGCCGCCCGCTCTCGTTCTTCTGCGCCGCTGCCCGCTCTGAGGCCAGTTCATTGCTCAGCTGCTCCGACTGCAAAGATGCAACCAAGACAATGGACTTTGTAGTCCTTAAATCCCCAAAAGTGCCTTGCTTCCCATCCCATTTGGGAGGGCCGGCGTACCTGTTGGACGGCCTTCCGGAAGCGGTCGCTCATGGCCTCCATGTTGCCCTGCTCCTCCTCCAGCTCTTCCTCCAGCTGCGAGATCCTGGCCTCCAAACGGCGCTTCTCGTCCTGCAGGCTGGTCCTGGACACCAAGGAGGGAAACAAGATTCCATTGATTTCCATGGATTCCTACCAATGCCCTGGCTTTCCTTCCCCATATAGACCAGATTGGGATACTGTCAACACCCTAAATTAGGACTTTCTTTCCAAAACCCCATAAAGACCAAGTTAGAATACTGTTGACATCCTAGATTAGGACTTTTCTTCCAAAAATTGGGAACTGCATAAACATCCAAATAGGATCATATTGAGATTCTTGGAAACTACAGCTCCCTTCTCATATCCAGAGAGGGATCAAAATGAATTGGTGAAGGCTTTCATAGCTGGAATCACTGGGTTGCTGTGAGTTTTCCGGGCTGTATGGCCATGTTCCAGAAGCATTCTCTCTGATGTTTCGTCCCACATCTATGATACGCATACTCAAAGGTTATAAGATCTGAAAACCTCTGAGGATGCCTGCCATAGATGTGGGCGAAACATCAGGAGAGAATGCTTCTGGAACATGGCCATACAGCCCAGAAAACTCACAGCAACCCGATCAAAATGAATGTTCCCAACTCTCGACTTTTGCTCTCACTGGATTTCCCAGAAAAGTAACCACAAAAGTGAGTCACATTGCATCAGCTCTCTGACCACAACCTTTGCTGTTGGAAGACTCAAACCTGCTTTGGGTTTTAGTCTGAACTTTAGAGGAGCACCATGCAAGACACCAGGAGCGGTCTATTCAAGGCACCCAACCCCCCCCCTCTCTCTCTATATATATATATATAGAGAGAGAGGTATAAGTATAGGTATAGGTATAGGTATAAAGGTAAAGGTTTTCTGGGCTGTGGTGTTAATCTCCATTTCTAAGCCAAAGAGCCAGCGTTGTCCATAGTCACCTCCAAGGTCATGTGGCCAGCATGACTGCATGGAGCGCCATTACCTTCCCGCTGGAGCGGTACCTATTGATCTACTCACATTTGCATGTTTTCGAACTGCTAGGTTGGTAGAAGCTGGGGCTGACAGCAGAAGCTCATGCTGCTCCCCTGATTCGAACCTGTGACCTTTCGGTCAACTAGCTCAGCAGCTCAGTAGTTTAACCCACTGCGCCACCGGGGGCTCCAGACACACACACACACACATATATATAGCTGTCCCCTACACGTTGCTGTGGCCCAGTCTGCGTATATGTGTTTTTTGTGTGTATTTTGTGTGTATGTATGTATGTGTACCCTCAGCAATATGTCCCTAAATGCACTTTATCACTGATTTAGGATTGTCTGCACACCCCATCTCTACCTGAAACTTTCTATCTCTACCTGAAAACTATCCCAGTTATATCCTACCTTGTCCATGTCCAGCATTATTTTTTAAATTTTAAATTATTGCATTTGGCCCAGCCATAGGTTTTAAATGCTTGTTGTTATTGTTACTGTTTATTGTTTACTTTTGTTTATGAGATTTATTTTAACTGTTGTATTGATTGTTTTCTTATTGCTTTTACTGTTGATGTACTTTGGGCTCGGCCTCATGTAAGCCGCACCGAGTCCCTTATAATAATAAAGTTGTATTATTATTATATGTTATGTATGTGTATATGTGTATATGTGTATGGGGAGCCCCTGGTGGCACAGTGGGTTAAAGGGCACTGAGCTGCTGAGCTTGTTGATCGAAAGGTCGCAGGTTCGATTCCGGGGAGCGGCGTGAGCTTCCGCTGTCAGCCCTAGCTTCTGCCAACCTAGCAGTTCGAAAACATGCAAATGTGAGTAGATCAATAGGTACCGCTCTGGCGGGAAGGTAACGGCGCTCCATGCAGTCATGCTGGCCACATGACCTTGGAGGTGTCTATGGACAATGCTGGCTCTTCGGCTTAGAAATGGAGATGAGCACCACACCCCAGAGTCAGACATGACTGGACTTAATGTCAGGGGACTACCTTTACCTTACTATATGTGTATATATGTGGTTTTGTGCATGTGTTGTAATGTATTATTAAAAAAATTTTTGGCTGTTTTTCAGTGTTTTTATGAGTGATGGTCTGTTGGCCTGATAAGTGTATTGTGTCCAAATTTGGTGTCAATTTGCCCAGTGGTTTTTGAGTTATGTTAATCCCACAAACGAACATTACATTTTTATTTATATAGATATACTTTACCTCCTTGAGGGCAACCTCTAAAGTTCAGTCAGAGTGGATCCTGCTTCACCCAGAGGCCCAGAGAGCCTTACCTGCCCGAAGTGGCGCTGGCCAGCTCTTCTGCCAAGTCGTCCTTCTCTTGCTCCGCTTGCTTCTTGGCCCGTTCTGCGGCCGCCAAATCCTACCCGAAAGAAGAGAATCGCATGGCTTAAGAGACTATACAGAGTTGACTCATCACCTAGGATGTTATAATTTTTTTAGGAAGGTTTAGGGAAGTCCAGAAGGTGAGATGGTTCTGGTTTGACAGTGTTGAGGCATAGTGCACTAATATTTCCCAACCCGAAAATACAAAAGAAGAGATTTAAAATACTTAATAGCTTAATTTGCAGAAAATACTAAGGGTGGGTATGCTATCTTTCAATTCGGTGACGCCTCTGTTTCTCTCTGTCCCAAAACAATCCCATGTTTCCGAAAACAATATTTCCTGCACAATTCTCCCTCCTCCCATCTCTTTATCCTGATCTCTCTTTACCTCTTCTTACCCACTTCTTTCCCTTGGTGCTTGGCAATGCTTATCTCTCCCAAATTCCTTCACTCTCTTCTCACTCCCTCTTCCTCCCTCTCTGTAACCCATTCTTAAAACTTCACTTTTCAAATCTTCTCTCCATCAGCATGGAAGCCATTGCCTTGGGTATTGGATGGTGGCCCTGTGGACCTTCCTGCCCCAAAGTCCCCAAGGTCTGGACTGCAGCCCCCCTCATCCACCGCTGCCCGGCTGACCTCCTGGAGCTGCATCAACTCGGCCTCCAGGTTCTTGGCCTTCTTCTCGTTCTCTCTGGCCGTGGCAAAGACCTCTTCCCTCGCGGCCCGGGCATCGTCCAGCTCCCGCTGGAAGTCCTTCATCTGGGCCTGAAAAGGGACCGATGAAGCGAGTTTGGGTCTCGTCCGCATAGATTCTGACACAACCATTGCCCTAAAAGGTGACTGCTAACTGTAACCGGAAAGAGTGGGGCACCTAAGGGACATCATAAAGAGACCCCAAAGTGAAGAAATTGAGCCTCCCGGTGGCACATTGGATTAAATCCTTGTGACCTCAGGACTGCTGACCAATATGTCAGTGGTTCAAATATGGGGAGAGTGGGTTGAGCTCCCTCTGTCAGCTCCAGCACCACATGCGGGGACATGAGAGAAGCCTCCCACAAGGATGGTAAAACATCAATACATCCAGGCGTCCTTGCAGACGGCCAATTCTCTCACACCAGAAGCGACTTGCAGTTTCTCAAGTCCCTCCGGACACGGAAAGAAAAAAAAGTGAAGAAATCTAAATACAACCGTTGTGGTTTAACATGGAGGGAAAATGAAAGAAGGGAGGGAGGGGGAAGAAGACAAAGGGGGGAAAAGGGCAGAAGAGACAAAGAAGAAGAGCAACATCTCCTTCTCAGGGAGGAGATGTGATAGCCATGTTTAAATATGTGAAAGAATGTCATACAGAGGAGGGAGCAGGCTTCCTTTCTGCTGCCCTGGAGACAGGGACTCAGTGGAGCTGTGGGTTCAAAATACAGGAATGGGGATTCCATCTGAACATCAGGAAGAACTTCCTGATTATGAGAGCAATTCAACAGTGGAACTCTCTGCCTCAGAGTGTGGTGCAAGCTTCTTACTTTGAGCTTTCAAACAGAGGCTGTGCGGCCATCTGTTGGGGTGCTTTGGATAGCCTTTGGGGTCCCATCCAACTCTAAGATACTACAGTTGTATTATTATTATTATTATTATTATTATTATTATTATTATTATTATTTCTCTCCTGCTCTAATAATAATAATTAGAAGCTGGCTGGCCATCTGTCAGGGGTACTTTGGTTGTGTTTTTACTGTATGGAAGAAAGGATTGGACTGGATGGCCTTTGGGGCTTTTTTCCAACTCTAGGATACTATGATTGTATTATTATTTGAAACACAACAAGATGAGTCTACAGCAAAAGAAGATCATTCTGCTGGCTGTTGTATTGGATCACACATTGGACACTTCCCAAGTAAATAATGCATGCAGATCCCAGTAGGGTGGCCTTTTGCAGCTGGCAGCTGGTAATCTTGTCAGCGCTGATTATATTTAAGTGTAGGCCAAGGTCTTTAGGCACTGCACCCAGTATATTATTATTATTATTATTATTATTATTATTATTATTATTATTAAACAGAGGTTGGATGACCATCTGTTGAGGGGTTTTGGTTGTGGTTCTCCTGCATAAAGGTAGAAGGGAGTTGGACTGGATGGTCCACAAGGCCCACCCAGGACCCACCTGCAGTTTCCGTAGCTGCTTGATGGCCTCCTCCCGGCCCTTGTTGGCTGAGTCCACCTGACCCTCCAGGTCCTTGAGGTCCACCTCCAGCTTCTTCTTGGCTGCAGCAGCCAAACCCCGCTGCTTCCGCTCATCCTCCAGTTCCACCTCCATTTCGTGGAGCTGAAGGGACATAATAAAGAGGGGTTGTGCATCAGGGGAGGGTCCCACCGTTGGCGTCAGGGATTCAGAATCGGGACCCAGGCCTCTCTCCAAGCCCCAATGCCTTGCCCACCTGCTTCTGGAGCTGGCGACGCTTCTCCTCGTTCTGCTCATCCCGAGCCTGGAGGTCGCGCTCGAACTGCCCCTTGAGGGCCTGCATGTTGACCTCCAGCCGCAGCTTGGCATCCTCCGTGGCCTGGAGCTCATCCTCCAGCTCTTCCAGCTGCGTCTTCATCTCCTCCACCTGCTGCTCCAGTGCCCGCTTGGACTTCTCCAGGTCGTGGACCTTCCAAAGGGGCAAAGAGCAAAGGTCAAGTAGACATAGAGGGAGAAGGAAAACAACACCGAAAAGAGCAGGAGAGAAAAAAGAAGAATACAAGAAGGAGATGAAGAAGAAAGAGGAAAGGAGGAGAAAGAAGGGAAAAAGAGGAATGAGAGGAAGAAATAGAGGAGAAAGAAGAGGATGATAGCAACACCCAAAAAGCAGGAAAGAAAGATGAAGAAGAGGAGGAGGGGAAAAAGAGTGATGAGGAAGAAATAGAAAAGAAAGATAAAGGAGGAGGGCTAAAGAGGAATGAGAGGAAGAAGTAGAGGAGAAAAAGGGATGATAGCGACACCCAAAAGAGCAGGAGAGAAAGATGAAGAAGACAAGAAGGAGATGAAGAAGAAAGAGGAAAGGAGGAGAAAGAAGAGGAAAAGAGGAATGAGAGGAAGAAAGAGAGGAGAAAGAAGAGGATGATAGCAACACCCAAAAAGCAGGAAAGAAAGATGAAGAAGAGGAGGAGGGGAAAAAGAGTGATGAGGAAGAAAGAGAAAAGGAGGATAAAGGGGGAGGAAAAAAGAGGAATGAGAGGAAGAAGTAGAGGAGAAAAAGGGATGATAGCAACACCCAAAAGAGCAGGAGAGAAAGAAGAAGAGGAGGAGGGAGAATAAGAGGAGGAGGAGGAAGAGAAGAGGGAAGGAGGGATGACGAAGAAAGAGAAAAGGAGGAGAAAGGAGAAAGAAGAAAAAGGGACAAGGACGAAGAAGCAGAAGAAAAAGAAGAGAAGATAGAGGATGATTGCAGCACCCAAAACAGCAGAAGAGAGAGGAGAGAACGTGGAAAGATGAGGAAAGAAAAGAGGATGAAGGAAGGAGGAGTGAAGAAGAAAGAGAAGGAGGATGAGTGAGGAGGAAGAGGACAGTGGAAAAGGAGAAGGATCAGGAGCGCTCCTGTAGCCAAGGCCCTCCTCTGGCCAGGACCCAAACCACGTCTCGGTGGTGACCTACGTTCTTCCCGACGTCATCCTTGGAGCTGACTAGGTCCTCCATCTCAGCCCGCAAGGCCTTGTTGGCCCTTTCCAGCTCCTCCTTGGCCTCCAGGGCCTCCTCCAGGGCTCGCGCCAAGGACAGGGCCTTGGTCTCCTTCTCCCGAGCCTCGGCCTCAGCACGGTCCCGCTCTTCCGCAAACTTAGAGGAGATGGTCTTCTCCTCTGCTAGCATCTGCCCAGGAAGGAAAGGGAGAGATGGCTGTTGGTCATCGGGATGGTCACTCAAAGGGAAGGAAGGGGACGCAGAGAACACATACCTGGTCGAACTTCTTCTGCTTCTTCTCCAGGTTGGAGACCATCTGCCGCTGGTTGTCCAGGTCCACCACCAGGTCGTCCAGCTCCTGCTGCAGGCGGTTCTTGGTCTTCTCCAGCTTGTCGTAGGAGGCCGCCTTCTCCTCAAATTGATGCGTCAGGCCCTCAACCTCCTTCTGCAGCCGCTTCTTGCCTTCCTCCATGTTTTCCACAGTGGCCACGTATTCCTGCAGCTTCCGCTTGGAGTCTGACAGCTGCCATCGGCATCAGGAAAAGATAGAAAGGGGAAAGTGAAGCTGGAAGTCATGCGGTCCCAAAGCCAGCGCACTTCCCTTCTTTAATGGGATCAGGGTGCAATTATTATTATTACTATTATTATTATTATTATTATTATTATTATTATTATTATTATTATGTTTAGTTCTGCCCCGCTTTTTCTGTCTCAAGACTCAAAGTAGATAATATCTATCATCTATTTATAATATCATCTGTCTATCTATCCATCTATTGACTATCTATCTATCATCAATCTATAATTTATCAATCATCTAGCTATTTGTCATCTATCTATCATCTATTTATCTATCATTTAGCTAGCTAGCTAGTTACTATCTATCTATCTATCTATCTATCTATCTATCTATCTATCTATCTATCTATCTATCTACTATATTTGTATATCACCCTTCTCAGTTATCAATCATCTAGCTATTTGTCATCTATCTATCATCTATTTATCTATCATTTAGCTAGCTAGCTAGTTACTATCTATCTATCTATCTATCTATCTATCTATCTATCTATCTATCTATCTATCTAGCTATCTAGCTATCTAGCTATCTAGCTATCTATCTAGCTATCTAGCTATCATCTATATATTAAGGTCGTGACCAAGAAAGAAAAGCAGGATGATGATGATAATATTCCTAACCTGGACATTGAGGGTGGAAATGTGCCGCTCCAGGTTCTGCTTGGCCTCCATCTCTTCGTCCAGTTGGTCCTGCAAGCTGTTCTTCTCATCCTCCATTTGGCGAAGTTTAGTGGACAAGTTGAGCTTCTGCCGCGTCTCTTCTTGGAGAAGCTCCTGCAAAATCCAAAGAAAGAAAGAAAGAAAGAAGAAAGAAAGAAAGAAAGAGGGAGGGAAGGAAGGATAGATGGAGAAAGAGGGAGGGAAGGGAGGGAGGGAGGGAGGGAGGGAGGGAGGGAAGGAAGGAAGGAAGGAAGGAAGGAAGGAAGGAAGGAAGGAAGGAAGGAAGGAAGGAAGGAAGGGGAAATGCATAGGTCAGTGTCTTCCTTGAAGCTGAATCCCAACCAGGGTCATCGGAGGTTTGCGCCCCACCTGAGTGTCCTGCAGCTGGGAGCTCAGGGTCGAGACATCCTTGTTCAGCTTGATGGTCTTGCTTTCGGCCTCACTCAAAAGCCCCGTCACATTCTCCACTTCCACCTAGGAAAAATGGGGAAAAAACCCTACAGGTTATTATGGTCCAGCACTTGGTTTTATGTCCCAAATTTGCAAAACACTTTTCTGCCCAGACCCCAAAATGCAAAATATTGCAGTTTCTTATTTTGAAAAAAAAAACAACAACAAGAGTTCCTGGTTTCAAAAAAAATTGTAAATGTTCCTTCCTTTTGGAACATGGCCATACAGTCCAGAAAATTCACAGCAACTCAGTTCCTTCCTTCCTTTTTTTCTTCTCCTTCCTTCCTTTTTTCCTTTTTTCCTTCCTTCCTTCCCTCTCTCCCTCCCTCCCTCCCTCCTTCCTTCTTTCTCTTTCAACATCTAGAACTTTGGGTTGTTGTAGGTTTTTTGGGCTATATGGCCATGTTCTAGAGGCATTCTCTCCTGATGTTTCACCTGCATCTATGGCAAGCATCCTCAGAGGTGAGGTCTAGAACTTTGGTTTTTCAAGGAAGGGAACTCTAACTTTGCAAAACTCCCAGATATTGACAATTAGTGATTCCAGCTTTATTAAAACAGGCATTCCTGGTGTTTGCACAAACTACACTTAGAGTTGAAGGCCATCAAAAAGCATGCATTTCCTTATCTGTTTTTGTCCTTCTTGTAAAACCAAAATAATGTCCAGGAGAAGGCCCCCCTCTCACCTGTAGCTTGTTGACTTTTTCTCCCAGCTCCGTCCGGACCCGTTCTCCTTCTGCGAACTTGGTCTGCAGTTCCTGGAGTTGCCCTTCCAGCTTCTTCTTCTTGTGCTCCACTTCCTGCTTGGCCTGGTTGAGCGACCGGACCTCGTTGCTGAGGTCAGCGTTGTCCTTCTCCAAGCCCTGCTTGGTTTTGTCCAGGTTGGCTTTGGCCTGAGATCGTCATAGAAGCATATGGTTGGAAGGGACCTCCAGAGGCCATCCAGTCCCACCCCCTTCCTTCCGCCATGTCAGAAAGTATGGCCAAGTGGGAACAGAATTTGGGTAAACAAATACAAATGGAACCATGGGAAAGGGCCAGGACAAAGAGTTTGAAATTTACACTGAAAGAAAATTCCTATAAAATGATGTACAGATGACACCGGAAAGGCTTGCTAAGATGTATAGAAATAGTTTTAGTGACTGTTGGAAAAGGTGAGCACCTTTTATCATGGTGGTCATGTAAAAGGGCACAAATACGTATGATTTTAGAAGAAATGGTTGAAAGTTGAATTTGAAGTGAAACCTGAACTGTATCTACTTGGCATGTTAGATGATCAAAAATGATAGAAAGAGTGGAAAATGATTGCTGTACATGACAAGGGCAGCAAGAATTAACTCAGCTCTAAGATGGGAAGACTCAAATTTCAAACACAAGACAGTTTGCTTATGAAAATAAGCAAACTTGCAGAAATTGATAAACTTACTGTGTTGATTTAGGAGAAATCTCTAACTAACTTTAAGAAAGTAATGGGGTGTATTCATTGTGTTCCTCCAGCAAAGATGGCGTTTTTTTGAATTAGAAGTGTGTTATTATGTTGTGAAAGGATGAATCAATGGTTATTTTTGTTTAATGGGTGTAGAATATTGATAGAATATCATCATCTGGCAAAGAATGTTAAGCCCTTAGATTAGATAATACAGAGTTAATGTTTTTGATATAGAGAATGTAGTAGTAGTCATTTGTTTTGTTTTATTCTAGAACAATTATATTGAACTTTTTGTTTATTTGTACATAGTTATATAGGTTTTGTCTTAACTTGTCAAAATAAAAATTAATTTAAAAAAAGAAATCACCATCCAAGCCCTCTCAATAGATGGCCACCCAGCCTCTGCTTCAAAACTTCCAGGAAAGGGAACTCCATTGGACCCAAGGGTCACAGGTCCCTCCTTATAGGACTGAGGTTGAACAGCCCATCTTTACCCGCTTGAATTGCTCCAGCTGCTCTGCCAGCTCCTCCACGGCCTGCGTGTGCTTCTGTCGCATCTCCTGGACCTGGGCTTCATGGGTTCGCGTCTCCTCCTCCAGCGCCCGCTTCAGGACAGTCACTTCCTGCTCCCTCTTGGCCCTGGGGTGCACAAGGAAGGGGACGCGGGGTGCATTTGTATGTAATTGTCATTAAAAGCTTCCTAATAAACAGCCAAGTTGCCCTGTAATGGTCATTAAAAGCTTCCTACTAAACAGACAAGGTCCCCCATAATAGTCATTAAAAGCTTCCTACTAAACAGCCAAGGGACCTGTTAAAGGTAATCAAAAGCTTCCTACTAAACAGCCAAGGTCCTCGTAATGGTCATTAAAAGCTTCCTGCTAAACAGCCAAGGTACCCTGTAATGGTCATTAAAAGCTACCTGTTAAACAGCCAAGCGACCCCTTAAAGGTCATCAAAAGCTTCCCACTAAACAGCCAAGGTACCCTATAATGGTCATTAAAAGCTTCCTACTAAACAGCCAAGGTCCCCCATAATGGGCATTAAAAGCTACCTGTTAAACAGCCAAGCGATCCCTTAAAGGTCATCAAAAGCTTCCTACTAAACAGCCATGGTACCCTGTAATGGTCATTAAAAGCTTCCTACTAAACAGCCAAGGTACCCTGTAATGGTCATTAAAAAGCTTCCTACTAAACAGCCAAGAGACCCCTGAAAGGTCATCAAAAGCTTCCTACTAAACAGCCAAAGTCTTCCGTAATTGACATTGAAATCTACCTGCTAAACAGCCAAGGTCCCCCATAATAGTCATTAAATACTTCCTGCTAAACAGACAAGGTCCCCCCGTAATGGTCATTAAAAGCTTCCGAAAGGGACCTCTGGCGTGGACTGGTCCATGAGGTCACGAAGAGTCGGAGATGACTGAACGAATGAACAACAACAACAACAACTAAACAGTCACGTTCCCCTGCAACAATCACCTGGCAACAGTCATTAAAAGCATTCAGTGACCATTAAAGGGGGTCCTTTTCCAAACGACAAGGGTTCCTCGCAAATGTCATTGAAAGCTACCTACTAAACAGCCAAGTTCCCCTGCATTGGTAATTAAATGCATTCAGTTAACATTACAGGGATTTCTTATCCAAACGGTAAAGGTACCCCGAAACTGTCATTAGAAGCTTCCTGCGAAACAGGAAAAAATTAACTTTGCTGTGCACCATCTCTGCATTCTGAGTTGCCTTGCAGAATGAGAGGATGAATACCTTAGAAATATTGCGCAATAAGGCCTCCTGTATCTCTGTGACCAGGCGGATCTTGGTGCCATTAAATCAGCTCATCCCCGAGCCCCATTGACCGCTGCCCAGAATCCCGGGGGCCCACCTGAGTTCCTGCTGGGTGGCGGTGCTGTCCAGGGTGTCCTCCAGCTCCGTCTTGAGGGCTTCCAGCTCCTCACCCAGGTCCCGCTTTTGCTTCTCGGCCTTATTCCGGGCTGCCCGCTCTGAGTCCAGGTCCTCCTGGAGGTCTGAGATGTGGGCCTCCAACTCCCGGATTTTCTTCAAGGCGTTGTTCTTCTGTCCCATTTCATCTTCAAGCCTTTCGTGGAAGAATAAGGTGGTCTTTATATTAAGATGGGATATAAATGACATTGAAAGTGGGTTGCAAGTGAGGTGGGAAGCTATTAATGTCAATAACTGGGCGTCCTTAGACAAAAAGGAAAGGTCTCCTGCAATAGCCCTTAAAAGCTTCCTGTTTCTATCTGTGCTGTGAGTAATATATACAAATGTAGGTAACTATAAATCATATCAGGTTGAAAATGGAAACAGGAAGCTTTCAGTGACCATCACAGAGGACTTTTGTTCTTTAGTCATTAAAAGCTCCCTTTTTCATCTATGCTGTGAGCGGTTCCTCCTGGGATGATAATAATAATATATAGAAATAACAAAGATATAAATAAAACTGGACTAAAAGCAATATCGGGAGATTTTGACTGACCATGGCTAAAACTGAAACTGGGGAGCTATTAATGATCATTACAGGGTATACTTAGCCAAAAAGCTAAGGTCCCTTGTAATAGTCATTAAGAGCTTTCTGCCAAATATCAGAGATCCCTTGTATTGGCCATTAAGAGCTTCCTGGGAGGAAAAGCGGGGTGCGGACTGCCTCATTAACTGCCTCATTAACCCCTCCCCCCTGCTCCCCGGGGGGCACCTGGCCAGTGCGGCTTGCAGCTCCTCCTCCTTCTTGGCCAGCTGGGCCTTGAGTTCCGCAATCTGGGCCTGGAGGTCAGCGATCTGCTCGTGGAGGTCACTGGCCTCGCCCTCCAGCTTCCGCTTGGCCTTGTCCAGCTCCTGGCGGCCCTTCTCCTCCTTCTTCAACCGCACCTCCAGCTCTGAGATCATAGACTCGTGTTTGTTCTTCAACTTGGTAAGGTTCTTGGCCTTCTCCTCCTCCTCCGCCAGGTTGGTGGTCAAGTCACTGATACGCTCCTCCATCAGCTTCCTCTCCTGTGAAAGGGAAAGAGGGAGAGATGGATGGAATCCGGACGGGAAGAACCCCTCTGCCATCGTTCATTCAACACTCTTCCCTCTTTGCACCAACCTTAGTGAGCTTGATGTTCTGGTCGTCCATCACCAAGATGTCATCCTCCAGCTTCTTGATCTTGGCTTCCGCCGTCACTTTCTCCAGCTGCAGTTTCTGCCGGGCGGCTTCCTCTTCTTCCAGCTGGTCCTCCAGATCCTTTTAGGGAGAAGTTGGGATGGGAAGGAATAGGCAAAAAACTGGGATGAACCTCGGATACGTAGGCAAGACCCAAGGTAGGCAACATCGCAACAGCTATGAGAAATAGTATAACGGTTTTGTGATTTTGGTCGTGTCAGGAGTGACTTGAGAAACTGCAAGTCGCTTCTGGTGTGAGAGAATTGGCCGTCTGCAAGGACATTGCCCAGGGGACGCCCAGATGATTGGATGTTTTTATCATCCTGTGGGAGGCTTCTCTCATGTCCCCGCATAAAGAGCTGGAGCTGATAGAGGGAGGTCATCCGCCTCTCCCCGGATTCGAACCTGCGACCTGTCGGTCTTCAGTCCTGCTGGCACAGGGGTTTAACCCACTGTGCCACCGGGGGCTCCTATGGTTTTGTGATGAGTGGGTTGAATGAATTGAATGTTTGGTGGTCTGGCTGCGGCCCATTAAGGTCTGGCAAGGCTGACGACACCATCCTAAAAATGGAACCTGGAAAACTGCTTAATTATGGAGAACAAAGGAGGTGAAGACTTTCATGAACGTTGGCAAGAAAGGGGCTGATGAGAACTGACCCGAGAATGTTAGGGTGTAAACAACTCATGTTTACATAGTCAAAGATAATAGTTCTTTAAGTTAAAGAAGCGAATTGTTCCAGAATTAATGAAGGTCCAGCAGGTTGGAGCTGAATGGCAGAGGTTAGCTAAACAACCAAATAATGGATAACCAAAAAAGTTCTACATAAGAGACCCTTTTCTTTTTCAATTGTGTGCCAGATTCTGCAGGGATGCAGCTCTGTCCACCCGCCTGTCTTTCCAGCAGCATTAGGTCTGAACGGAGAAGGGATGGTGAGTATGAATGATGAATGTACGGATTACGAGTGAATGTTGGAGTATATGTGATTTTTACCATTATAGCTATTACTAGCTGTCCCCTGCCATGCGTTGCTGTTGTCCAGTCTGTGTATATGTGTTTTCTGTGTGTATGTGTGTATATATATTTGTGTATATGTGTATATATGTGTGTTTGCGTATATGTGTGTGTGTGTGTGTGGTTTTGCACAGGCGTTGTAATGTATTTTTTTTTGTTTTTTTGCTTTTAAGTCTCTTCTGCTGTGTTTTCCAGTGTTTTTATGAGTGATTGTCACTTGTTGGCCTGATAGGTGTATTGTGTCCAAATTTGGTGTCAATTCGCCCAGTGGTTTTTGAGTTATGTTAATCCCACAAACGAACATTACATTTTTATTTATATAGATAAAACACAGTTCCGAAGTCTGTGTGTCTACTTCTTTCTCTGAAAGTGCCTGATGTACTCTGTCCCACTGAAAACAGATTAAAGAACTTTTTAAGGTTCAAAGAGTATTCACAACAGTTTGAGCCCAAGAACCTGGGTCCGAATCCCTACTAAGCCATGGAAGGGGCTTTGGTGGCTGGCTTTGGGCAAGTCACACTCTCTCAACTGCAAAGAAAGGTTCTTGGACTCTTGGGACTTGTGTTCAGATCCCTGCTAGGCTTCCTCTGTGGTTGAGAGTGTGTGATTTACTCAAGGTGGGACTCCATGGCTGAGTGGCACTTGAACTCTGCTCTTCCAGAATCCAGTATTCAAACCACACTCCATTGGCTGCCAGTTGAAACTCTGAGCTACATATATACAAGGCATGGTGGGAGTTTTGAGAGAAAAACCTTTAGCATCTTGAATATGGCTTTATTAAAGTACGGAGTAAAACCCAGAGTGGGTTCACTGCTTTCAAGTATTTTGGAAGCCTTTTTTGGGGGAAAACTTTGGCACTTTGGGTTTGACTCCACCATAGTTTGGAGTAAAACCCACCAGCATCTGCTGCTGCATCTTCTTCTTCTCGGTCTGCAGCTGCTGCCCACGCTCTTCCTCCTCCTCGATCCGGGCCTCCATTTCGTGCAGGATCTCCTCCAGCTCCTGCTTCTTGGCCGCCAGACGAATCCGCATCTCCTCCGCCTCGGCGTACAGCTCCGTCTCAGCCTGCAGCTGCTCTTGGAGTTGGTTCTTCTCTTCGGTCAACTAGGCAAACAGAAGGGGCACAGCGTCAGCAACAATGTCTATGAGGACAAGCAACCTGGATGAGAAGTAGGCAGTGGAGCAAGAGCCCACCCAAGAACAGCAACTCCCTCATCTGCACTTCTCAGCCTGAGGGATAAAGCAGGCTGAGGCTTGGTCTACACTGCCCTATATCCCAGGATCTGCTAATCTGCTTTGAACTGGATTATATGAATCTATGCTGCCAGATAATCTAGGATAATCAGATATATATTTGGCTGCTTGTATTGATGATTATTTGGTGACTCCTTGGTGAAGTCATGGACAGCACCCTGAATCTTCAGGTAGGGCCTCACCTGGCTGTGTTTCTGCTCCAGCTCTTTGAGTTCGCTCTCCGTCTTGATTTGCCGCTCCTTCACTGCCTTGAGCTCCTCATCTTTGACCTGCATCTCTTCCTCCTGACGGGTCACTTGAAGCAGTGGCTTCACCTGGGAAAGTCAAGGGCCCACACTCAGGATTTTGGGATTTGTAGTCCAAAGGGGTGGGGGTTTGGGTTGGGGTCAGTTGTCAGTGCGTTTGGGTTTGGGTCAGGGTGACATTAGTTAGGGTCATCATGGTTAGAGTTAGGGTCAGAGTTCAGGTGGCAGAGTCAGAGTCAGGAGTGAGAGTTTAGACTGGTTTAGAGTTGGGTTCAAGGTTAGGGTCAGAGGCAGGAGTTAGACATAGTGTTGGGGTTAGATTGATGGTTAGAGGTTAGGGATTAGAGTTAGGATCAAGATTCAGGTTATGTTCTGCTTTAGGTTTAGGATTAGAGTCCAGGAGACAGACTTAGGGTTATAGCTGGGGCTAAAGTCAACATCAGGGTTTGGCTAAGGGTCAGATGTTAGGGGTTAGGCATACAGGTAAAGGTAAAGGTTTTCCCCTGACATTAAGTCCAGTCATGTTCGACTCTGGGATGTGGCGCTCATCTCCATTTCTAAGCCGAAGAGCCAACGTTGTCCATAGACACCTCCCAGGTCATGTGGCCAGCATGACTGCATGGAGTGGGGTTAGGCATAGGGTTTTGGGTATTTATTTATTTATTTCATATCAAAAGCATTGTATAAATTGGTATAAAACTGATAAAAATTGAAGGAGCGCAGGCGGCTAAATATCTTTTGACCAAAAACGGGCAACAGCAAAGGCATTGTCTGTAGCCTCCAACAATTCTTCCTCTGTGCATGAGGCAGGGCATAGTGGACAAGCATACAGATGTGGAGTTGTCTGTTCTGCTTCACAGTCACACGAGGTGTGGGATTCTTTTAGGTAGTGCCATTTTGCCAGGTTGTCTTTTGATCTGCCCACTCTACTTCTGAGTCTGTTCAGGGACTTCCAAGTTGCCCATTCTTGGTTTGCCCCTGGAGGAAGACCCTTATGGGGGGCCATCTAGTTGGGATTTCCTGGTCTAGCTGCCCAGAGCGATACCCTTCCTGTTGCTGGGGGGACGTCAAGAGGAGTGGTAGTTCTCATAAAACTTTTCCTTGATTTGAGTCTACTGGGAGGAAGCTGGTAGCCATGCAGTGGATGGTTTTCAGTACTCAGCCTTATTTCTATCACATTTAGCAGCAACTTCCCATCACACATCGGGGGGCGGGGGGCATGCCAGCTAGCTTGTAGAGTTTATCAACAGGTGTAGGTTTAAGACATCCTGTGATTATTCTGCATGTTTCGTTCAATGCTATGTTCACCTGCTCCACGCTCTTGTTACATCCCGAATAGACTACTGCAACGCTCTCTACGTGGGGTTGCCCTTGAAGACTGTTCGGAAACTTCAACTAGTCCAGCGAGCGGCAGCCAGACTGCTCACCAGAGCGACATACAGGGAGCATACCACCCCCCTGCTGTGCCAGCTCCACTGGCTGCCGATTCAGTTCCGAGCACAATTCAAGGTGCTGGTTTTGACCTACAAAACCCTGTACAGTTCCGGTCCAGTGTATCTGTCCGAACGTATCTCCCTCTACGTCCCACCCCAGAGTCTGAGATCATCTGGGGAGGCCCTGCTCTCGACCCCACCACTGTCACAAGTGAGGCTGGTGGGGACGAGGAGCAGGGCTTTCTCAGTGGTGGCCCCTCACCTGTGGAACTCACTCCCGGGGGAAATCAGGGCATCATCATCCCTCCTCGCCTTCAGGAGGAGGGTGAAGACGTGGTTATGGGACCAGGCCTTTGGGCACTCTGGCAATTAAATAAGACAATCAGGCGAGTAAGACCAACAGGATTGATGAAGTGGAACGTAAAACTAGATCTATGAGTTAGCGAACGCTGACCATGTAAGAGGAGAAACTGGGTTTGTATTGGTTTTATTGATTTTATTGATTTTATGGTTATAATGCATGAACTGTTGTTAACTGTGAATTGATGTAATTTTGTGTATGATTGTTTTATGATGCAGGCATCGAATTGTGCCCTTGCCTTTGTAAGCCGCCCTGAGTCCCCTTCGGGGTGAGAAGGGTGGGGTAGAAGAACCCCAAATAAATAAATAAATAAATAAATGGGCAGACTTATACCAAACAGGCCAGGCATACTCAGCAGTTGAGTAAGACAAGGTTTGGGTTACACTTGGGGTTAGAATTAGAGGTTGGAGTTGGGGTTAAGTTTAGAATCAGGGTTAGGATTCCAATTAGATTTGGGTTTAGGTTTAGGGCCATAGAGTTAGGGTTACTGTCAGGGATTAGATTTGGGCTAGATATAGAAATTGGGTTAGGTTAGGGTCAGGTTTAGGGTCAAGGTCAAAGTCAGATTCTCGGTCCAAAACCTGCCCTTATGTAGACTTGTGTGCCATCTCCCACAAAGAGAGCCCTGTAGAAGCAGCCCTTACTTTGGTGAAGAGTCTCCACCATTGCCAGTTCCGCAGCTTCAGGTAAGCCACACAGTTCCTCTGGATGACCTTCATGGCCGTCAATTGCTGCTGCCTCTTTGCAAAAGCCCTGTGGGGAAATGCAAAACGTTTAGCCCCATTGCACGTTGCTGAAAGTGGTTCCAAACAGAACGAGCGCCCTGTGTGGATGCAAATGGCCTCACTTCCTGGCCAGGTATCCCCTGGACTGGGCCTGGAAGGTGATGATGACGTCAGTGATCTTGAGGTCCCGCTCTTCCTCCAAGTGGGCCAAGACTCCCGTCCGGAAGAAGATCTTGCTCTGACCGATCCGGTACAAGTTGGGATCCAGCTCCAGGGCTTTCATCTGTCGGGAACGAGAAGGTTTAACGTCAGGACAAAATGCAATACATTCTGAGGAGCAGCACCCCGACTAGAAACATGAAAAATGTTATGTTCCTGGTTTGAAAGGGTTATTTCCTGTTTAATTGTACAGTCCTTACTTTGAAATTAGTTCTTCTACTCCTGAAATTTACTCACCATGAGGATGCAGGCCTGTTTCCCATCCATAAATCCTTTTGGAATGGCATTGGCAGCAAGGATTTCATAGCTAAAGGGAAAGCGAATGGAAAACAGTAATGAAAGTCACTTGAAATTACTCCATTTGGGGTTACTATAGTGTCTGAGGTGCACCTACATTCTTGAACAAATGTAGATTCCCAGAGATGTCGGGCCTTGCCACAATAAGTCACACTTTACTATTATTATTGTTATATTGATACCCCACTTTTCCTCCTTAATAGTGACTCAAAGCTGGCTAGATTACTGCAATGCACTTAACCTGGGGGTTGCCCTTGGAGACTGTTTGGAAACGAGTGCCAAAGAACTGCACTGCAATTGCATTGCACTGCATTGCATGTATGTGTGTGTGTGTGTGTGTGTGTGTGTGTGTGTGTGTGTGTGTATATATATATATATATATATATATATATACACACTATTACTATTATATTGATACCCCACCTTTCCTCCTTAATAGTGACTCAAAGCTGGGTAGATTACTGCAATGCACTTAACCTGGGGGTTGCCCTTGGAGACTGTTTGGAAATGAGTGCCAAAGAACTGCACTGAGATTGTATTGCACTGCATTGCATGTATGTGTGTGTGTGTATGTATGTATGTAAATGTGTGTGTGTGTATATATATATATGTGTGTYTATATATATACACACACATATATATACACACACACACATACACACACACACAATGTTGCCTCAAGTCTCATGCAACATTGAATCTAATGCGCACCTCAATTTTCAAAACCCTGAAACCAAAACAAAGCAGCAAAAAGAGCCCTCTTTACAATTTGAACACTGCAGTTGCTGCCTGCATAAGATTTCTTATTTGAAAAKAAAATAATAATAATAAGAATAAGAATAAGAATAATAATAATAATAATAATAATAATAATAATAATAATAATAATAATAATAATAATAATATAAACTTTATTTCTACCCCGCCACCATCTCCCCGATGGGGACTCGGAGCGGCTTACATGGGGCCGAGCCCGGACATCATAATACAGCAATAAAATCAAAGCATATACATCAGACAACAACAACATTATCAAAATGACATTAAAATAATCAAAAATAATAATAGGAATAATAAAATAAAATAAAATAAAAATTCCAATAGACACAATCACAATAGAAATGACAATGGGCAGGCCACATATTCTGAATTTTTTAAAAAAGTGACTCAAGACCTATATCCACAGCCCCCATTTTAAAAAAAGCTTCCATCAATGGAAAATAAAATCTTGGTGTGCATCTATGCGGCAAAAGAATCCACCTTAATAGCCTTAGTTCAATGCAGTGGTTTAAATCGTTGTGCCAGCTGGACTACTGAACTGAAGGTTGGGTTGCTGACTTGAAGATTCCCGGTTCGAAACTGTGAGACAAGGTGAGCTCCTGTCTGTCAGCTCTAGCTTGCGGGGACACGAGAGAAGTCTCTCAGCAGGATTGTAACACATCCAGGCATCCCCTGGGCAACATCTCAGTAGGTGGTCAATGCTCTCACACCAGAAGCGACTTACAGTATGTTCTCAAGTCACATTTGACACAATCTGTAAAAATGGGGGCTGTAGGTTTACGAGGTCTTGAGCCATCTATGCCAAATAATTCTGATGCCTCACCAAACTATAAATCCCAGGATCCCATAGCATTGAGTCAATGAATTAAATGAGAGATTAGGTCCCTCAAAAAGGAATTCCAGGTGCAGTTTTCCCTTTGGCTTTGGCTCAGTGCTAAGATGACCAATATATATATATAGGCCTCCTGGTGATGGCGTAGTGAGTTAAACTGCTGAGCTGAATTTGCTGACTGAAAGGTCGGCGGTTTGAATCCTGCCAACCTAGAAGTTCAAAAACAGGCAAAAATGTGAGTAGATCAATAGGTACTGCTCCAACAGGAAGGTAATGGTGCACCATACAGTCATGCTGGCTGCATGACCTTGGAGGCGTCTACGGACAATGCCATCTCTTCAACTTAGAAATGGAGTGCTAGACTAGATTTAATGTCAAGGGGAAACCTTTATCATATATATCACATTTTTGTTGTTTGTGTTGTTGTTCTACATTGTGTGTTGCTTAGTCATTAATGGGACATCACAACAGCTTCTTCCTCTTACCGCTGGCGGAACTCCTGGAAGACGATCCTGTTGGGGAAACCTTGGCGGCAGATACGGATCCCCTCCAAAACCCCGTTGCACCGCAGCTGTTCTAGCACCAGGTGGGCATCGAGCTTCCCAGACTATAAAGCAGATAGATAATACCCGAGTTACAAACATCCGATTTACAAACAATTCCTAGTTAAGAACGGAAATGAGACAAGAGGATGCAAGAGAAAGAAAATTAACTCCTACAAGAGTTATTGTCATGGGGAAAGGGGTCTCCACTGAAGCTTTATCCCCAATCCTTGTTTCCACAACAAGCCAAATATAATCCAATTCTCACATTGATAGAAAGTGCTGTGAAGTCTTCTAAATAATGGCACAGACAGCAAAGGAAACACCGCAGGGATAATCCAAAACTCACTCACTCTCTCTCTCTCTCTCTCTCTCTCTCTATATATATATATATATATATATATATATATATATATATATATATATATATTATTACTAGCTGTACCCACCATGTGTTGCTGTGGCCAACCTCCCTTCTTCCCTCCCTCTTTCCTTCCTTTTCTTCTTTCCTTCTCTCCTTCCTTCTTCTCTACCTCTTCTTCCTTCCCCTTTTTCTTTTCCTTCCCTTTCTCTCTTTCTTCCTTCTCTACCTTTTTCCTACTTCCTTCGCTTTTTGCTTCCATCCTTCCTTCTCTCTTTCCTTCTTTTCATCCCTCCCTCTTTCTCTCCTTCTTTTCCCTCTTTCCTTCACTCCCTCTTTCCTTCCTTCCCTTTTTTCTTTCTTTCTCTCCTTTCTTCCTTCTCTACCTCTTTCCTTCCTTCGCTTTTTGCTTCCATCCCACTCTCTTTTCTTCTTTCCTTCCGTGCTTTCTCTTTCTTTTCTTTTCTTTCTTTTCTTTCTTTCTTCTTTCTTCTTCCTTCCTTCCTTCCTTCCTTCCTTCCTTCCTTCCTTCCTTCCTTCTATTTTCACTATTTTCTTTATATCTGTATATGTGTACTTTTTGCTTTTAGTGTATCTGAAAACTTTTAATAAAAGGGGTTATGAGTGATGGTCACTCGTTGGTCTGTTAGGGGTGTAGTGTCCAAATTTTGTGTCAATTAGTCCAAATGGTTTTTGAGTTCTGTTAATCTCACAAACAAACATTACATTTTTATTTATATAGATATGTATGTGGGTGTGTGGGTGTGTGTGTATGTATGTATGTATATGTATATGTGTGTATGTGTATATATGTATGTATGTGTGTGTGTGTGTGTGTGTGTATATATATATATATATGGGACTGAACTTACAAACAGTATGTTTTTAAGTCAGAATAGGGACATTTCTTTGGTGTAATCCAGATATATTTATTTATTTATTTATTTACTTTGCTTATATACCGCTGTATCTCAAGCCCGAAGGTGACTCACGGCGGTTCACAAACAGTAAAAACAGTAGAAACAGCAGTGGTTCCATACAACATATAACAATTGACTTAACACATTATCCATAAATTACCAATAAGCAGTTACAATGCACAATTATTACAAAAAACAATGGATTACACCAAAGAAATGTCCCTGTTCTGACTTACAAACATATTATACTTAAGAACAAACATACAGAACCTCTCTTGTTCATAATTCAGGGGCTGCCTGTACTACAATTCCCATCCCAAGAGTGCATTACGCCTCCTTGTCTGGCCACTGACCCTCTTCTCATGGTTGGGGATGATGCACCGGACGAAGTTGGGGCTGGTGTTGTGGAGGGTGGTCATCAGCTTGGTCAGCTGCTCCTTGTAGAGCTGCCCCACCGTCCGGAACATGCCCTTCTTGGTCTTGGAGGCGCTGGGCAGCGAGCTCTCGGTCATTTTGGCCATCTGGTCCAGGCCCACAATGCGGTCCACTGCAAGGCAACGAGAGAGAGTTCAGCCCCAAAGGATCGTTCCTGGCCTCCAATCAATAAAGCATAGAAGAGTTGGAAGGGACCCCAGGGGCCATCTAGTCCGCCATGCAGGAAAAGCACAATCTAAGCACTTCCAGCCTCTGTTTAAAGGCCTCCAAGGAAGAAGCTCAGTGCCTATCCCTATGTATATAAACATGTACATCATGCTAAGAAGGTTGGGGAAACATACACACATGCATACACACACACACACACATTTATACAAACACAAACTGGTTTAGGTACCCAGCGATGCCCCGGTTAGGTCTTTTGTAATGATAAATATCAGAAATAGCCATTGTGTGTTGTTTGCTTTTCTGAATGGTCCCATTAGAAAATACACAATTTTTGTCTTTACTTTGAAAGTAGTTGCTCTATACTGGAAACTTTTTATATCTGCCACAAACTATGTTGAATTGGTTGAGACTCAACAAAGAGATATCCACTGAAAAACTAGAGCGTAATGTACTGCAAGGATGTCTCTCTCGCAAAGACAATGTTTTGGCAATTTAATAAACCTTTTCCATGTTTTTATGATAGACCCAATTAGGAAATGACATTTATAACCCAATAACAAAAATAATGTTAAATACTGCTATTTCTTATAAATAGAATTCCAAAAGACTTAACCCAGGTATTGCCTAGTAGATACAGGCAAGCTAGTTTTCATCTGGCACCTTTGGCTCATGACCTTGTGAAACTACACCTCCCAGGATAAAATCTGCCATCCCTTTGCCAGCCTACCTTCTTTCCAAAGATCTGCCACAAACTTTTCAGAAGACTGGTTGAGCAAAGCTGTCACATTATCGTTCAAGGGATCCATGTTCTTCGTCAACCACGCGGTCGCATTGTAGATGACCTTTGGGACAAAAAACCAAAATCAGATTTACAAAAAACAAAAACAAAACCCAAAACCCTGTATTGACTGTATTGTTGTAATAATAATAATAATAATAATAATAATAATAATAATAATAATAATATAGTTGGAAGAGACCCTAAGGGCCATCTAGTCCACCCCCTTTCTTCTATTGAGGAGCACAATCAAAGCCCCCTCTTCCTGCCTGACAGATGGCCATCCAGTCTCTGTAATGATAATAATAATAACAACAACAACATTGGAAGAGGCCCCAAGGGCCATCTGGTCCACCCCCTTTCTTCCATGCAGGAAAAGACCAATCAAATCCCTCCCCTCGCCCAACAGATAGTCATCCAGCTTCTGTAAAATAATAATAATAATAATAATAATAATAATAATAATAAGTCCTAGACACTTGGGAAGTGTCCAACGTGTGATCCAATACAACAACCAGCATAGTGATCTTGTTTGCTATGTACTAATCTTGTTGTGTTTCTAACAACAACAACAACAACAACAACAACAACAACAATGTTGGAAGAGAGCCCAAGGGCCATCCAGTCCACCCCCCTCCCATACAGAAAAAGCACAATCAAAGCCCTCCTGACAGGTGGCCATCCAGTCTCTGCTTAAAAGCCTCCAAAGAAGGAGACTTCGAGGCAAAGAGTTGAATGGCTCTCCCGCTGCCTTCCCTGGATTCAGCTGCCATGCGTTTTTCCTCCTCTGGCCCATAACTTCCTCCATGCAAAGACGTGGCATCTCCCTGCAAAATGTGCCCGGCAATGGGCAGAGCCCCGTACCTTCCCCGCGTAATGCATAATGCAGAACTCCGTCTTGTCCTTGAGCTGCTTCTGCTTCGAGAATTTGGGGTGATTCCCTTGTTCTGCACACAGTTTCTCCACCAGCGAAGTGTCGGTAGCTTTGGGGAACCAGCATTCCTCATCCAGAAGGGCCAAGATGCCTGGAGGGTTGTTCTGGGAGGAAGGAAAGGACAGCAAGGTTACTTGCCATGATCAGTAGGTATCCTCTGATGCAGCCCATTGCATCGCCCATCACTGGAGTTGCAAAGGGAGCTATTCCAAAAGAAGAACTAGCCAACATCTAATGCACACTGGACCCACATAGGAGACATTTCGCACCATCTGTTGCTCAAATTTCACATTTGGAAGTGTTTTCAATATGTTGAATAGGTCCTTAATTGTTTCTAACTGTTTACAGGTCACCCCTGAGTTTCAGACATCTGACTTACAAACGATTCACAGTTTAAGAACAGGTATGAGAGGAAGGTTTTAAATTACACCTCGTCTTATTTTTAGTGTTGACCATTTTGGGGCTCTTTTTTTCTTTAGAGAGATAGAGTAGAACAGAACTAAGAACAGCATTGCCTTGCAAAGCTTTGCCCAAGTCCATGCACCACTGCATTAGCATGGCAATAACACAATAGAAAGTGAATGCCAAAATAAGCCATCCTGTAAAAAAGGAATGCCCAAAAGGCCATGTTAGATTTGCCTGTCTACACGGAAGGCCAGGTGTGATCTGGATTCAAAGTACCATTGTATTAAAATGCATAAAAAGGTCAATAATGCATTTATGCAGAAACCCATAAGGAGCCATAATTGCACATAAAAACCATAAAGTAAATGCATGCATGTAGAGACCGATGAAGGCTGAAACATGCTCGCACAAACTCATAAAATAGTAAACGCATGGATGCTGAAACCCACCAAGACCCACAAATGCCTGCACAAACCTATAAAGAAGTCAATGCATGTATGCAAAGACCCATAAAGGACCATACATGCATGCACAAACCCATCAAGAAGTCAATACATGTATGCAAAAACCCATAAAGGACCATACACACATGCGCAAACCCATCAAGAAGTCAATGCATGTATGCAAAGACCCAGAAAGGACCATACATGCATGCACAAACCTATAAAGAAGTCATTGCATATATGCTGAAACCCACCAAGGCCAACAAATGCACAAATCCATCAAGAAGTCAATGCATGTATGCAAAGGCCCATAAAGGACTATACTTGCATGCACAAACCTATAAAGAAGCCATTGCATGCATACAAAGACCCATAAAGGCCCATGAATGCATGCACAAACACATCAAGAAGTCAATGCATGTATGTAAAGACCCATAAAGGACCATACATGCATGCACAAACCTATAAAGAAGCCATTGCATGTATGGAACATCCCATACAGACCATAAATGTATGTGAAAACCTATAAAGAAGTCAATGCATACATGCAAAGACCCATAAAGGACCATGAATACATGCACAAACCCATCAAAAAGTCAATGCATGTATGCAAAAACCCATAAAGGACCATACATGCATACACAAACCTATAAAGAAGCCATTGTATGTATGGAACATCCCATAAAGGGCCATAAATGTATGTGAAAACCTATAAAGAAGTCAATGCATACATGCAAAGACCCATAAAGGCCCATGAATGCATGCACAAACCTATCAAGACGCCAGTGCATGTATACATGCACAAATCCATCAAGAAGTCAGTGCATGTCTGCAAAGACCCATAAAGGACCATACATGAATGCACGAACCCATCAAGAAGAATGTCTAAGTGCAACCTATCAATCTGACTCCTTACAGGTCTCTCAATCAGTTCGATGCAAGGCTGGAGATCAAGCCCAAAGTCGATGAAGTTCCACTCGATGCCCTCCCTCTGATACTCCTCCTGTTCCAGGATGAACATGGTGTGGTTGAAGAGTTGCTGCAGCTTCTCGTTGGTGTAGTTGATGCAGAGCTGCTCAAAGGAGTTGATCTGGGGAAAAGCAATGGAGGGGGTAAACAACTGGGCAGAGTGCTCCAACCCTATTCCTCGTTGCAGGGCTTGGGGCCAAGGGGGCTCCTCCGCACCTCAAAGATCTCGAAGCCGGCGATATCCAGGATCCCCAAGAAGGAGGCCCCTTGCCGCTTGGTTTTGTCCAAGGCCTTGTTGACCCGAGTCAAGATCCAACGGAAAAGGCGCTCGTAGATGGCTTTGGCCAGGGCCTCAATGGCAAAGTCCGCCTGAAATAAACCGTATATACATATAGGAACAATCCCTCTAGGAAGAGAGTGCTAAAGATCCAATAAAGGGATCCCAATGCAAACTGAACCTGAAGCCAAGATCTACAAAGTAAGGCTGTCGTCCTTTGGACATATTGTTATTAAGAAACTGACCCACCCCTGCTGTAATAATGATAATCATAAATTTATAAGATATTTCGATCTATAACCTTTCGGTTATAGATCTTGGCCCCAGCCCAACCCCAAACATTCCTGGGAGGATTGCCTGCAAGTGCCTCACCTGTTCCTTGGTCTGCGCTTTCTGCACCACGTCTCTTCCAACTTTGATCCTTGGTGTAAGAATGGCTCGCGTGAAATCTGTCACGTTGATTCCCATCAGGTGGCACACCTTCTGAGCCACTGCAATAGCAGTTATAGTTGTTGTTATTATTGACGACTGTATTGCAATTTAATCTTTGTATTCTGATATGTGCAATTTACAGTAATATGTTTTGATAGAAATGTGGAAGTGTGGAAGGATGAGTGTGTTGTTTTGTGATGTGTGCTGGGGAAAGCATTTAATTTCATTGTACAATAATAATAATAATAATAATAATAATAATAACAATAAAACTTTATTTGTACCCTGCTACCATCTCCCCAAGGGACTCGGTGCGGCTTACATGAGGCCAAGCCCACAACACATCAATAAACAAAGGCGATAATAAATAATCAATACAAAACAGTTAAAATAAAATAAAATAAAACTCAAAAACAAAAAATACACAATAAGCAATAAGCAATATCAATAACAATAACATACAGCATTTAAAACCAATGGCCGGGCCAAATGTACAATGGCGATAAAGTTATTCAATTCTATACTAGATGCATTTTATTGAATGTAATTTATGTTGATGCATTTCCACTGTGTTGTGCTTCGCCTCAACCCATTATGTTATTATTATTATTATTATTATTATTATTATTATTATTATTATGGATTAAAGGTAAAGGTAAAGGTTTCCCCTGACATTAAGTCCAGTCGTGTCCGACTCTGAGGGGTGGTGCTCATCTCCATTTCTAAGCTGAAGAGCCAGCGTTGTCCATAGACACTTCCAAGGTCATGTGGCCAGCATGACTGCATGGAGCCCTGTTACCTTCCCGCAGAAGCGGTACCTATTTATTTACTCATATTTGCATGTTTTCGAACTCTAGGTTTGCAGAAGCTGGTGCTAACAGAGGGAGCTCACCCTGCTCCCCAAATTTGAACCACCAACCTTTCGGTCAACAAGTTCAGTAGCTCAGCGGTTTAACTTACTGCGCCTGTTATTATGGATTAGTATATTATATTATTAGTGGATAAGCATAGAATCGTAGATTCGAAAAGAGCACCCAAAGGCCTCCCAGTCCAACCCCTTCTACCAAATAGGAAGGCATAAAGGCCTCCCAACAGATGGCCATCCAGTCAGTCTCTGCTTTACTATTATTAATCATCACCATCACCACTACCACCACCACCACCACCACCACCATCATCATCATTATCATCATCATCATCATAGAAACATGGGATCACAGAATTATAAACGTTCCTGACAGATGGACATGTCGCTTCTGCTTAAAGTAATAGTAGTAATAATAATAATAATAATAATAATAATAATAATAATAATAATATAGAATCCTAGAGAACCTAAGAGCCATCCAGTCCAATCCAATTGTGCCAGAGATGAAGACACAACTAAAGCCCTCCTGACAAATGGCCATCTAGTCTCTGCTTAATACCAATAGTAATAATAACAGTAACATAGACTCCTATAATTAGAAGAGAACCCAAGGGCCATCCACTCCAGCTCTTCTTCCAGATAGGAATACACAACTAAAACCCTCCTGACAGATGGCCATCCAGCCAACCCCTTGAGCAGGATGGAAAACCCAAGCCACAATATCCAAAGGTTTTGCAAGCATTTGGAAAGGCAAGGCATCCAGAAGACCACATCCCATTGCCGCCCAAGGTAGGATGATGCCAGAAGTCACTAGTAGGGTACATCTACACTACAGGGTTAATGTAGTTTGACACCACTTTAACTGCTGTGGCTCAATGCTATGGAAGTTTGGGAGTTGTTGTCAATGCTCCCAAGGTCCCATAGCACTGAGCCATGGAGCTTAAAGTGGTGCCGAACTGCATTAATTCTGCAGCGTAGATGCCACAAACCCCTTTTGGCCCTTACCCGTATCGTCTGGCATGGAGGCCTGATCAGTGTTTCTCTCCTTCTTGAAGACGATGTTGCCCAGTTGCAGGACCGAGGAGACCACTCTCAGCATCGCTGCAAATAAATAAATAAATAAATAATTATTATTATTATTGCCTTTGTTGTTGTTACTAATCTGCTTTCCTCTCTCGATCGTGACCCCAAAACATTCATACAAACTTGAATAGATCTAAATGACCAATCCAATGTTCCTTAATACAGGGTTTGAAGGAGAGAAAGGTTTGGGGAGCTGCATTTCATTAAATTTTGATTAAAAATTCAGTGCAAAATGCCGTAGAAATCTTTATTTGAGTTGCATTTATAATACAGAACAAATCCAGTCAGGCAGCACTTGGACTGCCCTGGATCCATGCAACGAGATCCTGGGAGTTATAGTTTTTGGGAGATGCAGTTTTCTTTGCTGGAGAAGGCTTTGGCCCTTTGGAAAACTAAAGCTCCCAGGATGTTATAGCACTGGGCCCTGGCATTTCAAGAGCTGCCAAACTGCATCAGTTCCACAGTGTAGATCCACCCAAAGGAAGCCATGGACCTTGGGAAACTATAACTCCCAGGATCCCATTGCATTAAGCATTGGCATTTAAAGAAGTGCCAAACTGCATCAATTCCACAATACAGATGCACCGAAAGCAGGCTATGGAACATGGGAAACTACAACTCCCAGGATCCCATTGTATTAAGCCTTGGCATTTAAAGAGGTGCCAAACTGCATCAATTCCACAGTGTAGAAACACCCAGAAGAAGACATGGGACCTTGGGAAACTACAACTCCCGGGATCCCATTGCATTAAGCCTTGGCATTTAAAGAGGTGCCAAACTGCACCAGTTCCACAGTGTAGATTCACCCAGCGGAAGCCATGGACCTTGGGAAACTATAACTCCCAGGATTCTATTGCATTAACCCTTGGCATTTAAAGAGGTGCCAAACTGCATTCTTTCCACAATACAGATGCACCCAAAGGAGGCTATGGAACTTGGGAACTACAACTCCCAGGATCCCATTGCATTAAGTTTTGGCATTTTAAAAGGTGCCAAACTGCATTGTTCCACAGTGTAGATGCACCCAGAAGAAGACATGGGACCTTGGGAAACTGCAACTCCCAGGATCCCATTGCATTAAGCCTTGGCATTTCAAGAGGTGCCAAACTGCATCAGTTCCATAGTGTAGATTCACCCAGCGGAAGCCATGGACCTTGGGAAACTATAACTCCCAGGATCCCATTGCATTAAGCCTTGGCATTTAAAGAAGTGCCAAACTGCATCAATTCCACAGTGTAGATACACCCAGAAGAAGACACGGAACCTTGGGAAACTACAACTTCCAGGATCCCATTGTATTAAGCCTTGACATTTAAAGAGGTGCCAAACTGCATCAATTCCACGGTGTAGATATACCCAGAAGAAGACATGGGACCTTGGGAAAGTACAACTCCCAGGATCCCATTGTATTAAGCCTTGGCATTTAAACAGGTGCCAAACTGCATCAGTTCCACAATACAGATGCACCCAAAGGGGGGTATGGAACTTGGGAACTACAACTCCCAGGATCCCATTGCATTAAGTTTTGGCATTTTAAAAGGTGCCAAACTGCATCAGTTCCACAGTGTAGATGCACCCAGAAGAAGACATGGTACCTTGGGAAACTCTAACTCTCAGGATCCCATTGCATTTAGCCTTGGCATTTAAAGAGGTGCCAAACTGCATCGATTACACAGTGTGGATGCATTCCAGGCGTCTCAGTGGGTCCAAGATGGCCACTGGGACCTCCTCCACTTACCAATCTGCTCCTCCTCATTGAACCCCATAATAGCCATGGCTTCGATGGTCTCCTGGAACATTTCATCGTCTTGCTGGGATGGAATGGGGACATATCCGTTGGAGAGGAAGGTGTAGTTGTTGAAGTTTTCCAGCAGCAGGTCCTCTGGAGAAAGAAACCCATTCCACTATTAATTCGTCAATCATTAAAATGCCACCAATATCCCATTGTCCCTCACTTGGCACTCATTCTCTGTCAATCCCACCCCTATACTGCCCTAATAATACATTATATTGTATTATACTGATATTATGCAGATGCAACTGCATGGTATATCCATCAAGATGCATTATAGGGCCCCCTCTCCGCTGCCATTTCTCTCCCTTCAACGGCTTCAAATGGAACGATTTGCCCATTAATTCATGAAAACATCCCAATTTCTGATTTGTAGTTGCTTTGAGTCTCCTTTGCAAAGAGAAAAAGTGGGGTATAAATAAAAATAATATTAATTAATATTAATATCAATTACTATGCCTTCCAAATCTGTTTCCATTGATAACATCAATAATATTATTATTATTTAATAATAGTAATAATATTAATATTAATATTGAAACTAATATTAATGAAAACGGATTTGGAAGGTGTATTAATTCATATTAATATGAATTAATATTAATATTAATTACTATACCTTCCAAATCTGTTTTCATTGATAATATTAATAATATTAATATTATTTAATAATAGTAATAATATTAACATTAAAATTGAAACTAATATTAATGAAAACAGATTGGGAAGGTATATTAATATTAATTACTATACCTTCCAAGTCTGCTTCATTGATAATATTAATATTAATATTATTTAATAATGGTAATATTAACATTAACATTGAAACTAATATTGATATTAATCAGTATTAATATTAATTACTATACCTTCTAAATCTGTTTTCATTAATAATATTAATAATATTACTATTATTTAATAATAGTAATAATATTAACATTAATATTGAAACGAATATTAATGAAAACAGATTTGGAAGGTATATTACTTAATATTAGTATTAATTACTATACCTTCCAAATCTGTTTTCATTGATAATATTAATATTATTTAATAATAGTAATAATATAAACAGTAATATTGAAACTAATATTAATATTAATGAATATTTATATTAATATTAATTACTATATCTTCCAAATCTGTTTTCATTGATAACATTAATAAGATTAACATTAACATTGAAACTATTATTATTATTATTACTACTACTACTACTACTACTATTGAAAATAGATTTGGAAGAGACATTCTCCATTGAGCCTCTTATTTTAAAAGGTCCCAGCTTCTTTCCCTTCCTCCGCCACCGTTCTCAATGGTTGCGAGCAAAACGAAAACTATTGAAAATTCACAAATCTCATTAGCTATTCCTGAAATAAAACTATCCTAATTGGGGGGAGGGACATTTGTCATGACTCTGCTTCCTTTCCCCCCCCTTTTCTTGCTGCTTTCCTTCCTTCTTTTGCCCCCAGTTGCTGCAAACTGAGCCCCAAAGTACAGGGGAGGGCACAGGACAGGAGGGACGGTTGTTGTAGCAACCAAAGCTGAACTGATCCGCTTCCATCATTCCCCAAATACCAAATAACTTACTCTTCATTTGCTCACTGGCCCCAGCAAGCAGATAGTAAAATATGTGGAAGGTCCGCTCTTCCCTGGCTTGGCGGATGGCACGGGATTTCTCCAGCAAATCTGTTGGGATCCGTTAAGGTGCAAAACATGGTGGGTTTGACTTCTCCATTGGAGACATTTCTTCCATCATTTCTTCCCCCTGAGTTTTTGATCCCTTTCCTTATAAGGAAGATCTTCCTCAATCCCTGCTTCTCTTACAGTCTCTGGGGCCTTTTTTTGCCAAAATGCTTGACCTTCTTGGCCTCTTGATATTGACACTGGTGGTGTGTTTGCTTCTCGATGTAAACACATTTGCATTTGCACAAACACAGCCTCAGAGAGGTAAACAAAAGAAGGGCAACACAATCAGGCGTTTACTGGAAAGGCTTGTGTTTATGTTCCTTGCAGAAAAACACTCGGGAAAACACTTCTTCCCATTTCTTAGGTCACAAAGTACTGTATTCAACTCTGTTCTGAAAAGGATACAGGTTTCGATGTTGGCTCCCACGATGTAGCCGGTGACATCAAAATTGATCCGGATGAATTTGCCCTGTAAATGAGAACAAAGGATGTATACTATGCCATTCAAAGGCTCTTGGGCTTAGTAAATGATGGAACACATGGGCCTCCCGGCAGCGCAAAAAAACCAATTAGGTTTTGCAAATTAAGTCCACATTTCTTTGCAATACTTTCCTTACTTTGCAGAAACACATAAAGCGCCATAAATGCATGTAAAAACCCATAAAGAAGCAAAGACATGCATGCAATAATTCCTAAAGGACTATAAATGCATGTGCAAACCCATAAAGAAACAAAGCATGCATGCAATGACCAAAAAATCACCATAAATGCATGTAGAAACCCACAAAGAAGCAAAGCATGCATGCAATAACCTAAAAAGGACCATAAATCCATGCACAACTCTATAAAGAAGCAAATGTATAGATAAAATAACTTATAAAGGACTATAAATGCATGTAAAACCCATAAAGAATCAAGGCCACACATGCCGAGTATGCTAAATGCAAGACGAGGAAAGCACAGACTGGGACAAACAGACTTATTTGCAAATTTTCCCATTTGTTGCACCATCCCTAACTTAGTGAACTGAATATATCATTTACTTTCTTGCATTTGTTAGAAAGTTCTTACCTATTTTTTGCTACAGAATATATCATTGAGTTGAGACTTTCTTGCATTTGTCACCTAGTTATTTCCTAATTGTTTTTACTAGAAAATATCCACTTAGGAGGAAACATCCAAATAGCTACGCCATGTCCTTATTGCATGCAACCTTTGCTAGGTTTGCATCAGTGAATTGTTTAGAAAAGGTAAACATGTCATTTTATTTTTATATTTATGCTGTGAGATGCTGTGGGTTTTTAAAACATGCATTGTTTTCTTTCTTTTTTAAAGACATGAGCTGCTTTGGCTCTTGCCTCCTGAGATAAAAGTGTTAACAAAAAATAATCCTCTGCCTCTAATAATTATTATTATACATTTACAATGTATTTTTAGAGCCTGGCTGAGTTTCAACCAAACTCAGCCTCAGCCCAACCCCAAACATCCCTGGGAGGATTAATCTAACAATTCCTCTCTACCCTGGTCTGTGATGTCAGGAGGAAATCTCAGCCAATGGGAAAGCAGATCTTAGAAGACATGTCTTCTGACCAATCAGAGAAGACAGTGGGAGGTTTGAATAGCTTCCAAACTGTATAAAATGTGCAGTATTTTTCTGCATGGGTTAAGTCAGCTCTTTTGTCATGTCTTAAGTCAGCCTGGCGGGGACGAGAGAGCGGGCCTTCTCGGTGGTGGCCCCTCGGCTATGGAACTCCCTCCCTGCTGAAATCAGACAGGCGCCTTCCCTCATGGCCTTTCGCAAGGGCCTGAAAACCTGGCTCTTCGAAAAGGCCTTCAACTAAGTGCTACGTTGTTGGAATGACCACCGGAATGTACTATGACTATGAGATTGATTATGACTCCAAACTAGACGAATGCGGATTTTTAGTTTAACTCGTTGTTGTATTGGTCTTGATTTATTGTAAACTGTTGTCTTTTTCTATGTTCTGTACACCGCCACGAGTCGCCCTCGGGCTGAGAGTGGCGGTTAACAAGTGCAAATAATAATAATAATAATAATAATAATTTTGGCGATTACACTGTTCTGTCATTCATCTGGCCAGATGAATAAAAATCTTTGTTATTTCCTTCAAACCCGGTCATGTTTTTCCTGGCATTCAAAGTAGCATGGTGTGCCGGCAACATACCTACACTGCCCCTGTTGGCAGATAGCTGATTTCGGTAACAAAAGCAAGGCAACAACAACAAAAACAGTAGCAACAGCAACATATAATCATCCCTTTTTTTGCATTGAATTTATGCAACTTACGAATCGGGAAGAATTGTCATTTTTCACCGTTTTGGCATTTCCAAAAGCTTCCAGGATAGGATTTGCTTGGAGCAGCTGCTTCTCCAATTCACCCTGGAAAGAAATTGTAAAAGTTAGGATCTTTGACGACAAAAACAAATGGACATTTTACTTACCTGGAAAGTAATTCCTTTGCAACTTTTTTGGGGGGGCATTTCATGGCGAGCTTCATTTGGTTTTGGTCATTTTGTTCACTCAAAGATACCTGGGATTTTGCAGGAAAGGAGGCTGAAGCATTTTTTTTTATTTTGCAAGAAAATGAGGATGAACAATTAGGGCAGGAAGTCGGTTTTGTATGAAATGGAAGCACAAAGCAGCTTCTTTCGCATCAATTAATAAGGTTAAAAGGCGGGGCTTTTCTAAAGTTGGAGATGATCCATGACTTATTTCTACATTAAAAGTTTTCAATCCTGTGCAAAACCATGCACACGCAAGCCATGCAAAACAATAGGAGAAGCACCCATCAACCTTTCAGGGTCATTATATGGTGTAGAAATCCAATGGCAATGTTGAATCTATAAAGATGGATCTACTTTGTTGGATTAACACAGTTTGATACTACTTGAACCGCCCTGGCTCCATGCAATGGAGTTTTGGTTTTGCAAGCTTTTCTTGAGCCTCCTCCGCCAAAGGATTTATTTCCAGTTAAACTATACTACTCTGAATCTCCTTGTGGAGAGAAAAAGCAGGGTATAAATAAACACAACAACAACAACAACAATATCTATCCTAGTAGACCAAATGGGGCCTTCCCCAGGAATATTGCTGAATATTTTTCCCTCAACTATATGATGATGATGATGATGATGATGATGATGATGATGATGATGATGATGGTGATGAGAATTTATTTTTGTGTGTGTCAGTAACAACTTGAGAAACTGCAAGTTGCTTCTGGTGTGAGATAATTGGCCTTCTGCAAGGATGATGTCCAGGGGACGCCTGGATGTTTTGATGTTTTATCACCCTTGTGAGAGGCTTCTCTCATGCCCCTGCAATGGGGAGCTGAAGCTGACAGAGGGAGCTCATCCGCGCTCTCCCTGGATTTGAACCTGTGACCTGTCGGTCTTCAGTCCTGCCGGCACAAGGGTTTAACCCATGATGAGAATGACCCACTGCAAGACCCATAATGAATGTTAAACTCATGTCTTGTGTTTTAATTTGTGTTAATTTGTATTTTGCAGATCTGTGTGTATTTTATATAATGTTTACAATGATTATGCGTTTTTAACTATGTTGAGCCATGATGAGAGGCAGGTGGGTTATCATCATCATCATCATCATCATCACTACTACTACTACTACTTTTACTGGTATTACTACTACTACTATAACAATTATTGTTACTACTATTACTACTGCTGTTATTATTACTATTATCATTATTATACTTTGCAACATGACAACTTCTAATCTGCTTTTCATTGGTGGATTTTAACTTGTATTTTAACTCTGTGTATCTTGTTATATGTCTTTTAATAGTATATTATGTCTTGTTTTAATGATGTTGCGTCCCACTTCAAACCGGAGGGAGAGGTGGGTAATAAATACATTATTAGTAGTAGTAATGCTAGTAGTAGTAGTATTACTACCACTATCTCTATTATTATTACTATTACTACTACTACTACTACTACTACTACTATTATTATTAGTGTTGTTGTTGTTGTTGTGACAAATGCATGAGCACCACATCTGGGTGTCTCTTTATTTCTCCAAAATATAACTCCAAAGTGAGGAAGTATCTTGGAAATGCATCTTGGGAAGACAAAGGGTCAACTCTCCATTGCAGAGTCCCATTTTCTGGGCCGTTGTCCACTTCTTCCACTTGAGGCTCACTTTTGGAAAGGGTTGAATGCTGCATTAACATACCATTTGCCATAAGTGCATGCCATTGCATTGAGAGGGACATGCAGATAGAAGGATGAGCCATTGGGGAAAAGGAAGGAATGGCATGCAAAGAAGAGCAAGAGGGCAACAGTGTCCATTGACTCCCACATGGTTTCGTCCCCTCTTCAGGCATCTCTCCTTTTCCCAGGAAGTTCCTTTTCTGGTGCAGTTACAACAGGCCCAAGGCTGTATGATGCCCTCCTTCCAGGGCTTGGTCGGAATGTGGAAGAGCATCTCTTGGGACCCTCAGCTTGGGCACCGCTCTCTAGAACAGAGTTTTCCAAACTTTCTATGCTTTTGAGACAATGCCTTGTTTTGCAATACAGTCATTTATTTGGTTTTTCTAGCAAATTGGAGGTTACACCAAACTCTTAGAAGACTTTCATACTCTATCTATCTATCTATCTATCTATCTATCTATCTATCTATCTATCTATCTATCTATCATTTGTATTATGTATAAGATCTGGCTAGATGGCTTTGACTGTGTCTTTCCTGCCCAAACGAAGGGGGTGAACTAGATATCCTTTGGGGCCTCTTCCAGTGGAGCTTCCTTCTCTGGAAGTGTTTGAACTGAGGCCGGATGGTTTTCTGTCAGGAGGGTTTCAACTATGTCGTCATGCCCAACTGAAAGGGGTGGACTAGATGCCCTCTGGGGGCCTCTTCCAGTGGAGCCTCCTTCTCTGGAAGTGTTTGAACTGAGGCTGGATGGCTATCTGTTGGGGGGGGGGTTGACTGTCTTCGTGCACAACTGAAGGGGTGGACTAGATGCCCTTTGAGGGCCTCTTCCAGTACAGCCTCCTTCTCTGGAAGTGTTTGAACTGAGGCCGGATGGCTATCTGTTAAGAGAGTTTTGACTATGTCATAATGCCCAACTGAAGGGGGTGGACCGGATGCCCTTTGGGGGCCACTTCCAGTGGCACCTCCTTCTCTTTAAGTGTTTGAACTGAGACCGGTTGGCTATCTGTTAGGAGGGTTTTGACTATGTCGTCATGCCAAACTGAAGGGGATGGACTAGATGCCCTTTGGGAGTCTCTTCCAGTGGAGCCTCCTTCTCTGGAAGTGTTTGAACTGAGGCTGGATGGATATCTGTTGGGAGGATGTTGACTGTGTTGTCATGCCCAACTGAAGGGGATGGACTAGATGCCCTTTGAGAGTCTCTTCCAGTGGAGCCTCCTGCTCTGGAAGTGTTTGAACTGAGGCTGGATGGCTATCTGTTGGGAGGGTTTTGACTGTGTCCTCATGGCCAACTGAAGGGGGTGGACTAGATGCCCTTTTGGGGGCTATTCCAGTGGAGCCTCCTTCTCTGGAAGTGTTTGAGGCTGGATAGCTGTCTGTTGGGGAGTTTTGACTGTTTTTTTGTGCCCAACTGAAGGGGGTGGACTAGATGCCCTTTGGGGGACTCTTCTAGTGGGAGCATTTTCTATGTGACCCCCCCCCCCCAATGGACTACAGGCAATGATACATAGTTTGGAAAGCTCTGCTCCAGGGGATTCTGGTTGCTGCAGTCCACCTCCAAAAAAAATCTCTCCACCAGCTCTGCAGAAACAACCATTGGGGTGACGTCTTTTGTTGACATGTGAAGTGCAACAATTCCATGCAGACCTACAGTCGGTGAGTTGTTGTCGTCTGTTTTTGCACACTACACACACATGTACACACACGCGCGCGCACACTACACACACACGCTTGGCAAACCCAGATTACTCACGTAAGCAAAAGATGGCCCTTGCTGCGGTCAAACAACACGGCATAAGAGAACGGTCAGTTAGCATCACCAGCAGACCCCAATCAATAGATATATGTATATATTATTTTCCTAGAAAAGTGCCCCCATTACAGTACTGAATGCAAAATGCTTTTGTGTTTGGAACCCAGTTGGTAGCAAATGGGATCAGATGAGGACAAAAGCAAAGGATGGCCCTTGCTATAATAATAATAATAATAATAATAATAATAATAATAATAATAATAATAATAATAATAATAATAATTTATTTATATTCCTCCCTATCTCCAGATTCCAACTAACAAAAAAGCAAATATTCAATGCCTTAATATAACAACAAATACAAACATAATAGCGCAAAATAATAGAGTCAAGTTAGACACCCCATATATATATATATATATAATTATTTTCAATAACATTTTGAACAGAGTGCACAATTGTTCCCACTGAATGCAAAATCCTTTTGTGCTTGGAATCCAGTTTGCAGCAAATGGGGTCAGATGATGACAAAAGTAGGGGGAAAGAGAGAGAAAAGGGGGTATTTCAAAGGTAGCTAGGAAAGTGGATGCATCGCTCTTAAGATGCAATTCCTTCCAAGCCTTGGAGCCACTTATGGAAAGCTATGCGTCCCTCCCTCCTCCTCCTGCATCTGACGCCAAACAAAGAGGCCGCTTTTCCATAAACAGGAGAGAGATGCGAAGGGAGACGTCAGCTCTTTGGCAAAAGGGAGGACTGATGAATAACAACTGCAGGGAGGTGCCAGTGGCCGGAGGAAGAATTCAATTAATAATAATTAACATTGAAATGAATGTTTTAAATACCGTGATGCTGGTGTCCTTCTTGCCCTTGTGGGAGGAAGCCACCACGGCCAAATACTGAATGACCTTCTTGGTGTTTTCTGTTTTGCCGGCACCGGATTCCCCTCTGAGGAGGAAAGGACAAATAATAATAATAATAATAATAACAACAACAACAACAACAACAACAACCAATGCAATCAAAGCCAGAATTGAAAAGTCGACAACAGATCCTAAATGTAGACTCTGCAAGGAAGCAGACTAAACAATAGATCACATCCTCAGCTGCTGCGAAAAGATCATGCAGACAGACTACAAGCAGAGGCACAACACCGTTGCTCAGATGATTCATTGGAACTTGGGCCTCAAATACCATCTGCCTGCGGCAAAGAACTGGTGGGATCACAAGCTGGAAAAATTTCAGAGAATGAGCACGCCAAACTCTTCTGGGACTTCCAGATTCAGACAGACAGAGTTTTGGAGCATAATCCTCCTGACCTCACAATCGTGTTAAAAAACAAAGTATGGATTGTTGATGTCGCAATCCCAGGTGACAGCAGAATTTAAGAGAAACAACTGGAAAAGCTGACACGATATGAGGATTTAAAGGTCGAACTGCAAAGATTCTAGCACAAGCCAGTCAAGGTGGTCCCAGTGGTGACTGGCACACTGGGTGCAGTGCCTAAAGACCTTGGCCTGCACTTAAACACAATCGGCGCTGACAAAATGACCATCTGTCAGCTGCAAAAGGCCTACTGGGATCTGCATGCATTATTCGCCAATACATCACACAGTCCTAGACACTTGGCACATGTCTGATGTGTGATCCAATACAACAGTCAGCAGGGTGACCTTGTTTGTGTGTACTAATCTTTTTGTGTTTCTAATAATAATAATAATAATAATAATAATAATAATAATAATAATGTAATAATAACAGTAATAGGAGCCCCCGGTGGTGCATTGGGTTAAACTGTTGAACTGCCGAACTTGCTGGCTGAAAGGTCGGCGGTTTGAATCCAGGAAGTGGGGCGAGCTCCCACTGTTAGCCCCAGCTTCTGCCAATCTAGCAGCTGGAAAACATGCATATGTGAGGAGATCAATAGGTACTGCTTCTGCAAGAAGGTAACGGCGCTCCATGCAATCATGCTGGCCACATGACCTTGGAGGTGTCTATGGACAACACCAGCTCTTCAGCCTAGATGAGCACCACCCCCCAGATTTGGACTTGACTAGACTTAATGTCAGGGGAAATCTTTACCTTTACATAATAATAGTAATAGTAATAATACCAATACTACTACTAATAATAATACCAATAATAATAATAATAATAATAATAATAATAGGAAGGGAATAATAATATTAATAGTAATAATAATATCAGTAATAATAATAGTACTGGTAATAATAATAATACCAATAATAATAATAATAATAATAGCAATAATAATTATAATGGTGATAACAATAACAACAACAATAATAGTGGTAATAATAATAATAATATGTATTGTCGAAGGCTTTCATGGCTGGAATCACTCAGTTCTTGTGGGTTTTTTCGGGCTATATGGCCATGTTCTAGAGGCATTTCTCCTGACGTTTCGCCTGCATCTATGGCAAGCTCCTCACCTCTGAGGATGCTTGCCATAGATGCAGGCGAAACGTCAGGAGAAATGCCTCTAGAACATGGCCATATAGCCCGAAAAGACCCACAAGAACTTAATAATAATAATAATAATAATAATAATAATAATAATAATAATATCATTACCAAGATACCACCATGAAAGGAAATTTACCCATTTACCCATTTACCCATTTAGCAACACCAGACCAAAATGGCCTCTGAAAGACACTTCTAAACCTGCTTTGGATTTTAATTTGAACTTTAAAGAAGTTTCAACACCACTGAGCCCCAATTTGGGCAGATTCAGGACCACGGAGAGCTCCATTTATGTTCATACAAACCTCCCCCAAAAGATTAAACTCTGACCATTTGAAAACAATTTGAAAAAGTATGATGATAGAGGATGAATGGCCCAATCAGGACAGTCGGAGAGCATTGGGAATATCTCTTTGGAGGATTCTCTTCTTCAAAGCCGGGCAGATCTAAGACCCCGGATCGGGGGCAACATTTCCAAGTCAACCATCTTCTCGAAAGACGGCTATTTCTTAAAGAAGGAGAGAGGTGGGAAATGTGGGAAGAAGTTTCCTCTGGGTTTGCTACCTTGCCCTAATTGGGAGGGGCCTTCTTCTCTGGAGAAAGAGGCATGAAATAACAACAATAATAATAATAAATGGGGGGCAAAGGAGGGAGGCAATGCTTTGGGATCTTCCTGGGCCTTAAAAGGCCAAAAGACCATTTCGCTTCTTCTGTGTTTTACGGTTTCTGTCCTCCTTCGACTGATAAAAGGAATTAATTCTAATGAAGTGTCCTGGGAATGGTTCCAGGCCAAACAGGCGGACCTGGAGGAATGTTTGCGCAAAAGACCTTTCAATATAATCTCCTCGTTGCTCTCCGTTTTTCCTTTCCTGGAAGCAGGGAAGAAGGTCCCTTTATTTAACATGAAACGGGGAAAGCGTTGATTTTGGAAGGTCGTGGGTTTGAATTTCTCCTTGGTCCAGAAAGGCCGTTTTCTCAGTTGATGATAAGAAAAATCCCATTGAAAGTGGAAGGAGACCGATTAATTAAATGGATCAATAGTCAAACCTTTGCAAAGTTCATTTGGTCAAGCGACTGCTAGAATGGGTCAAATTCCAATGTGGGCATGTTGGGCAATCCAATTATCTGGGAATCTATATAATTAATCATCATAATTAATTGATACAATTAATGATCTAGGTTAATTAATTATAATTAATTATCCAAGTTCCCAGAAAATTGGATTGCCACAATTAATAATCATAATTAAGAAATGTAATGAATCATCATTATTAATTGGCGTGATTAATTATCATAATTAACACAATTAATTATCATTGTTAACACAATTAACACAATGAATTATCATTATTAGCACAATTAACACAATTAATTATCATTATTAATTAACACAATTAATTACAATAAACAATCAATTATCAAAATCAATTATGTCAGTTAATCACTATAATTAATTGACATCACTATAAAATTGATTATAATTATTATTATAATAATTACTTATCATAATTCATGTTAATTAATTGTTTACAAAATAACCATTTCGAAATCAATTATCTCTGCTAATTAATGATAATTAATTATCTAGGTTCCCAGATAATTGGATTGCCAAAATTAATAATCATAATTAAGTAATCCAATTAATTATCATAATTAATTGGTATAATTAAGCAACATAATTAATCAGCACAATTAATTTGTGTGATTAATTATAATAATTATTTAACACAATTTTCATTATTAATTAGCACAATTATAATAAATAGAAAATCAATTATCAAAATTAATTTGATAATCACTTTAATTATAAAAATGACTATAAGAATTATTTAATTAATTATTAATATAAGAATTATAATTCATGTTAATTAATCATTTTCAAAATAGCCATTTCTGAGAGGAGGAAGAGCCTGAGGATTGAGTGTTGAACTACAGCTCCCAAAGATCTAGGTTTTTGCTCAGCCCCGGAAACCCAGTGGCTGGCATTGGGCAAGTCACACTCTCTCAGCCTCAAAGACAAAAAGAAATATTATGAAAGACAGGTTTGCCTTTAGGTGAACACATGTCAAAAATGAAGGCGCATAGCAAGAAGAAAAATTATGTCTTTGACAAACGCCTATTTCTTGCTTGGAACTTGGCAATGTCTTCCTTCTGATAAATTGAAATCCAATATTTCCTTCCAGCTGAGTTTGCAAAGCGATCTTTTGGCCTTTCCTTTCCAGGGGGAATTGCAAATGGAGAACTCAAACGCACATTTTTAAAAATAAAAATCTTATTTTTAGTGCATGTTTTGCCTTCTCTCTGACAGCATTGTAAACAGACTGGATCCTCCAAGGGCCCTTTCATTTGAGACAATTATAGCACTTATTATTTTAACTGGCAGGGTCATCTTGGGATTTGTAGTTGTGGAACTCTAAGTCAAAAGGTTCTAGAGGGCATCACCAAACCTCAAATCCTAGGGTTCTAAAGGACGACTAGGTTATTCATGTGAGTCTTGATCAAGAGAGAAAAGTGGAGTAATAATGACAACAATAACAACAAGAGCCAAGTAGAGAAGAGAGGAAGAAAAGGAGGAAGGAAGAATAGAAGGAAGGAAGGAAGGAAGGGATTTACTCACGTGCAAAGGATGGACTGATCCTCTCGATCTATGGATAAAAATGGAGGGAAAACGTTGTATTAAATCTGAGAAATTTTACTTTAGAGGAAGTTATCTGAAATATACAGAGCTATCTTTGCACTTCAACAACATAGAAGGGGTCCCCAAAGGCTATCTAGTCCAACCCACAATTGAGACCAGGATCAGAAGGATACATCCTTTAGAAGAATGGAAACAAAGATTAGATGGGCATCTGTTAGGAGGGCTTGGATGAGGTCTTCCTGGGTGTCACAATGGGGTTGGACTAGATCACCTTTGAGGACGCTATCCTTCTATGATAGAATTGAATAGACAGGCTCAGATGGACTCTCCCTCTTAGGAGGTGCTTCAATTGAGGTTGGATGGATATCTGTCAGGAGGGCTTGAATTGGGTCTTCCTGCATAGACTGCTTGACCTTTAGGGGCCCCAGCCAAATCTAGTGGATTATGGACTCTTGGTAGTGCAACGGGTTAGACCGCTGAGCTGCTGAACTTGCTGACTGAAAGGTCGGCGGTTTGAACCCAGAGAGTGGAGTGAGCTCCCATTGTTAGCCTCAGCTTCTGCCAACCTAGCAATTCAATAACATACAAATGTGAGTAGATCAATAGGTAATGCTCTGGAGGGAAGGTAATGGTGCTCCATGCAGTCATGCCGGCCACATGTCTATGGACAACGCCGGCTCTTTGGCTTAGAAATGGAGATGAGCATCACCCCCCAGAGTTGGAAACGACTAGTTACTTTAACTTTTATTGACTTCTTTGAAGGGAGGAGGATATTTATTTATATAAATATTTTTATTTAGAAGTTGGATGGTTGTCTTCTACGTATGCTTTAGTTGTGGATTCCTGCGTGGCAGAGGGGGTCAGACTAAATGGTCTTTGGGGTTCCCTTCCAACTGTAGTAGATTTTGGCCTTGGAAGGAAGTGGGTTCTCTTTCATTGGAGATCTTTATATAGAGGTTGGATGGGTTACTCTTCGGGAGGGTTTGGATTGGGTCTTCCTGTGTGGACTAGATGACCTTTGGGGTTCCCATTCAGCCCAATAATCCTATGTTTTTAGTAGCTGCTGAGTTTTGCTTCCACTTTTGCAAATCTTCCCTTCTCCACCCCCTCTTTTTAAAGTGGGGGAGTAATGTGAACCTACTTGCATCTATCTTAGGTTCGTCTACAGTTTAGGAGCTGGTGTCTCTTCTGCTTCGTGGCAGCCCTATCTGCAGAGGCCAGTGGCTGAGAGCGGGCAGCTTGACCATAAAAGGAGAAACCCTTCCATCCTTGCAGCTGGGCATCTGGGCCTCCCTCCCTCCCAAATACTATTAGATCTGGATCGAGGGAGGGAAAACAGACCAAGATTTCTCTCTGCTATTTTTTTAATCCTATAGCAATCCCCAGAAAGGGATAAAAATGCTGGGAGTTAATGGGAAAGAAGACTAGGACTCAAAGCTACGGGGTCCCCCAAGGCCATCTAGTCCAGCCCACAACTGAGACAGGATTCCAAAAGGTTTAGAGAACAATGGAAACTAAGAGTCATTGGGAAGGAAGAACTGAACTTGTCCATTCTGGAAGGGGCCCCCCAAAGGCCATCTACTCCAACCCACAACTGAGACAAGAATCCAAAGGATGAATCCTTTAGAGAAGAATGGAAACTAAGAGTCATTGGGAAGGAAGAACTGAACTTGTCCATCCTGGAAGGAGTCCCCAAAGGCCATCTAGTCCAACCCACAACTGAGACAGGATTCCAAAGGATGAATCCTTTAGAGGAGAATGGAAACTAAGAGTCATTGGGAAAGAAGAATTGAACTCGTCTATCCTGGAAGGCCCCACCCCTCCAAGAATGGAAACCAAGAGTCAAGTGGTCCATCCTGGAAGGGTCCCCCAAAGGTCATCTAGTCCAAGCCACAACTGAGACAGGAATCAGAAGGATAAGTTCTTGAGAGAAAAATGGAAACTAAGAGTCATTGGGAAGGAAGACTGAAATTCAAGACCCAGGAACACACCTCTGGAAGGGGTCCCCAAAGGTCATCTAGTCCAAGCCACAACTGAGACAAGAATCAGAATAAATCCTTTAGAGAAGAATAGAAATTGGGAAATCATTAGGAAGGAAGACTTGAACCTAAAACCAGGGAACACCTCTGGAAGGGGTCCCCAAAGGCTATCTAGTCCAACCCACAGACAGGAGTCAGAAGGATAGGTCCTTTAAAAGAATGCAAACCTTTTCTATCAATCTCTCTCTCTCTCTCTCTCTCTCTCTCTTTTGGAGAAGTTCAGGTTTGGAGATACAACCAGTTGACATATATTCATTTATTTATGTTAAAATAAGCAGAAGCCAATAACTTGCTGGATAGACAACAGAAAAAAACCCAAAAAAACCCCCCTGAAAACTATAGCAAAACCAACAAAAAGAAAGCAGGCAAACTTCTTTTCAAAACTCATCCATGTCTATACATCTGGCCCAAAGGGTCAAGCAAAAGGAAGATGAGAATATGGTTTGCGCAGTGGACTATGGCTCTGGGTTCAAATCCCAATGCAGTCCAGGAAACCCAATGGAGTCATACACTCTCAGCCTCAGAGTAGGGCCAGGCAAACGCTCCCCGGACAAACCTTGCCAAGAAAATCCAGGATCCATTCTGTGGTGGATGGTGGATGCTAGAAGGTGACGCAATGAATGCAATGTTCTGGGTTTGTATCCACATTTTATGGGTGCTATACACCATTCTCAGTTCTAAACTTCTTCACAAAATAAGACATCTATCCACAACTGAAAGGAGCTTGTGGTGGAAGCTTCTTCCTTGGAGGTTTTTAAATAGAGGCTGGATGGCCAACTGTCAAGAGGGCTTTGATTGTGCTTTTCTTGCATGAAGACAGATGGGGTTGGACTGGATGGCCTTTGGAGACGCTTCAAACTCTAGGATTCTACGGTTCTATATCATCAGCGTCATCATCATCACTATTTTAAAGCAGAAGCAGGATGGCCATCTGTTGGGAGTGCTTGATTGTGCTATTCCTGCATGGAAGAAACATTGGACTGGATGGCCTTTCAGACCCCTTTCAACTCTAGGATTCTATGGTTCTATATTATTATTATTATTATTATTATTATTATTATTATTATATTTATCATCATTTTAAAACAGAGGCTGGATGGCCATCTGTTGAGGGAGCTCTGATAGTGCTTTTCCTATCCCAGATGGGGTTGGACTGGATGGCCTTTGGGGACCCTTCCAACTCTAAGATTCCATGGTTCTATATCAACACCATCATCATTATTTTAAAGCAGAAGCAGGATGGCCACCTGTGGGGAGGGCTTGATTGTGTTTTTCCTGAATGGAAGAAGCCTTTGGAGCCCCTTTCAACTCTAGGATTCTATGGTCCTATATTATTATTATTATTATTATTATTATTATTATTATTATTGCATTTTTAATTATCATCATCATCATCATTTTAAAGCAGAGGCTGGATGGCCATCTGTTGAGGGAGCTTTGATAGTGCTTTTCCTGCACAACGGCAGAAGAGGTTTGGACTGGATAGCCAAACTCTAGATTCTATGATTCGTTGTTGCTGTTGGGTTGCTGTGAGTTTTCCGGACTGTCTGGCCATGTTACAGAAGCATTCTCTCCTGACGTTTCATCCACATCTATGGCCATGTTCCAGAAGCATTCTCTCCTGACATTTCACCCACATCTATGGCAGGCATCCTCAGAGGTTGTGAGGTATTATTTTGAAGCAGAGGCTGGATGACCTTTGTGGGTCTCTGAAGTCAGAAAGGGGTTGGATTGGATTGGGTCTTTCCCAATTTTATGGAAGAGGGAACCCATGGACCCCGAATCGCATCATTTGGCAGCAAAGAGGGGGCAGCCAAATCTATGATGATCCCATGCTTTCCTTCCAAGAGTGCAAATGCAGCAGGAAATCTCCTATTATAATCTGTGACGGAGGGAGGGCTGGAAGGATGGGATCCAGAGAGATGTCAGGGATCCCGTCCAGGAGGGATCTGCAGAGCCTCAGGCTCCAGACGTCAATGGGAGCCCTTCTCCATGCCCCTATTTGCCCAAAGTATTTGCTCCGCATCGGACCGCACTCCTGGGTCGTTGGCACCGAAGCGGGAGAGAAACAGCCCTTGCCCTTTTTGAGTCAGATCCTGGCTGCAAAAGGCGGCAAAGGATTCCTAGGAATGTCCCTACATTCCGCTGTTGTTCTCGTTGTGGGTTTCCAAGACGTTTCCCGCTAATGGAGACCATACAATGGGGTTTCCTGGGGCTGAGAGAGTGGGACTCAATGGCATTTCCAGGGGATGAGAGCCAAAAAAAAAAGGTGTGTATTGCAGTTGGTGCCTGCTTATAATTCCTTCTTTAAGAACAAACGTGTTAAGACGCCAACACCTTCCAACAAAGGATTCTTCCAGGCAGGAAGCAGCCAGGCTATTCAATGCTAATCAAGGTGGCCAATGGCAACATTCATACCTGCCTCCAACAGACAAGAGTTCTTTCTCCCACCCTGGACATTCCACAGATATATAAAGCCCACTTGCCTAGTTTCCAACAGACGGCCATAGAGGTGGGTGAAACATCAGGAGAGAATGCTTCTGGAGCATGGCCAGACAGCCTGGAAAACTCACAGCAACCCAAGAAAAGAAAACCTTGGGATGCATCTCTGCTGCAGAATGAATGCACTTTGATTGCTTTGGTGTAATGCTATGGAATCACAAGGCCTTGAGTCTTCTTTGTCAAATGATGCTGATGCCTCACCAAACTACAAATCCCAGCATCCTATAGCATTGAACCATTAAAGCAGAGATGAGGTCCCTCAAAGAGGAGCTCCTGAAGCAGTTTCCCCTTTTGCTTTGATTCAGCACTAAGATGACCATATGATGCGAATCTAATGCGCACCATAATTATGAAGAGTTTTTTTTAACGTCAGGAGTGACTTGAGAAACTGCAAATCGCTTCTGGTGTGAGAGAATTGGCTGTCTGCAAGGAAGTTGCTCAGGGGACTCCTGGATATTTTACCATCCTGTGGGAGGCTTCTCTCATGTTCACGCATGGGAAGCTGGAGCTGACAGACGGGAGCTCAACCTGCTCCCTGGATTTGAACCGCCAACCTTTTGGTCAGCAGTCCTGCTTGAACAAGGGCTTAACCCATTGCATCGCTGGGAGCTCCTATGAAGCATTTATGACCCAGGAACAAAAACTGTTTTACATAGTGTAATGATACTGTATTTACTCAAATCTAATGCTCACCTTTTTGTGGGGCTGAATTATGAAGAGGTAATTCAACCTACCAAAAGGTGAGCATTAGATTTGAGTAAATATGGTATTATTGAGGTAAAGTACAGTAATGTCTGACTCTGGAGGTGGTGGTGCTCATCTCCATTTCTAAGCCAAAAAGCCGGCGTTCTCCATAGACACCTCTAAGGTCATGTGGCCAGCATGATTGCATTGAGCATCGTTACATTCCCACCAGAGCAGTACCTATTGATCTACTTACATTTGCATATTGTTGAACTGCTAGGTTGGCAGAAGCTGGGGCTAACATGGGAAACTCACCCTGCTCCCCGGATTCGAACCACCGATCTTTCAGTCTGCAAGTTCAGCAGCTCAGCAGTTTAACCCACTGCGCTATCAGTATTATTACATTATGTAAAACGTTTTTCTTCCTGGGTCATAAAGTAAATGTCATTTCTTAATTGGGTCTATCATAAAAACGTGTAAAACGTTGATTAAACTGGCAAAACTTTGTCTTTGCAGCACATTTTGCTATAGTTTCTCAATGGAATCTCAAAAACTAAGTTTCAGGAGGAGAACAACTACTTTCAAAGTAACTTCCGCACAATTAAACAGGAAACAACACTTCCAAATCAGGAAAAGGACATTTTTCACATCTTGTTGCATAGTGTTGTTATTGTTGTTGTTATTGTTATTCCTGACCTTGCAGCATGCTCCGGTAGGCTGTGTCGGCGATGGCGTAGATGTGGGGAGGCATCTCGTGCCGCTTCTTGCCTTTGTACATGTCCACGATCTTCTCTGAATATATGGGCAGCTGCTTGTAAGGGTTGACCACCACGCAGAAAAGGCCTGAATACGTCTGGAAGGAAGGAAGGAGGAAACAAACCCAGCAAGTTATATCCCTTCCTCCTTTCGGTGGCTCCCCTTAAAACATTTCAAAACCCCAATTTCTCTCTCCCCACCCCAAAAGTGCTTGCAAACATTATTTTTTTGGACTACAGCTCCCAACATCCCTGCCTCTCAATATGGAATGAATGCAGTTTGACCCCACTTGAACCACGATGGCTTGATGCTATGGGACTAGTTTGACTAGTCTTGAAGGTGAATCTACACTGTAAAATTACTCCTGTTTGACACCACCTGTACTACATTGTTTTGATGCTATGGGATGCTGGGACTTGTAGTTTGACAGTGCCTCAAGGTGCATCTACACTGAAAAATTACTGTATATACTCGAGTATAAGCCTAGTTTTTCAGCCCCTTTTTAAGGCTAAAAAAGTTCTCCTAGGCTTATACTAGAGTCAAGGTTATTTATTATTTTACTCTGTTATTAGTATTATTTTATTACATTTATTATTATTATTACCTTTACATTATTTTACTGTACTATTATTTTATTACGTTTATTATTTTACTCTATGTATTATTATTACATTTATTATTTTACTCTATTACTGTTATTAAATTTCCATTATTTACTCTATTATTATTATTATTATTATTATTTTACTCTATTTATTATTATTATTACCTTTACATTATTTTATTGTACTATTATTTTATTACGTTTATTATTTTACTCTATGTATTATTACATTTATTATTTTACTATATTACTGTTATTCAATTTCCATTATTTACTCTATTATTATTATTATTATTACATTTATTATTTTACTCTATTACTGTTATTAAATTTCCATTATTTACTCTATTATTATTATTATTACATTTATTATTTTATTCTATTATTATTGGAAGGATTTGTAAGCACATTGACATTGAAGAAGATTAGAATAATGGTTTCATCAGAGTTGGATAGTCTTATCTTAAATTACAGTTTGATGTAAATAGACAAAAACGTTTAACCTACTGATGATTTTCAGTAGCAGCTGCATTTTTCACCCTCGGCTTATACTCGAGTCAATAAATTTTCCAAGTTTCTTGTCGTAAAATTAGGTGCCTCGGCTTATATTCGGGTCGGCTTATACTCGAGTATATACGGTAATTTCATTTGGTGTCACTTGAACTATGTTGCTTTGATGCTGTGGGATGCTGGGACTTGTAGTTTGACAATGCCTCAAGGTGCATCTACACTGAAATATTAATTCGATTTGACACTACTTGAACTATGTTGTTTTGATGATATGGGATGCTGGGACTTGTAGTTTGACAAGGCCTCAAGGTGCATTTATATTGTAAAATTAATTCAGTTTGGCACCACTTGAACAACATTGCTTTGATGCTATGGGATGCTGGGACTTGTAGTTTGACAAAGCCTAAAGGTGCATCTACACTGTAAGATTACTTCAGTTTGGTGCCACTTGAACTATGTTGCTTTGATGCTTTGGGATGCTGGGACTTGTAGTTTGACAATGCTTCAAGGTGCACCTACACTGTAAGATTACTTCAGTTTGGTGCAACTTGAACTACGTTGCTTCAATGCTATGGGATGCTGGGACTTGTAGTTTGACAAGGCCTCAAAGTGTATCTACACTGCAAAATTAATTTGATTAGGCGCCACTCAAACTATGTTGCTTCAATGCTATGTGATGCTGGAACTTATAGTTTGACAAGACCTTAAGGTGCATCTACACTGTAAAAGTACTTCAGTTTGGTGCCACTTGACTATGTTGCTTTGATGCTTTGGAATACTGGGATTTGTACTTTCACAAGGCCTCAAGATGCATCTACACTATAAAATTAATTCAGTTTGGCACCACTTGAACCACAATGGCTCAAAGCTACGGGATGCTGGGTCTCGTAGTTTGACAAGGCCTCGAGGTACATCATTCCACTATAGAACAAATGCAGCCTGACACCACTTTAAATGCTGCGGACTGCTGGGAGTTGTCGTGAGGTTCCCATCCTCTTTGGACAGACATTGCTAAGGTCCTTGGGAAACTATAACTCCCAGGAACTCACAGTATTCAAAGTGGTGTCAAACTGCATTCACTCTCTTTCATCAAGATCCAAAGCTGGATAGGAACTGCACCACACAGCCCATTTATTTGGAGAGATATAATCCCAGCATCCTTTACCTTTAGGCATGCAAGCAGGGGATGCTGGGACTTGCAGTCAAGGAAAAGTTATTGAGGCCTCATTCTCTGCTGATAGGATTGCAAACCCTTTTCAGATGCAACAACAGCATGCTTTTAAGAAAGCGGAGCATATGTTTGCAAAACACTTTTTTGACCATATTAGGAGCCTGCACCCAAAGGCAGGGCTTTATATGGCATGGAGCAGAGGCAAGGAAATCCACAGGGAAAACAGCCCTTGGAAAGAGGATCCTGGTCATTTATTTTTGGACAGCAGCTCTCATGGTTTGGGGGTTCTGGGCTTTGCAGTCCCAAGAGAAGGGACGGTCACAGGATTCTGGGATTCGCAGTCCAAAAAAAGCACAGCTGCATTGCAAAAAAGGCAAGGGTTTGGGATGAATTGGCATTAATTCTACAGTGTAGATGCACCCATGGGTATTTTCTTCGAACTTCCATATTAAGCAAAAGCAGCCATTCATAACAACACTCTCACGGCATAAATTGTTGTTATTGTTGCTGTTGTTGTTAGCATAGTCATCATCACCCTGCTTGCACCCAGATGTGGTCAAAATGGCAAAAAATATATCCATACAGAAGAAAAGAGAAGCTAGGAAAAGTTGCCGTACTTTGTTTCTATCTGAGCCGTCCTAGGGCTGCATCTACATCATAAAATTAATGCATTTTTGGCAGCACTTGAGCATTGCTCAATGCTAGAGGATCCTGGGAGCTTCAGCCCTGCAAGGGGCTGCAAGGAGAGGCGGGTAATAAATGACCACCACATCATCAAAGGGAGCATTATTATTATTATTATTATTATTATTATTATTATTATTATTATTATTAGTTGCCCCCTGCCATGCATTGCTGTGGCCCAGTCTATGTATATGTGTTTTGTGTGTGTATATGTGGGTGCATATATAAATTTGTGTATATATGTATGCTTGCGTATATATATATATGTGTGTGTGTGTGTGTGTGGGGTTTGGCTCATGCGTTGTAATGTTGTGTATATATGTGTGTATATGTGTATATATTGGTGTATTTCTGTGTTTATATGTGTATATGTATACTGTGTATGTGTGTGTGCTTGGGTATATGCATAAATGTGTCTATATATGTGTGTATATATGTGTGTATGTATGTGTATATGTATATGCAAGTAGGTGTATATGTATGTGTGTATATGTGTATATTTGTGTGTGCTTGCATATATATGTGTGTGTGTGTGTCTGTCTGTGTGCTTTTGTATATGTGTATGAACGTATGTGTATATGTATATATGGTTTATTTGGGGTTTTTTTAAAGTCCGTTCTTCTGGTTTTTTGTGCGTTTTTATAGGTGATGGTAACTCATTGGCCTGATTGGTGTTTGTGTCCAAATTTGGCGTCAATTCGTCCAGTGGTTTTTGAGTTATGTTAATCCCACAAATGAACATTAGATTTTTATTTATATAGATTATTATTTTATTACTATTTTGAGAGAATTGATTAATGAATGAATGGACTGGAGTTTCGTATTATTATTATTATTATTATTATTATTATTATTATTATTATTATTAGAGTGAGGAATGGTTAATGCATGCAGGAACTGGGGTTTCCCAATTATTATGATTCAGGGTTGGTTAATGTAGGCATGGACTGGGGTTTCATTATTATTATCATTATTACTATTATTATTATTAAGGGCTGGTTAAAACACTTTCACTGGAAGGTGCAGCAGAGAGGCAAAGAAGGTGCTCCAACAACCAGACACCTTTCTCCACTAGAGGGCAGTCAATATGAGAGTAAGTTTAGTGCCTCTCGACTGGGGTGTGTGGCTTCTCATCAAAGAGGTGTGGTTTTGGGTTCAAAGGGGTGGATCTAGCGAGTTCCCACCTCCCACAGTACAACCTCTTATTGCAACTCATTCATCCTCCATTGGCCCTCCAATGCAAGTCTATGGCCAACCTCTTGTGGGAGATTGACCATGGAGTGGCACTGGAGGACATAGGGATTCTGTAGGCATTATTGGGTCCTCCACTATGACCCTATAGAGTTTGCCGTAGACTTGCATTGGAGGATTCTGGGCTTTTTAGAGGGAGCCCTCTTCTTGGCCTTTGCAGGTCCTCCTCTTGGCCATGAGTGTTGTGCTGGAAGACCTGGAGGTAATTAGAGTACCTAGGGGTCCCAAATGGTGGCATTTACGTACATAGATGAGTCCAGAGAAGTATCTCTCACGCAGGTTGTGGAGAACGGAAGCCTCATTGAGGCAGGTGAGCTCAGCCATATCCTCCACCTTGGAGAACTTGGGGGGGTTCATCTTCTGGATGTCATCCTTGGCGAAGGTGGCCTTGCGCCCGTTCTCGGTGAGCTCCACCAGCACCTCCTCGCCCTTCTCCTCCTTGATGCTGGCCGCCTCAAAGCCATGCTTCTCGGAAGGGACCCAGACCAGGCGCTTGGCCGACCAGTCCGCCTGTGCCACCGTCCCTCCCAGAGGGTCCTTGTCCACAAAGAGGAACTTCTCATCCTCGCTCAGGGGGCCTTTCTGGGCCATGGCAGGGGTCAAAGGGTACCTAGGAGAAAGACAGACAGGTTCAGTAGGGGACAGGCTTGGGGTCAATCACGATGGGGACACGTTGGCCAAGATATCAACTCCTAAGAGCCGGGCCAGGTTTATCAATACATGAAATCAAAGAACAGCTGTGCTGGATGCATCAATACATGAACTCTAATAGCTACACCAGGTTTATCAATACTTGAAGTATAATCACAGCTGTACTAGACTGATCAATACATGAACTCTTAAGAGATGGGCCAGACTTGTAAATACATCGATTGAAGAACAGCTGTGCCAGATTGATTAATACCTGGAAGTTAATCATTGCTATGCCAAATTGATCAATATATGAGATCTAATAGCTACACTAGGTTTGTCAATCCATGAAGTCTAATCACAGCTGGCCAGATTGATTAATACCTGGAAGCTAATCATCGCTGTCCTAAATTGATTGACACATGACATATATCAGCTGTGCCAGACTTATCAATACATGAGTTCTAATAAGTGCTGTGCTGGATTTATCAGTACCTGGAAGCTAATCATCACTGTGCCAAATTGATCAATACATGAACTTTAAAAGCTATGCTAAGTTTATCAATACATTAAATCTAATCACAGCTGAGCCAAATTGATTGATACCTGGAAGCCAATAACTGTTGTGTCAATTTATCAGTACATGAAATCTATCAGCTCTGCCAGACTTATCAATATGTGAGGGCTCATGACTGTGCCAAATTGATCAATATGTGAGATCTAACAACTGTGCCAGACTGATCAATGCATGAGATCTCAGAACAGCTGTGCCAGATTGATCAATAACTGGAAGCTAATCATCACTATGCCAAATTGCTCAATACATGAGATCTAATAGCTATATTAGGTTTATCAATACATGAGGTCTAATCATAGCTGTGCCAGATCAGATTGATCAGGACATGAGAACGAATCGTGGCAGTGACAAATTGATTAATACATGAGATCTAATCACAGCTGAGTCGGATTGATCAATACATTCACCATAATAGCTGTGCCAGACTTATCAATATGTGAGTTCTAATGGTTGCTGATTGATCAAGACAGGAACCCTAATAATGGCTGTGCCATTCTTATCAACACATGAAAGCTATTAATCGCTGTGCCAAATTGATAAATTCCTGGAAGTTAATAACAGCTGTGCCAAACTGATCAATACATGAAATCTAATAGTGGTGCCAGATGTATCAATATGCAAAATATGTTAATAGTTGTGCCAAACTGATTGATGCATGATCTCTAATCACAGCTATGCTCAATTGATCAATTGATCAGCACCTTCCTGTTGTCTTTGCTGGAGCAAGAGTATGTCTACACGGCCTTTCATCAGAATTTTTAATTATTGATTAATCTAGTATCATTATCATCATCTATATGTCTTATCATCAGAATCTAATGGGGAAAATAGGAAGGCAGGTAATTTGTGTGGCTTGTTGCTGCCAAACTGGGCTCGTTGGAAGGTGTGCAAATCCAGGCCTGACACAAACCATCTGGTGACATCACACTTGCGGGTGATAAAGTGCAAATTAAAGGCACAAAGGAGTCGTTGACAGCCCCAATTTGTTTCAGGGTGCAAAATGGGAAGGCTGGCTCCATAGACTTGGCAGGAGATTGATGGCTGAGGCTAATCTCCCTCTGCTTCCTTATCAATCGGATGTCGGCAGCGGCAGTGTGGAAGGAAACAGGGCCTCGCACACTTCGCACAAGTGTGCAAATAATATTGAATTAGGAACCCATGCTGGTTTTTTTTATCCAGACTTCAGAGAAGTCATCCAAAGCTATAAACACCATGTTCCTATATCTTGGCAGCTGCAGCGTGCAAGGAAACGAGGCATCACAATCTTCTCACAAGGACTTAACAGTCCTTGCATAAACCTGCCTGTGATATTGAGTAAGGAATCCATTCTACTCCAAACTTCAGAGCAGTTATCCAAGACTATAAACACTATGGAAAGATACTTCAAACTTTGGATGGTAGTGTGCAAGGAAGCAGGGCCTTATACTCTTTGTACGAGGTTGCACAAGTGTGCTCCTAAAACTGAGGAAGGAATCCGTTCTGGATTCTGGTCCAAACTTAGGGAAGCTAGTTATAAACACCATGGAAAGCTGCTTTACATTTTGGATATCAGCAGCTGCAGTGTGCAAAGGAATGGACCCTCGCACGCTTCGCACAAGTGTGCCCATAATATTGAACGAGGACTCCTTGCTGGCTTTGGGTCCAAATTTCAGAGAAGCTACCCAAAGCCATGGATTCATTTTGGGATTTTCCATCACCTTGGAGAACTCCTTTAAAGATTGAATGTCACGGCTGCAGTGTGCGAGACAATAGGGCCTTTCACGCCTTGCATGAGAGCCGCCTTCCACTCGTGCGACAGCCCTTTGCACAAGTAAACCCACAAAGTTGAGTAAAGGATCCCATGCTGGATTCAGGAGAAGTTCGCCAAAGCCGGAAATCTCTTTGGGAACTTCCATCATCTTGGGAACCTCTTTTAAAGTTCGGACTAAAACCCAGGGTGGGTTATTTGTGTTGTTCCCCTAGCCATTTAATTGCAAAAGCAATTCGTTCCAATGCCCAGGCTCTTTAACTATGAAAGCCTTCTGATGTTAACCGAACTGAGACTTTATTATCCTTTTTAATTTTCCCAATTAGGTATATTTTCCTGGGATACAAAGAGCCAGAGCTGCAGATTTAGGGGAAGAAAGAGGCCCCTTTTGACCTTCTTTTAAGCTTTGCTCAATGTCCTTTGCAGACCTTTGCTGTTTGCACGGAGGAGCCCCAAAGGCTGCCATATATGGCCATGTTCGCCTCTTTACTCTCCGACCGGCCAAAAAGGAAGAAAAGGGAAAACTCCAGCGATAAGCACTTCAAAACAAAGACCTTTTAGGGAATAAGGCACAGCTTCTTTGCTTTGGAGTAGCAGAGGCTGTTTATGGCTCTGCATGCATCTGCATTGGGAAGTTAATGCAGTTTCGCACCTCTTTGATCAATGCTATGGAGTCCTGGGAGCTGTAGTTTGATCGGGTATTCAGGAGGCATCCACACTGTAGGATTTAATGGAGTTTGGTACCACTTTGGCTGCTGCAGCTCAATGCAATGGAGAGTTTGGCTTCTTGGACAGAGAAGGCTGGAGGCTCTGGGAAACTATGTCTCCCAGAATCCCACTGCATGGTGCCATTGCAGCCAAAGTGGTGCCAAACTGCATTAAATCCTACAGTGTAGGCGCATCAAAGCAGCCAAATGATGCTCATCCTAAAAAGTCCCCATTTGTTGCCATGCAGAACGTTATGCATAAATAGCCATTAAGGTGAGAAAATAATATTGAAATGATGCAAGTGATGCTTAAACAGTGTATTAAAATGGTGTATTAAAAAAAGATGCACCACTTTTTTCATAGTTTTGTGAGCATCATTTTGTTGTTTATTGACTATTAAAAGGATCAACTGAAATGGCTGCTTATTGATGATTAATGGATCAATTGCAATGGTTGTTTATTGACCATTGGAGGATTGATTGCTATGGCTGTTTATTGACCATTAAAAGATCAATTGTAATGAAAGGACTGATTACAATTGCTGTTTATTGACCATTAAAGGGCTGACTGCAGTGGTTGTTTATTCACAATTAAAGGATCGATTGCAATGCAAAGATCATTTGCAATCATTGTTTATTGACCATTAAAGGACCAATTGCAACGTTTTTATTGACCATTAAAGGATCAACTGCAATGGTTGCCAATTGATCATTACAGGATCAATTACATTGGCTGTTTATTGGCCATTAAAGGATCGATTGCAATGGTTGCTTATTGGCCATTAAATGATCAACTGCAATGGTTGCTTATCAACCATTAAAGGATCAATTGCAATGGTTGCTTAATTGACCATTAAAGGGCCAATTGCAATAGTTGTTTATTGGCCATTAAAGGATCAATTTCAATGCAAGGATCGATTACAATAATTGTTTATTGACCATGAAAGGATCAATTACAATTGCTGTTTTTTGGCCATTAAAGGATCAATTGCAATGGTTGCTTATTTACCATTAAAGGACCAATTGCAATGGCTGTTTATTGGCCATTAAAGGATCAATTTCAATGCAAGGATCAATTGCAATCATTGTTTATTGACCATTAAAGGAAGAAAAAAGCTTGCAAAAAAGAAGGTATTTTGGGAAGTTGTTCCAGATATGAACTGATCGTGAATTAGCAGGATAGCATTCCACTAAACTCTATGCCAATGCAAAACCCAAGTTTCATAAAGGACAAAAAGCCCAGAGAAGATCTCTGGAGTTCCCATCATCCCCTAGAATCCATTGACCGCAAATTGCACAATTTCTCTGCTGCCATCTGCTGCCTCTTTGCTTCAATCTAATAGAATTAAATAAATTCAGAATAAGAGTCCAGCTCTTTATTTGGAGAGGTTTGCCTTTCCGCCGGATGGCTTTAGAGGAACGACTGCAAAAAGGGAAACTTTCTTGCAGCAATTCGAGTTGATGAAGGCAGCTTTGGAGATATTGTCAATTAATTGTCTATAAAGATTGGAGATTCATGCTCAAAATTGGCAGCTCATCTGTAAATCATTGAATACATTTGCAAAGGTGAAAAAATGCCCCCAGGTAAGTCTTCCTCTTAATATTATAGCATATTTATTCCTAATATTCCAGCATATTAGTTTGAAGAAGTATGTTATTATTTGTATGAAATAATACTATTCCTAAGATTTTTGCATATTTATTCATTTTTAAGCAAAATTCCAGCTTCTTGAAGTCACAATTTAAATACAACTTTGCAATATTTTGTGTTTTAATTTATAAATAAAGAAAACAGCATGGGTATAGTGATTTGAATGCTGGGCCAAGAGTCCTGGGTTCAAAACCTATTCCTAGTTATGGAAACCCATTGGGAAAGTCACATTCTCTCAGCCTTAGAACAAACCCCGCCAAGAAACAAGTCAACTGGAAGACATAGCACAATAAGACACACCTGAGACGCTTTGGCGCTGCTGCTTATTGACCATTAAGGAGTCTGTTACATTGCAACAATCAATTGCAATGATTGTTTATTGATTGTTAAAAGACCAATTGCAATGTAAGGATCAGTTGCAATTACTGTTTATTGACCATTGGAGGATTGATTGCTATGGCTGTTTATTGACCATTAAAAGATCAATTGTAATGAAAGGACTGATTACAATTGCTGTTTATTGACCACTAAAGGATAAATTGCAATGATTTTTTATTGACCGCTAAAAGATCAATAGCAGTGGTTGTTTATCGACCACTAAAGAATCGATAGCAATGGTTGTTTATTGACCATTAAAGGATTGATTACAATGGCAGTTTATTGACCATTAAAGGATTGATTGCAATGAAAGGATTGATTGCAACGGTTGTTTGTTTACCATTCAAGGATCAATTACAATGGCTGTTTATTGATCATTAAAGGATCAATTGAAATGGATGTTTATTGAGCATTAAAGGATCAACTGAAATGGTTACTTACTGATGATTAAACGATCAACTGCAATGGTTGTTTATTGATCATTAAAGGATCAATTGCAATGGCTGTTTATTGATCATTAAAGGATTAATTGAAATGGATGTTTATTGACCATTAAAGGATCAACTAAAATGGTTACTTATTGAGGATTAAACGATCAACTGCAATGGTTGTTTATTGACCATTAAAGGATCAATTACAATGGTTGCTTACTGATCATTAAAGGATCAATTGCAATGCAAGCATCAATTGCAATGGTTGTTTAAAGGATCAACTGCAATGCAAGGGTCAATTGCAATCATTGTTTATTGACCATTGAAGGACCATTTGCTATGGTTTTTATTGACCACTAAAGGATCAATTGCAATGTTCGTTTATCCATCACTAAAGGATCCATTGCAATGATCATTTATTGACCACTGAAGGAGCAATTGCATTTGTTGTTTATTGACCATTAAAGGGCCAATTGCACTTAAAATATTTTAAATTGTGCTTTAAAAGCCCTTGCTGTCATGGAAACCTACAAGCCAGCATTGCTGAGCCTAAAGGCTGCAACTTGTTGCTTCTACAAGGAGACCCCAATAATAACCCAATGGGCTCAGCACCCAGGTTTTCCATATACTTACTTGGGGCCAGAAAAAGGAGAAAAGGTCCAGGAAGGAGTCCGGAAGCAGCACCACAAGCGACAAGGGCTTTTAGGGCTTTGCCTCTTCCCTATATAGAGCCCACTGATGGGGGAGGGACCCATAAGGACCACCCCTAAGGATTGAATCAACCCTAAAGAGACATGATTCACATTTAGAACCATTCCTTTTCACTCTTTAAACTTTCCTTTTAGGACCAAACTTTATGGGATACTTGGGAAAACCTTCCTTCTGTTTTGCTGTTTATAAACTATTCTTTTTTTGTGGTGGTTGGGGCGGGGCGGTGTTGTCTTTAAACAGGATGCATCACTTTGCTATCTCTTTCCTACTTTCTCATGCATTTTAAAAAGGGGGATTTGCAGATATATGGCCCAAAAGGAGCCTTATCTCTCCATGGCCAGGAATCCCTAATTAAAAGTTTGCAAAGGTCTCTCCATTTATCCCTATTTAGGCCTTATTTATGCAACGTTTGAGCCCCGAGGGAAAGGCAGCCTGAGAAAAAAGCCCTGTCCATAATTTGTGTGTGTGTGTGTGTGTGTGTATATATATATATGCCTCCCTTTGGCCTTAAATGGGAAAAGGATCACTGCAAAAGAGGGAGGCAAGGCCAAGCTGGAAAAGGATTTTCTTTTTGTTTTGCAGCGATTTGTAAGAAGGAAGAACTAGAACTGGGTCCCCATTGAGTTGCTCCTGAAACTTCCAAAGAGACCCTATAATAGGGTTGCTGTGAGTTTTCCAGGCTGTATGGCCATGTTCCAGAAGCATTCTCTCCATTCCACAGATATATAAACCTCACTTGCCAAGTTTCCAACAGACCTCACAACCTCTGAGGATGCCTGCCATAGATGTGGGCGAAACATCAGGAGAGAATGCTTCTGGAACATGGCCATACTGCCCGGAAAACTCACAGCAACCCAGAGATTCAGGTCATGAAAGCCTTCAACAACACATTAGACCCTATAATATTTTACCTCCCAAAAAAGGGAAGGAGGATCCTCCAGGAATTCCCTATTGCATTCCGGATGCACTGAAAAGGTCCATCCCACAGAAATGGAAAAACAGGCCAAATATGGAGAAGGAGGGCTCCCTGGGAAGGGGGTCCCCAGGGCATGTGCAGAGTGTAAAGGAAGGGCTCTGGGACCCTGTTTCCTCCAGATGTTTGCACCAGGCGTTGCTGCAAAATTGCTCCTCCAACTTCCCCAATGATCTCTGTGGCATCCCCTGGAAGCTCTCCCTCCATAAACACTCCATCCATCCATCCATCCGCCAGTGTCTTAAAAAGGAGTGGAAAGTCTTCCTCCTTCGTTCCTTCGTTCACATAATAAACCCAGAGAGGAGAAAAGCACAAAGAGAGGCGAAGGGTGATTTATGAGGCCAGAGACAAGCAGGCAGCTCTGGCAAAGGCTTAGCAATGCCCTCCCCTCTTAGCCCACAATCAGCAGATCAAGGCATGCAAGGAATAGCATTTACTTCTTCTTACTAGTGAGGAATGGTAAAAAGATGTAGGGACTGGTGTTTCCTTATTATTGTTGTTATTATTATTGTGAAGGCTGATTAATACATGCATGGTCTGAGGTTTATTATTATTATTATTATTATTATTATTATTATTATTATTATTATACCCTGCTTTCCTTTCTTAAAGCTACAGCCTTGTTGCAAGTGCTGCTGCTCAGATCTTGCAAAGGTCTTGCATGGCTTCCTTTCTGGGATTGCAGGGCATTCCTGCACAAATGGACGGATCTACAAAAGTTGAAGGTTTCAAACCTGAAGCGTCTCCCTTTCTAGGAACAGAACAGTCCTATTTCATCCAATAGAAAAGCCAAAGGCAAGCCACAAAGTCATTCTTTCCTCAAGGGCCAGGCTGTTTGGATGATCCACTGACCCACTGAGTGATAAGATCACAGAATGCAAGAGTTGCAAGGGGCACCCAAAGGCTATCCAGTCCAACCTGCTTCTGCCAGGAAGGAGGGCACCCTCGAAGCCCTCCTGACAGATGGCCACCCAGCCTCCTTAAGAATAACAATAGCAACTCCAAAGGCCATCCAGTTCAACCTGCTTCTGCCAGGCAGGAGGGCACCATCCAATTTCCCCTGACAGATGGCCAGCCAGCTTCTGTAATAACAACAATAATAGGAGCAACCCCAAAGGCCTTCCAAACAAACTCTCTTCTGCCAGCCAGGAGGACACCCTCTAAGCCCTTCCAACAGATGGCCATTCAATCTCAGCTTAATGATAATATTAATAATGATAATGATAATAATAATAATAATAATACTGGGAGCAATTCCAAAGTTCATCCAGTCCAACAACCTTCTGACATAAAGGAAGACACATCCGATCCCTCCCGTCGGATGGCCAGCTAGCCTCTGTAATAATAATAACAACAACAACAACAATAATAGTAATAGGAGCAACCCTAAAGGCCATCCAAACCAACCCTCTTCTGCCAGCCAGGCGGACACCCTCTAAGCTCTTCCAACAACTTAATGATAATGATGATGATAATAATAATAGGAGCAATTCCAAAGGCCATCCAGTCCAACAACCTTCTGACATAAAGAAAAACACATCTGATCCCTCCTGACAGATGGTCACCCAGCCACTGTAACAACAACAACAAAATAAAACAATTGAATCCTTCAATTGGAAGAGACCCCAAGGAGCCACCCAAGGAGCCAAAGCATCATTTTAAATCACAAATATTAAACTTGTGCCTTGTTGCACTATGTTTTAATATATGTTAATTTTATTATATATATTTTGTAGAAGTATGTTTTAATCTATGTATGTTATATAATATTTATGATTATGTGTGTTTAGCTATGTTGTGAACCACCTTGAGGAGAGGCAGATAAGAAATAAACATTCTTATTGTTGTTATTATTAGTATTATTGCCATTTATACCCTGCTTTCTCTCCCTATAAGAGACCCAAATGGTAAAACCCAATGAAATCCAATGTAAAATCTAAAAAAGGAGGACATTAAAACAGAACTAAATAATTAATATCAATAAAATCAAAGAGAGGGGTGGTGTGAGTTTTCAGGATTTTATTTATTAATCTGCAATTCATATATTTAATTCTATGCATGTTTTTGGATTTTCTATTGTAATGAAATGCTTTTATTGTAAGCCACTTTTAGTCTCCTTTGTGGGAAGAGAAAGCGGGGTATAAATAATGCCAATAATAATGATAGATAGATAAAATCATGGGCCCCCAGTGGCACAACGGGTTAAACCGCTGAGCAGCTGAACTTCCTGACCAAAAGGTTGGCAGTTCAAATCCAGGGAGCAGGGTGAGCTCCTACTGTTAGGCCCAGCTTCTGCCAACCTAGCAGTTTGAAAACATGCAAATGTGAGAAGATCAATAGGTATCGCCTTGTCACGAAGATAACGGTGCTCCATGCAGTCATGCTGGCCACATGACCTTGTAGGTGTCTATGGACAACACTGGCTCTATGGCTTAGAAATAAAGATGAGCACCATGCCCCAGAGTTAGACACGACTAGACTTAATGTAAGGGGAAACCTTTACTTTATAGAAAATCACATAATAATATGATAATATATAATATAACAATAATATATAAAAACAATAAAATAGCAATATAATATACAACAATAATAAAAATTATTATTATTATTATTATTATTATTATTATTATTATTATTATACTGACACAGTATGACACAGCAAATGAAATGTACATGCTGGATTTCATACCACAAAATCACAAGTCAAACATTTCCCAAGTGCTTAGGACTGTGTGATGTATTATTGCTATTGATAAGAAAAGGGAGAGGTCCCGACAAGTCAGCCTCACCAGAAAGCGGTTTGGTGTTTTCATTTTTATTTAATGCAAGGTCTTAAAATGGCCCTGACCCTTCCTTTCGCCAGACTGGATGGCCACAGAAACCTTATTTAGGTCATAGCTGCTCCTGTTGGTTTCCTCTCTTTAGATCTTTAGGCAAGGGATCCCTGACCCTCAGTCCGGCCCCAGGATGCTCTGCCCCCAAAACGGACCCTGAAAAGAAAGGAAGACACCATTCGGGTGGATTCATTCGTATATACAGCATTTTATGTAGATACGTATTTATATCCCACTTTTTTCTTTTTCAAGTGAGACTCAAAGTGGCTAAGAATATCATATATACACAAACACACACACACATATACACACTATATTTGTTTGGACATCAAGAGAAACCATAAGTGTACAGGGAAATATAGGGAAGGTAGGTAACAAATAAAATATATTATTGTTATAGAGTTTCCTACTCCCTGCAGCCAGTGGAAAAGAGTGAGCTGCTATTATTATTATTATAGAGTATCCAACTCCCTGCAGGCAACGAATTCTGATATTATTTCAACAATTTCTTATTTTCTTCCCAATTAAAGGCTCTCTCTTTAGATACATATGACAAAACATTACCCATTGGTTTGCTAAGGTTCCACTTTGAAAACTGTGAAGTCGATGCTTTTGGAAAGGTATCCTTTTCTTCATTACTCTGTAACAGCCGGGTGATAATTCCATATAACAGTGGCCTGGAAGAAAGAGAAAAGACCACAGAAAGAACATATTATTATTATTATTATTATTATTATTATTATTATTATTATTATTTCAGTTCCAGCTACTAGAGTTCCAGTAATTTCCCCAAACTTAGGCCTATGGATGAAGAGGCATTGACTTTACAGGTCTTTCTGTTGGTAGACTGTTTAGAGTCTCATTTAAGAGAGGAAAGGGGTAAATCATCATCATCATCATCATCAAGCTCTAGCTACTGGAAGCCCAGCACTTTCCCCAAATTTTAGTCTATGGATGAAGAGGCATTTGTTTTCTAAGTCTCAAAAGGCAAAGATCATTTCCAATTCCCTGGGCAGACATTATTTAGGAGCTTCTTGCTTGAATTTAATTAGACATTAAAAACCCATAGGATTTAATGAGAAACTGCCAATCCTCACACTGCTCGGCTGCTGGGATCTTCAACAATATTGAGTTCTTTCACTAGAAACTCTCGGTCCAAGGGAACCTCTGGTTGGCCAGATTCTGAAAGGGAAAATGTTCATATTTAATAATAATAATGTATTTCTTACCTGCCTCTGCTCACAGCTCAAGACAGGGCACACCTGAAACACAACACCATAAAATATCGCAATATGCATTGATTCGACAGTGTAGAAGATGCACCCCTCAACTAACAAGAAACCATTTGGATTTGTTACTTCATTTTAACTATGTATTTTAAAAAATATTTCCATTATATTTATATGTGCTAGGTTTTAGTTTCCATGTTGTTATGGCTTTAAATGTTAGCTGCTCTGAGGCAGGGAAAAAGCAGGCTACAATTATTATTATTATTATTATTATTATTATTATTATTACAATGGCACACACCCTGTGAGTTATTATTGTCAATAATATGGCACCCTGTGAGTTAATAATAATAAGGCACCCTATGAGTTAAGAATAATAACAATAATAACAATAATATGGCACTCTGTGAGATAATAATAACAATAGTAAGAATAATATGGCACTCTGTGAGATAATAATAATATGGCACCCTGTGCAATAATAATAATAATAATAATAATGATATGGCACCCTGTGAGCTATTAATAACCCCACCAAATATATAAAACCCTGTTTGTAATTCATAATTATTAATAATACGGTATCCAGTGAGCTGTTGTTGTTATTAATATTAATATGGCACCCTGTGAATTATTGTTAATAATAATTATTATTATAATATGGCACCCTTTGAACTTTGATGGTGCTTTTCCAGCATGGCAGAAGGAAGTTGGACTAGATTCTGTTGTTGTTATTATTATTATATTGTTATTATTTATAACAATAATACTATGTTACAAAATTTGACCAAAAAAATCCTGTTCCTGGTTTGAAAATTTAATTGTACAGACCGTATTTGAATGTAGTTGTTATACTCCAGAAATGTCGTTTTTGTGGCTGCCACAAACTAGGTTGAATTGGTTTAGATATTCACTGAAAAACTATTGCAAAATATGCTGCTGCAAGATGTCCCTCCCACAAAGGCAAAGTGTTTGCAGTTTAATAAACGTTTCCCATGTTTTTATGATAAAACCAATTAGGAAATAATGACATTTATATCCCTGGATTGAAGTGACTGTACTGACCTTGAAGGAGCTGGGGGTGGTGACAGGGAGCTCTGGCGTGGACTGGTCCATGAAGTCATGAAGAGTCGGAAACGACTGAACGAATGAACAACAACATAACCCGGGAACAAAAACTATGTTACATGATGTAATAAGAAGACCCTTTGGAGAGAGAGGGAAGGCTCACCAGCAATGAGGACAGAGGCGGCATATCTGTACTGGTTGAACTCCAGGTATTCGCGGATGAGTTCGTTGATGAGGAGGTTCTCCCGGGTCAAAGTGGGCCGGTCCAGGGTCTGGTCGTCCAGTGCAGAGAAGACTTCAGCCCGCAGTCTGGCCTTGACCGCACCCAGGGCCCCGCGCTTCTCCAGCGCCTCCTTTAGAGCTGCAGAAATGCCACAGAGACCCCATCATCCACAGGCAACATCACCATCATCACACAGATTCATCACATTTATCATCTCAAAACAATGGGGTGCCAAGTTTGGAGGTCCTGTCCTCTCACAAAACAGGACCTTATGAATTATGAATAGGAAGGAAGGAAGGAAGGAAGGAAGGAAGGAAGGAAGGAAGGAAGGAAGGAAGGAAGGAAAAGAGTGAGAGAGCAGCAAGACTGTGTCTCCCAGAATCCTGGGGTCCTCCCCAATTATAGAATCATAGAATCAAAGAGTTGGAAGAGACCTCATGGGCCATCCAGTCCAACCCCCTGCCAAGAAGCAGGAATATTGCGTTCAAATCACCCTTGACAGTTGGCCATCCAGCCTCTGTTTAAAAGCTTCCAAAGAAGGAGCCTCCACCACGCTCCGGGACAGAGAGTTCCACTGCTGAACGGCTCTCACAGTCAGGAAGTTCTTCCTCATGTTCAGATGGAATCTCCTCTCTTGTAGTTTGAAGCCATTGTTCCGCGTCCTAGTCTCCAAGGAAGCAGAAAACAAGCTTGCTCCCTCCTCCCTGTGGCTTCCTCTCACATATTAATACATGGCTATCATATCTCCTCTCAGCCTTCTCTTCCTCAGGCTAAACATGCCCAGCTCCTTAAGCCGCTCCTCATAGGGCTTGTTCTCCAGACCCTTGATCATTTTAGTCGCCCTCCTCTGGACACATTCCAGCTTGTCCATATCTCTCTTGAATTGTGGTGCCCAGAATTGGACACAATATTCCAGGTGTGGTCTAACCAAAGCGGAATAGAGGGGTAGCATTACTTCCCTAGATCTAGACACTATGCTCCTATTGATGCAGGCCAAAATCCCATTGGCTTTTTTTGCCGCCACATCACATTGTTGGCTCATGTTTAACTTGTTGTCCACGAGGACTCCAAGATCTTTTTCACACGTACTGCTCTCGAGCCAGGCGTCACCCATTCTGTATCTTTGCATTTCATTTTTTCTGCCAAAGTGGAGTATCTTACATTTGTCACTGTTGAACTTCATTTTGTTAGTTTTGGCCCATCTCTCTAATCTGTCAAGATCCACACAGATCAATAAATAAGCAATAAGTGAGCTTTGTGGGTTTTGTTTAGAAGAACAGGAACGAAGGAAGGCTGGAAAGAGAGGAAGAATAGAAAGAAGAAAGAAGGGATAGAAAGAGAGGAAGAAACCTAGAAAGAGTGGAAGGATAGAAAGAGGAAAGAAGGTATATAAAGAGAGGAATGAAGAAAGGTTGGAAAGAGGAAAGAAGGAAGGGATAGAAAGAGAGGAAGGAAGGCTAGAGAGGAAGAATAGAGAGAAAGGATAGAAAGAGAGGAAGGACAGAACCAAAGAAGGAAGGATAAAAAGAGGAAAGAAGAGATAGAAAGGGAGGAATGAAGAAAGGTTAGAAAAAGGAAAGAACAAAGATAGAAAGAGGAGGGAAGGCTAGAAAGAGGAAGGAAGGATAGAAAGAGAGGAAGAAAGAAGATACAGAGGATGGAAGGATAGAAAGAAGAAAGGATGTATAGAAAGGAATGAAGAATGTTTAGAAAGAGGAAAACATAGGGATAGAAAGAGAGAAGGGAAGGCTAGAAAGAGAGGAAGGAAGGATAGAAAAAGAAAGGAAAGCAGAATAGAGAGGAAGGAAGGATAGAAAGAAGGATAGAAAGATGAATGAAGAAAGGTTAGAGAGAGGAAAGAACAAAGGGATAGAAAGAGAGGAAAGAAGGCTAGAAAGAGGGGGAAGTAGGAAGGCTATTACGAGAGGAACGATAGAAAGAGGAAAGAAGGGATAGAAAGAGAGAAATGAGGGTAGGTTAGTAACAGGAAAGAAGGAAGGGATAGAAAGAGAGGAAGGAAGGAAGGCTAGAAAGACAGGAAGGATAGAAAGAGGAAGGAAGGAACCAAACGAGGAAGGACAGAAAGAAGAAGGAAAGAAGGATCTAAAGAGGAAGGATAAAAAGAGGAAACAAGAGATAGATAGGGAGGAATGAAGAAAGGTTAGAAAAGGGAAAGAAAAAATACAGAAAGAGAGGAGGGAAGGCTAGAAAGGAAAGAAGGAAGGATAGAAAGAGAGGAAGGAAAGAAGGATACAAGGAAGGATAGAAAGAAGAAAGAATGGATAGAAAGGAATGAATGGTTAGAAAGAGGAAAGAACATAGGGATAGAAAGAGAGAAGGGAAGGCTAGAAAGAGAGGAAGGAAGGATAGAAAAAGGAAGGAAAGAAGAATAGAGAGGAAGGAAGGATAGAAAGAAGAAAGAAAGGATAGAGGAATGAAGAAAGGTTAGAGAGAGGAAAGAACGAAGGGATAGAAAGAGAGGAAAGAAGAATGGATAGAGGAAGGAAGGATAGACAGAGAGGAAAGAAGAAAGGCTAGTAAGAGAGGAAGGAAGGATAGAAAGAGAGAAATGAAGGAAAGTTAGAAAGAGGAAAGGACAGCTAGAAAGAGTAATGAAGGGATAGAAAGTTACCTATCCGAACGTATCTCTGCCTATGAACCCACCAGGACTCTAAGATCTTCTGGGGAGGCCCTGCTCTCGATCCCGCCTGCATCACAGGCACGGCTGGCGGGGACGAGGGACAGGGCCTTCTCTGTGGTGGCCCCTCGGCTGTGGAACGCCCTTCCCATGGACATTAGATCAGCCCCTTTCGCTAATGGTGTTTCGAAGAAAACTAAAAACCTGGCTGTTTGAACAGGCGTTCGGATAAATAGTGCAATAAACACGATGAATATAGGAAACAGAATTTGGATGATGAATTGGATCACGATTTTAGTTACGAGACGTTAATGTGTTGTTATTGAGATGTCATTAGTTTGTATTAGCGGGTAACTAACATCTGACTCAGAAGACGGCATACTGAACAAGGAATGGTAAATCGACTATGAGATTTGGATCTGATCCTAGTTGAGGCGTGATGACGTTATGTGTATTGTCTGTGAATGTCTGTCACTTGCATTGTTCAATGTTGTATTTTTATTGTAAACCGCTTAGAGTCGCCTTGGCTGATATAGGCGGTATACAAAAGAAGTAAATAAATAAATAAATAAATATTTTATACTGTTAATGGTTTTAATATTGTATGTTGTTGGATGTCTTTTGCTCTTGTTGTGAACCGCGTTGAGTCGCCTACGGGCTGAGAAACTGCGGTATACAAGCAAAGTAAATAAATAAATAGAAAGAGAAATGAAGGGATAGAAAGAAAAATGAAGGAAGGTTAGTAACAGGGAAGAAAGAAGGGATAGAAAGAGAGGAAGGAAGGACAGAAAGAGAGGAATGAAGGAAGGTCAGAAAGAAGAAAGGACAGAAAGAGGAAAGAAGGAAGGAAGGAAGGAAGGAAGGAAGGAAGGAAGGAAGGAAGGAAGGAAGGAAGGAGGAAGAGGTGGAAAAGACAAGAGAAGAAACTGGGAAGGGGACAAATTAATTGTACGAAACTGCATCTTCCCCATAATGTTTAATATAAACAAAGGAAGGAAGCCAAAATATTGACTATATTAATCCCCCCCCCCCCAATTTCTCAGCTTTGTAGTGTTCCTGGAGGGGGAAAACCCAGAAATTATACTAATTTAATGGTATTAATTAATTAAAGCCTCAAAATCCAAGGGCAAATAAGTAACAACATTAGTATCTGAAAGGTTTGAATAGCTGGTGTAGCAGAATCATAGAATCCTAGAATCAAAGAGTTGGAAGAGACCTCATGGGCCATCCAGTCCAACCCCATTCTGCCAAGAAGCAGGAATATTGCATTCAAATCACCCCTGACAGATGGCCATCCAGCCTCTGTTTAAAAGCTTCCAAAGAAGGAGCCTCCACCACACTCCGGGGCAGAGAGTTCCACTGCTGAACGGCTCACAGTCAGGAAGTTCTTCCTCATGTTCAGATGGAATCTCCTCTCTTGTAGTTTGAAGCCATTGTTCCGTGTCCTAGTCTCCAGGGAAGCAGAAAACAAGCTTGCTCCCTCCTCCCTGTGGCTTCCTCTCACATATTTATACATGGCTATCATATCCCCTCTCAGCCTTCTCTTCTTCAGGCTAAACATGCCCAGCTCGTTAAGCCGCTCCTCATAGGGCTTGTTCTCCAGACAGACATTCTACGAGGCAATATAGACATTCAACAAAGCAATGTACCTGCTTTGAGTTCTGTTATGGTGGCCATCTTGGGAGAGGCAAGAGGATGCGGAAGGAGGCGAGGAGCGTGGAAAATGCCCGGATATAAACAATCCAGCTGCTCGGCAACCTCAGTGGGCGAAAGTGCGCACGCGCAATAGGAGAGAAAGGCTTTTGAAAAACTCCTCTCGCAGGAGTGTCTCCGCCTTCTGCTCTCCATTGGGTAATCTTTCAGCCAATCAGGGCTCTACAAATTGTTAACCCTTTCTTTTCCGCAGTCCTTAATAGAATGCTGGTGACTCAAGTATTTCTGCTTCATTGACTATTCTAAAGCCTTTGACTGTGTGGATCATAATAAACTGTGGCAAGTTCTTGGTGGGATGGGGATACCAAGCCATCTTGTCTCTCTCCTGAGGAATAGGCACAACAACCAAGTAGCAACAGTCAGAACTGACCACGGAACAACAGACTGGTTCAAGATTGGGAAAGGCGTACAGCAGGGTTGTATACTCTCACCCAACCTATTCAACTTGTATGCAGAACACATCATGAGATGTGCTGATGAATGCAAAGCTGGGGTGAAAATTGCTGGAAGAAAATTAACAACCTCAGATATGCAGATGACACCACTCTGATGGCCGAAAGCGAGGAGGAGCTGAGGAGCCTTCTAATCAAGGTGAAAGAAGAAAGCGCAAAAGCTGGGTTGCAGCTAAACATAAAAAAACCCCAAGATTATGGCAACAAGAATGATTGACAACTGGCAAATAGAGGGAGAAAATGTGGAGGCCGTGACAGACCTTGTATTTCTAGGCGCAAAGATTACTGCAGACGCAGACTGTGGCCAGGAAATCAGAAGACGCTTACTTCTTGGGAGGAGAGCAATGTCCAGTCTCGATAAAATAATAAAGAGACATCAGACTGGCAACGAAGATCTGCCTAGTCAAAGCCATGGTATTCCCTGTAGTAACCTACGGATGTGAGAGCTGGACCTTAGGGAAGGCTGAGCGAAGGAAGATCGATGCTTTTGAGCTGTGGTGTTGGAGGAAAGTTCTGAGAGTGCCTTGGACTGCGAGAAGATCCAACCAGTCCATCCTCCAGGAAATAAAGCCCGGCTGCTCATTGGAGGGAAGGATACTAGAGACAAAGTTGAAGTATTTGGCCACATCATGAGGAGACATCAAAGCCTAGAGAAGACAATGATGCTGGGGAAAGTGGAAGGCAAAAGGAAGAGGGGCCGACCAAGGGCAAGATGGATGGATGGCATCCTTGAAGTGACTGGACTGACCTTGAAGGAGCTGGGGGTGGTGACGGCCGAAAGGGAGCTCTGGCGTGGGCTGGTCCATGAGGTCACGAAGAGTCAGAGACGAATGAACAACAACGACTCAAGTAGTGAATGCTAATATAGGCCTGGGAAGTTACTTTTTTTCTGAGTGGGACTTCTGATTAAACTCCAAACTGGGGGGTTCTGGAAGTTGTAGTCCAAAATAAAATCTGGGAAGTGGTTAATGGAGCTGTAATCTCCCAAAAGCAACTTTTGCAACCCCTGGCTTTGAGTTGCTTGCAATCCTGGCTCACTTATAAATAATCCAAATGGCAATTTAAAAACCTGCAAACTTTATTTTCATCTTATCTTGGAGGCTACCTAGGATCAGCCCTGCTCTATACTTGGAGGGGAGGCTGCCAATGGACACAAGGTAGTGTATTTCAGAAAAAGGAATGAGCAAAACCAACTCTGATTTTTATTTATCGTGTCATCTGCAACCAGAACATTGTATTACATTTCTAACAGAACAAAACAAACAAACAGATAAAAAAAAAACCACAAATTTTGCAAACCAACTCTGATGATTCCTTGCCTAAGAAAACCCTGGTTTTGCCATAAATCCACAAGAGGTCTAATGCGTTTCATGGCTCCAAGTGTTGGGTTGATGTCAAACATGAATTTGGGGGGGGGGGGGTGCCTAGATAGAGACTGGCCAGACCCAAAAAGAGGATCCAGAACACCTGGCAAGACAGCAAGCACTAAAGAAGATTTTCCCCCAATTTTTCCCAAAATAAAGTCTCATCAAGTTGAAGGAAAGCCACCAAGATGTTTATTTCATTCCAGCTGGAACGGATGACAACCACAGTAATCTGCCCAGAAGCCGACATAACCCACTGGGCAGAAAAACCCAATATTTATAGCCTTCAGATTCAAAAGTTCCCATACCGCCCCCTCGAGTTGGTTTTGTTATGATTGGTTGTGATGTCAGCAAGTCAGGAGGAGATCCAATGAGGGCCCTGACCCAGTTTTTGGCCGCCCAGCCAATGAGAAGGGAGGTGGGCAACAGGGAAACAATGAGAAAATGTCTAGTTGACTGGATTAAGAATGGCTTGTGTTTGCCAAATGACCCGGCAATAGCTTCAGGCTCTCCAGCCCGGTCTGAGTTATTGTTCTGTTTCTTGAATTAACATTTTTGTCTGGCCCCGACAGGCCAGGTTAGGAATTGTGGGAGTTGAAGTCCAAAACACCTGGAGGGCCGAAGTTTGCCCATGCCTGATCTAAAGAAGAACAGTATGAAATCGTCAACACATTGGGAGTCCTATCACAGAAGTTGCTATGATCTTATCTTTGGCTTTCAACTTGTGGAGGTTAAAGAGTTTGTAATTTCTTCGATATGGGATTTCCACTCTCATACAGGTCGTAGGTTCAAATCCAGAGAGAGCGCGGATGAGGTCCCTCCGTCAGCTCCAGCTCCTCATGCGGTGACATGAGAGAAGCCTCCCACAAGGATGGTAAAACATCTAAAACATCCGGGCGTCCCCTGGGCAATGTCCTTGCAGACAGCCAATTCTCTCATAGAATAATAGAATCAAAGAGTTGGAAGAGACCTCATGGGCCATCCAGTCCAACCCCATTCTGCCAAGAAGCAGGAATATTGCATTCAAATCACCCCTGACAGATGGCCATCCAGCCTCTGTTTAAAAGCTTCCAAAGAAGGAGCCTCCACCACATTCCGGGGCAGAGAGTTCTACTGCTGAACGGCTCTCACAGTCAGGAAGTTCTTCCTCATGTTCAGATGGAATCTCCTTTTTTGTAGTTTGAAGCCATTGTTTCGCGTGCTAGTCTCCAGGGAAGCAGAAAACAAACTTACACCCTCCTCCCTGTGGCTTCCTCTCACATATTTATACATGGCTATCATATCTCCTCTCAGCCTTCTCTTCTTCAGGCTAAACATGCCCAGCTCCTTAAGCCGCTCCTCATACGGCTTGTTCTCCAGACCCTTGATCATTTGAGTCGCCCTGCTCTGGACACATTCCAGCTTGTCAATATCTCTCTTGAATTGTGGTGCCCAGAATTGAACACAATATTCCAGGTGTGGTCTCACACCAGAAACTTGCAGTTTCTCAAGTTGTTTCTGACACACAAAAAACCCCTTCAAAGTGAAGCTTCCTGTCAACAAGGTGCAGAATCATAGCTATGTACCCTTAATTCACTTTTGACGCAATAAATAAATAGCCATGAAGATGGAGAACAAGGGCCTTACTTATTTGTTGTATGGCAACCAGTTTAACAGACTGGTTGACACACAACCAGTCTGTTAAAATTTTATTCCTATTAAAACCAGTTCAAAAGCCTGGAGAGGACATCCTGCTCTGCCTGGACCATTGGTTTTGCTTCCAAGTGGAACAAGAAAGCAGCAGAGCCCTTACTTCTTTGGAAGCAGGGCAAATAATTAACCTTTATCTATGCTTATTGCAGTAGCAAGAGTCAACCAGCAGCTATTTTGTATTTTAGACGCTAGAGGGCAATGAAGTATGTAGTGAGGACATTTGTGATTGTATAAGTGTGTGCGCGCAAAGGCAAGCAGGCCTTCCATTTCATGTTGACTTAAGTTGGCTCTAAGTGCCCTATAATGCGGTTTGAAACTGCATTATATAGTCAGTTTCATATAATTCAGTTTAGTGCAGTTATAACAGTCATCAGAGCTGGTGCCTCTCCAAATCACAGGTCTCGGCATTTCATAGCATTGAGTCATGGCAGTGAAAGTGGTGCCAAATTATTATTATTATTATTTGAAACACAACAAGATGAGTCCATAGCAGACAAGATCACTCTGCTGGCTGTTGTATTGGATCACACGTCGGAACCTTCCCAAGTGTCTAGGATTGTGTGATGTATCGGTGAATAATGCATGCAGATCCCAGTAAGGTGGTCTTCTGCAGCTGGCAGATGATAATTTTGTCAGTGCCAATTGTGTTTAAGTGTAGGCCAAGGTCTTTAGGCACTGCACCCAGTTATTATTATTATTATTATTATTATTATTATTATTATTATTATCCAATTCCATTGTTAGTGGTTGTTTTTCATGTGTGCATGTGGGTGACGGGAGACTTGAGAAACTGCGACTTGAATCGCTTCTGTTCCCCAGGTTGTGCCAGTCAGCTTTCCTATGATATTATTTCTAGCACCCACTTTTTGCTTGATACTCAAGCAGTGCTTCTTGTAAGTCAAAGCACAGTCCAAGGTTTGTTTTGTGTGTGAGGGGCGACTTGAGAAACTGCAAGTCACTTCTGGTGTGAGATAATTGGCTGTTTGCAAGGACGTTGCCCAGGGGATGCCCAGATGTTCTGATGTTTTACCATCCTTGTGGGAAGTTTCTCTCATGTCCTTGCATGGCGAGCTGGAGCTGACAGAGGGTGCTCATCCGCGCTCTCCCCAGATTTTAACCTCCGACCTGTCACGCCACTAGGGGCTCCTGACAAACACTAAATCACAGTTGGGGGGAAAGGAGAGAAATCTCCCCTTCCTTGTTTTTCTGCTTTATTATTGGCCTTGATCCTCTGCTTTCAAGGACAATCAGAGCCCTTCCTGGAAAATAATAATAATACTAAATATATTTATAGCCTGCTTTTTTCTCTACAAAAGACATGCAAAGCAGCTCACAGTGGAAACCAATGCTATACAATGAAAAACCTCAAAATATACAAACATTAACATAAGAATAAATACAGTGTTACAAAAATAAACAGTTGAAACCCTTAAAACCAATGCTCCCTTAAAAACAGTACTGCATAGGAGCCTGAAAATGCAATACAAAAACAATAAAATCGATTGCTCCAGAAGCTCTCATCCATGACTTTGTCAAATCTGATGGTTC